AACTTTGAACGCTTATGACTCCGTTGAAACAAAAGTTTGAGGTTCGAAAAGTGGTTTCATTGGCTTTTTCGTAAAATTTTCCTCCAGAACCACCCCTTAAAATTTATAATGTGACGAATGAACATCTAAATTTGCAGTTTTAGTAAAAAATTTCATGTCCGGCCTCTCCAATGGACTCGATCCACTGTGCGGCGCGGCGGCGGTAGCGGTTGCTGCTGTAGTGCCGGCCGCGAGGGAGGGTGCAAGTTTCGCGCGCCCCCTCCCCCCCCCTCCGCCTCACCCGGTTTGTGCGTTCGAAGACGGGGGATGCGGCGACGAGCAAGTGCAAACTAGGTCGTCCAACACAGGGACGGGTCGTTTTCCAGAACCCCCCGGTCGCTCCCTCCCCCGGCTTCCACCGGTTTTTAGTTCCGCGCATCGCCGCATCGCTCCAATACAGATGCTCTTGGAGATGACGTCATGTGTAGGGATTCCTTGTTGTATCTAATCGGATCTAAAGCGTATTCTCGTTGATGATCGGTCGAGCCAAAATGCCGCGATAACGGCGGCGAGATCATGCATAATCGGGTTTGTAAACATTAAACATTCGCCCTCTATCCGTCTGGTGAGTCCCGGTAGTTTTCCGAAAAATTATAATCGCGTCTAAACAAAATACGAAACCGTTCTACCGACCATCAACGAAAATTCGCTTCTAAACAATAACACTGACGTAACCCCCCACGATGTCACCAACGTAAATCAATTCGATGTATCTATCGCTTTACTTTAACGTAATCTTAATGTCACCGTTTGAACGGAATCTTTGAGCTTGTTTAAATTACATCGTTGCATCTTTAAGAAAGTTAGCCGTGAGAAATTTGGCCGTTACTTATTTGGCTAAGACGGCCCCTACTAACGAAAGCCCCTAGTGCGGGGTCTGTAAATTGAAGGGTCCAATGCATGAACCTGACGAGTAAATTTTCTACATTTTGAGGCAATCGAACACCAAGGTGAAGATGTTTTACACTTTTTCGCGGAAGGTGTCCGTTTCTCATGATTCACGAGCGGTTCGTAGCGAGCATATCCTCGTGTTTCTGGTTTGGACTCGGTGTATCTATCATGAAGCGCCTCGTTGAGAAGCCAAAAACAGTCTCATTTGGATTTTTGTCGGAAAAAATGGACCGCGTTAAACAGAAAGGAACCAAGCCACATCAGCTATTGCCAAATTTAATCGGCTAATTCAATGTTTTACATGAAAACAGTTGTGCGGTTTTCGTGCAAATTTCAGTGAATTTACTCCATACTACGAAGCAAATTCCTTAACATTTTCAGAGGGATCCGCTTAAACGTTTTCTCGTAAAAAATTAAATTGCCCGGTTGAAATTGGCAATAGCTGATGTGGCTTGGTTCCTTTTTGTTAAACGCGGTCCAAATGGACTACATTTTGCAATTTGGAACTATAAATTCCGGCTCGGTTTAAAAACAACGTATGTGCCGTTAGTTTCCCTATGCACATAAGTGTTTTTTCAGATGAGCCAGAATTTATAGGTCCAAATTGCAAAATGCAGTCCAAATGTCACCCAGCAGTTTCATGGACTGGACCCTTAACTAATCATGTGTTTGATCCGAAAGCTCGGTAGCCGTTACACCGAAGTTCTGAGAACTTCGGGCGGATCGCGGATTTGAAGTTGAGAGGCCCCCCTCGGCGGCGCGGGGCGCGAAAGTCCCGGCGATCGACGGAAATTGACGATAAGCGACAGTAGTCGACGGTAATCGACATGCTGATGGGTGGACGCGGTCGCGGAAGACCCAGGATGGACATTTATTCCTGGATCCGGGGGCTCCCCAGGCAACCAGGTAACACTCCAAAACTCACTCCTCATCCTCCCGGCAGCGATTCTTGTAAGTTGGCAACACTGTTTTTCCTTCATTTAAATGTATGTAAAACAATCGATTCTTGATGATCTATATTTTAATAGACTTAAACAGTGTTGCCAACTTGTAAAATCGCCCTTGCACACGGAGAAAAAAACCTCGTGCGTGGGACCCGAAGTTTAGGTCATATGGATCTCTGAAGTTTTTAGATTGAGCGTCTGAACACTTAAGGTCTAGCTATCGAGGTTCGGATCACACATCTGAAACTTCAGTTCCTACATGATGTACTTCAGATGTAAGAACCGAAGTTTTTCGGATGTGAGAACCGAAGTTTTTCGGATGTGAAAACCGAAGTACTTCAGATGTAAGAACTGAGGTTTCAGATGTGTGATCCAAACCTCAGCAGCTGGACCTTAAGTGTTCAGATGCTCAATCTGAAAACTTTAGAGATCCCTATGACCTAAACTTCGGGTCCCAACTCACGAAGTTTTTTTCTCCGTGCACCCTCCTAGCAGTAGTATGGACACTAGACCCCATCTAGGCTGTCTAGGGCTCAAAAATGAACGGATTTTTTGAATGAAGGCGTCTTTTTTCAGACGGTTTCAATTCAAAACCTGGTATAAGCACCACCAGGTGTTGCTGCGAGAGTGTACAACCATTTCAGTCGAAACTAGCAGTAATCCAGTGGTCTTACAAAATTAGAATAACAATTATTCTGCTCATGAAAATGAAACCAAAATCTAAAGACAATTTTCCAAAGTTAAGTCCATGTAGGGAAGGCATCTAGGTTCTTTCACTGTGAGAAACACCGTGCAACACCTGACGCTGCTTACGAGGTTTTTCACTCCTTCTCTTTAATAATTACTATTAATCACAGTTGGGAAGTGTTTGTCGATACAAAATCACCGTTGCCCCGGTTCATTTGACACACAAGCATTTTCATCGTGGCGGAAAGCGAATACTATGCAATTTTCAAGAGAATCCATTAATCGTTCTCTGAAGTCCATGTGTTACTGTTAATATTGCTTGGTTCTTTTTCGAGAAATACTGCTTTACGTATGTGTATTAGTAGTCCTAAGCAGGTATAGACGGTTTTATGGATGAGTCAGAAACAGTAGCTCCCTATTTCAAAATGTAGTTCATTTCCGTAGTGACCCACATAATAAAGTGTGAGCGAATCAGTTGATTTTTATTACATTGAAGGGCGTCATAAAGTTTGAATATAGTTCGGTAATTTCGCACCCTGGGCATGGCAGCCAAGAATTTGAAATAACTTTTTCCCGAAAAGTTTGTTTCGAACTGCCAACTTAAAACTAACTTAACTCTGATTTGGTTTGACATTCTTGAATGAACTTTGTCATCATCATGAACATTCGAATGTTGCGAAATATCTCCCGATACAGTATTTGTTTTTCACCAACTCTATGAATACTTTTTCTCAAAAATTTCAAATTAATTCGCGAATAAAATTCTTGGAAATAATGTATTTGCAAGTTTCCCAGAAAATTCGTATTTTAGTATAGGAAATTTGGCAACATCCGATCGTTCGTACGGTCGATTCTCACGACTTAATAGTGATAAACGATCAATTGAATCGGTATCGAATAACTTTGATCGACAAACCTTTACCGTACACCGGAAAAAAACACATTGTATCTAGAGTCCAGACTCAAAAAAACATCGACAAGAAAAAATACTCTTGATTCAATCGGATTTTTGCTTAAATCAAGAACCAAGCCTCTTAATTTGAGCGGATTTCCTTTTGATCCAAACAAAAATCTGATTGAATCAAGAGTATTTTTTATTGTCAATGTTTTCAAGAGTCTGGACTCTAGATCCAATGTGTTTTTTTTTTCTAGTGTAGCAATGATATTTATCTATCAATGTCGTCCGATAAAGATTCAACAATCGATCCACGTTGAACCATACGTAGTTCAGCTTTGTAAGACGTGGAATCCGGCGACGAGGGCTGCTGCAGTCCACGTGTCCCGGCGCCCGGCGGGTTGCGGAGGCCGGATTTGAAGGGGACTTTATGCGCGTTGCGCGGGTTGCGGCACCCCAATCCGAAGGCGAAGTTAACCCGGGTCGGGCTCGGAGCCTCCCCGCCCTGCCACTCGTATCGATCCGCTGGTATCCGAGTCCGACCCCGGGTCGTTGACCCTCAGGCCGCACTCGGCCAGAACCGCCTAACTCCGCCGCAGACCCCGTGCAGATACGCGCTTTCAGCCGGGGCGGGGAGGGGGTGTTTCTGGGCAACCTTGAATCCAGGGCCGCGCAGCGGCGCGGCGTGGTGCGGCGGGCCCGAAATAACGGGGAATTTTTCGGGGTTCCCATAGACGCCGGTACCGCCTTTAATTTCTAGCCGTTTGGACTTGGGAGGGTGGACGTTGACGTCGGCGTGGACGCGGAAATTTCCAAAAATATCCCGACGGGGGCCTCGAAATGTTGAGAGCCCTCAAAATCCGCCAAAACTAGCCTACCACCTGGCTCATTTTCTCGATAACCTTCAAATTCTAGTAACTCGGGGATTGGGACAAAAACAGGTGTCGAAATTATTCGAATCTAGTACCGCAGTTCTCTGAATTGTGTGCGTTATTTTTTCCGTTGAAAAAATCCAAATATCACTCTGAGCCATGATGTCAAGAACCTGGAAAACGCTATCATTATCGGGAAACAATAAACATCCAGAAAAATCAGGGGACCAATGTCCTAAAGTGGGGATAGCTCTCTTTCCGCTGCAAGGGATTGTTATTCATAAATTTGGCAGACTAGAAAGGAAATTTCAAAAACGAAATAATATACGAAAAAAAATTTTCTCTTTTTTCTAAGTTTTTTTAAGAAGTATTGATTTTCCTCAGATGGTCAAGAGGAAATTGAGAAAAACCCTGAGTTTTCACGAGGAATCAAAAAATTTCAGAAATCCATGTGCACATGGAGGCGTCATTTTCAATCATTTTTAGGGGTGCATAAAGGGGCCAAAATTTGTATGGGGGCGGGAGGTTCTAGAAATTTCAATAACGGGGAAAACTTAAGAGAAACGATGCAATTCCTTGAATTGAAGTATTTCTTTGCTATTTTGTGTTATCAGTTCAATAGCTGTGATGATTTGTCTTTTTCATTCGTTCTCTTCTTTTGTCTTGTTTCAGGCCAGCAACAGCCGCAATCAGAGCAGGAGTTGGCATCAAAAATGCTTCATATTCAATCTAAAAGATTCTATCTAGACGTGAAACAAAATATGAGAGGAAAATTTATCAAAATAGCCGAAGTAAGTTCATTTTTAATTTGTATCAGAAGTAGATCCTTTTCCATGATTTGAAGAGCCTCTAAACGAATGTTCACGATCAAGTATTGATCAATAACGCTCACCTCCAAATTTGCCGTTCTCAGCGAATTTTCGTTTGAAGTATTTCTTATTTTTTGTAGTTGCAAATTATTATAATCTAGGGTACTCTAGAAGAGTGGGTGATCACATCCTTAAACGACACAGAGAAGCGATCGACCAGTCAAATAATTGATCGTCCATGGAATGTGTTATGGGATCACCATGTAAGAAACAATTGGAGGTGAATAGTCCATTTTATTGACCGGTCACGCGATTTAAAACGCGCGAAAATATGTTCATAAACGGAACGTTGCATTGGAGGGATTTTTAAGGTAAATTACCCGAAAACCTACGAATATAATTCGCTAAAACTTTGAAAATCAAAAGATGAAAGCACCAAAATGCTGACAAAATCAATAAAACTGTAAAAAAAAAAATGATTAAAATTTAAGGAAAAGCCGACCAACAACAACGGCCCTGCCTATTTAAATACTCATGATTTCCAACGAATAGGCCAAGTGGATGGTTCATTTTTTGCGATGTGAGCGCCCACGTTTGTTTTGGGTTACCCTATCTCCAAAACTATACTATGCTGCTGTCAGTGGCGTGGCGTGAATTGCGATATATCGATTGTTATGCCATTTAAACCTATGGAAAAAGATCGATAAATAGGGTGTTTGCAGCGAACACTTTAATAATCGATTCTTTACCCTAGGTTTAAATGGCATAACAATCGATACATCGCAATTCACGCCACGCCACTGGCTGCCGTGATAGCGAAGAGAGCAGTAAGTGCATTTCCGTATGAGCCATGGTTAGCACATGCTTTCATGTATAACTAGGTTAATCCCAGCATGCACTTATAGCTCTCTTCGCTATGACGGCAGTATGAAAGGCAATTCAGGGTTTGTAAAATTTAGCTTTTCTATGGTGAGATTATAGTGACTCATGGAAGAGTGAATCTCTTGTAAAATACAGCAAAGACCATTTTTATTTTTACACTCATTACAAGATATATTGTTCTCACAGTTGAGTACACATGGCTGTATATGTATTTTGTTTACCAATATTTTTAAATTTTTCCAGCCATTTTTCTTTTATTTTTGGTTAAGCGCTGCAGCTCGGTTGAGGAGAGTTCAGTGTGGGCACATCAGCGCGTTACCAAAAATAAAAATAAATTGCTAGAAGAATTTAAAAACACTGGTGAAAAAAATTATGTGGAAAGTCAAGAGCAGTCAGGGAATTTGGAAATTTTGGAGTCAGGGAAAATCGAGGAATCGTTGAATGAAGAAATTTTAGGAAACTGTAGTAAGAAAGCTGATAATAGTGAATTTGCAATTTTTTGTATCAGTTGTTTGTATTGTCTCTATGGATCCCAGTTAAATCTCACTCTCCGGAAGACCTTGGTAAATCACATGAAAATTTTACACTCATTGTCAGTTCATGCGTTCATCCCTTAAATCTGAATTTAATAATTTTCTCTTTTCTTTTATCTTTTAGATTGGACCTGATGGTAGAAGAAGTCAAGTATTTCTTGCTTTATCTATAGCTGCTGAATTTCGCGACCACTTGAATCTATTCAGTGACTACTACGCTTCTCTGGGTAACTATCTGAACATTATTATAGTTCCTGTGTTTCAAAAGTTTGTTTCATGCCTATAATTTTTGTTCTAATATTTGCTTGAAAAATTTAAGAACTCTTTAAGCCATTATTTTAAGCCTCTTTTGTCTGCATGGAGGTACAATGATTTTGGCATGTTGTCGTGAATGACTAGCGATACTCAGGAAGAGACAATTGGAGCGAGGGTGTATGAATTCGGTTTTTTTTAGAAAAATAGAAGGCTGAGAGGAGGTGGACGGAACTTCTTTCCGTATTGATTGCCCTTCTTTCAAGAAGAATATGTGAAACTTGAATTCATCATACATTTATTTTCTTTGTATTTAAAGATTTTTAAGTGCTGACTTGTGTAACTTAAACCTTCATTTCCATGCTGATGTAATACTATATGACGTGTTTGTGGTGAAAATGTATCTAGTATATATGTATGATGTAGTAAAAACAATTAATAACTTACTACTCTCTGTTTTCTGCTCTCTCGCCCCCAACTCTTAAAGTGAAATAACAAAGAAAGCCAACACATTCAAGGATGCTGCGATCCCTTCCTCAAGGTTGAAATTCTGACTCTTGTTTCCTTGTTTATGGTAGAAAATCTTCCCTTGTTAAGAAATCAAACCGAAAAAGATGTAAATGAAGAAACAACAGTTAGAATTTCAGCCTTGAGGAAATGATCGCAGAGTCCAATGATACATTGGGGTTTAGGTTAATTTATTTTGTGAATTTGAGTTTTTTTAATTTCGGTTTTCTCTTTTCATTATTAGGCTTCTGGCTTCTAAAAAACTCGTCGCCACTGTAATTCATCAATCGAAGCTGTGTTTCTTATTATATTAATCAGCCCCAAAGCAAGGTGCATTAGATGTTATATTTTTATTTGAAATACTGAAGCAGAAATGTTTTAACGGCCTAATTTTTCAATTTTCGTGTGATTCTAGGTCCACCTAATCCTGACACAGTGCCAGATGATGGAAAGTTGAAGTCGGAAGTGATGGTGAAAGAAAACCGGCGATACTATCTTGACCTGAAGGAAAATCAACGTGGTAGATTCCTAAGAGTAAGTGTAGTAAGTGTCCATCCAATGTAGTTATGCCTGTGTGAATTTTTTTTTCGTTTTTCTTCAGTCTTTTACTTAAGTTGAATCCAAAACTGCCCGTGAGCTTGTTGTAGCTCTAAATTCTCGGCTTTTTTTTTCAGTGTTAAAGGATTGCAATGTAAAATTCTAAATTTTGTATGACAATCATGCGATGAAGTAGCTTCAGAAATCTTAACTTAGATACTCAGTTTTGCCAAAAACTGATCACGTGTTAAGGAAGTTGCGTTTACAGTTGTTTTCCCTTCTTCATCATACCAAGTCATGAGTGAAGGACAGTCCAAATGTTGTCCAAAAAGTAGTGACTGAAGTGAGACTGATGCTTAAAAAACCTCAATAGTCCCAAACTTGATCCTTGTCTCATATGAAAGATTAAGTCAACTTCTATTCATTGACATCAATAAAACGACATTTGATAAAAAAATGATCAAGTTATGAAAATTTGATTTTCAAAAAATATGGGCTGCCTATGGGAATTAATGGCCAAATATTTTACCTCTTATGAATTCATCTCTCAAACCAGTGCCCAGGGCCTATTTGTCGTCAAAAACTGCCGAGTAATTTTATAAATTACTTGACAACACATTTGAGACATCATGCTACCCCAAGATACAAGATATCAAAGACGAAGGCCAGGCAATTATGTCTGGAGAATGGTCAAAGTTTAGGTCGATTTTCATCTCGAAGCCTAGCGTATGTTTCATGCATGAATTCAGCAACAATGCCAGTCAGGAGCTGGTCATTGATGGAATTTTTTATTTTCCTGGCCTGGTAAATGGTCATGCCGCACTGTGGTTTAAGCGAGTTTACCTTTTCCCATTTGGCTTTCAATTAAATTACTCTCAATGACCAGTTGTTGATGGGCTTTGTCGCCGCATCCTAGCTACTGGACTTGTAATCGCGATTTCAGCACTGCATTTTCCATAGCCTTAACATCTCGGAAACGGCATTACAAAACACAAAGAGAAATTTTCTGGAGTCTTAGAAATTTTAAATATTAATTTATCAAAAATACACTAATTTTAAGTTTGAGAATTTTCTAGTACTTGGTGCACAAGGCTCATCGACAACTCTTGTGGCTCCAGCCGGGTTCAACAATTTATGTGACTTTGTGTTTTTAAGTATTCCTCTTCGTAGTGGTAACAATTAAGCATTCAGTTTCATGGCCACAATAATGATTCTCTGACTTCAGCTCACCCTAGGTGGCCCCTCCCCCTTCTTCCAGGATTTATCATGAGTCACAGGAAGAATCATAAAGGTTTTTTTCTATGTTTTTAGGTATCACAAACAATGTCAAGAGGCGGGCCTAGATCGCAGATTGCAATACCCGCACAAGGAATGATAGAATTCAGAGATGCACTAACAGACCTCCTGGAAGAGTTTGGAACGGAAGATGGAGGCTTCAAAGGCGATTTACCCGAGGGAAAACACATGCGGGTTGATTCCAAGAACTTTTACTTTGACATTGGTCAAAACAAACGAGGCGTCTACATGCGTATCTCGGAGGTATGTCACTTGCCGCACAATTTATATTCAGTGAAGAGCTCACAGGTCTAAAAAGTTGAAGATATAATTTTGAATTGAGAGTATTCAAATCTCCTGAAGTTCGAGTCAGATAGTGAAAAACGCGAGTTCTTCCTTCTTTGAATGTTATATATTCAACTGTATTCTCAATCCTAAAAATAATTCATGCTCAATGAAAAAATTCTCAGAAGATAAAATATGGAGAATGGATAAATAGAGCTTTAGTTCAAGTCCAAAATAGAAAGAAAACGTTTTTTGAATAGCAAAATTTAAACGATCATAACTTGGATTGAAAATTTGTGAGCCTTTTTTGTTCCAAAGCTTTTTCTTCAAAACGCCTCTACGCACAGTGGTACTAGTATCTCAGTCTTGAGTTATTTGGTGGCACTGGGATCTCTCTCTTGAGGAAGATGGCAATACTTACTTAGAACACGTATCATCCTTTGAGTGAATCCTCTGAACTACCGCTGTGAAGAACTAAAAATCTCTACAATTATTTATTATTTAGTCTTCATTCTGTGTGTTTCAGGTAAAAACAAATTTCCGAACCGCCATAACTATTCCAGAGAAATCATGGTACCGCTTTCGAGATATCTTCGCTGACTATTGTAATAAAATCAAAGACGGCGCGGATAAGTCATCGGGAGGGAACGCATCACAAGATGAAACCAGTACAAGCAAGTGACCACGTTACTATTAGATAACTAATCAATTCTTTTTTTTTCTTTTTTTTTCTATTAAAAGTTTGATTAATGTAAGGAAGGACAAGTAAAGAGTGAATTTCAAAATCCGTTAAACAGTGGCAACGGGATCCAGAAATGATTTATTTACAAAAGATTAGAATGAAAATCCCTCCATAAACCCCCCCAAAACTGAGAAAAAAATTGAAAAAAATAGACAAAAAAATTCCAATCAATTACGATCCTTGAAACCGCCAACTCGACAATGAAAAACTGTATCTAATATCCATTAGTTACCTTATATACATAATTACTATGTATATACCTTAATATTTATATTTGTTTATGCATACGTATATGTTCTTGTATATGGTACTATGCAGACATATTTATTTAAGTTGTAAATGCTGGACTTGCGTGCATGAACGAACTATATTCTGGGAGTTTTCAATTATAAATAATAAATTATGAATGTAAAGAATAGTACGTTTAACCCTCGTAAATTCGGCTGTGCACCATGTGCACAATATGTAATAACTAATAGATGCTGCTTGTTCTTCGTGCTTGCGTAATTGCTGCTACCGTGTCACAAAATTTTGAAGCCATAAAATCAGGTCATCAGAATGTGCGATTCATTATTGTAGCCAACAGTATTTCTAAACTAACAGACCCAACTCATGGATTTATTTAACCCATTTGAACCACCCCAGTCACCTTGACTGACTGTAAAAGTTGCGCTGATTCTACCTAGATTTTACGCACCAGGCCAGAAAAAAGTTTAGATCATTTTATTTGTTTTTCTTTTGTCACTTAGTTACAGCCTGTAACAAATGTGCTTTCAGCAAAACACAAGAATTTACATGGTCCAAAGAGAAAACTTTTAGGGCCTTCATTAAACCAAAACTTGAGCAAAAACACAAAACACAGATTCATAATTATTTTTAATGCCTATGCTCTAAAATCTTGGTCCTTGTTTAAGCTAGCAATCTGTCTCCTATCATCTTTCAGTAGTATTACTCGATGTCAGCAAGGTCTGAACTCCACTAATCAATTATTTTTCGCCGACAAGGCTGGGTCTGTTGGTTTCTCAGTATTTCAATCTTTTTATATCAACTGTGACCTTAGTTTCACTCAAAAGGCTTTTACGCATGTACGTTAAGTATGTAGTTATAGAAAGATATACATGAAATGTATATATTATATAGTTTCCTTCTTTTCTTCCTCTCTCCTCGAACCAAGTGAAATTATTTGTAGACCATGCAAGGGTTGTATCATGTGTGCCACAGAACCAGACTAATTCTTCTCTCCCTTCGACTGGTGTTGTTGCGTGTTATGTTCCGCGGAAGGCCTTAGCTAACCATCAGAAGAACGAGAGTAAAGAATCAGAGTCCCAGTCATTTCACAAAAATCTTCTGTCCCAAAACTCGTGTCTTAGTTCATTCTTAAAAGACAATACCAATCCAAATTCTTTACCTATATATGTTGCTGATGAATTGTAAAGCGATCTATACGTAGAGTACTAATAGTCTAGCATGTCAGCAAAATTCTTGGAAACCAATGCACCACACAAGTCACTTTTGCTTCCTCACTTAGAGGGCTATCCCAAACTTAGTCCTATTCTTATTTCTTTGACCAAATCTTTACCAAAATCTATGACTCGGGAGAATTCTTGTAAAGATCGCTACTTTATGAATTGTTTGCTGCTGTGTTTTTGTGAAAGTGCATTTAATGAAAGAGGTGTTGAGCATCAGAGCTGAGTTTATTTTTGTGAAGGATCAATTTTCAAGGCAATTGAAAGGTTTCCTTATTAAGGCGCATATCCTTTTCAAACCAACATTGATTAAAAACTGCTCGATACCCTAATTTATTATTAAATGCATTTACCTACTCGGCTGTGTAAATTGCTCTCCCTCACTGGATTAAATTTGAGGTCTTGCTGTAGTGGTTTCATTTACGGCACTATCTGTCGAGTATTTTAATTAGTGAATTCATCAAAAACTTGCACAAAAACCTTCAAATAATGGTCATAACTACAGCTTTCCTCAATAATTTGCCGTCTAAGCCAGACTGATCTACTGTCGGCAGAAAGATTCAAGCATCTAACTTGCAGTTTCAGCAGATTTGATCAGCTCGTTGTAAACGTGGGAGATCCGTATAGGAATCTGTTCTACCTGACTGACATAACTGCCGCATTTTTCTGCTCTTACTGGATAATGCTTTCAGAAGTAGTTTCCTTGGCAACCTTTGTGTGGAGAATAGTCTTTGCTCTGGACAACCCTTGTCTGAATGAAATCACTGCCCACCTGAGTTAAATATTTTTAAATTATAAATCATTACGTACTCAACGATAGATCAAATCTAAGCTCGAATTATCTGTTGTAGTCTCTTGCTAGTTGACATAAAATGTCAACTCGAGTAATTTTTACGAAGAACTTTTTGAGTTCTCTCTCTTTAGGTCTTTTCTATGCGAATCGACACTTTAAATCGGATTTTTTTTGCTAGACCGTAGCATGCCCAAAAAAATCTGTTTCTGTCAATTACAATATTATCAGCGTTATTCTTTCATTTTCTTTGTTTTTATAATTTTTTTTCAATTCTCAGTTTTTTACAGTACACATTAAATTTTTTTCTCAATGTATTGTTCATATTAACTTTTTCAAATTGCAGAAAAAATTTGAGTTTCAGGGTCTTTAAGTTTCAGAAATGGCCAAATCCGAATGCCTTTCAGTTTATATGATAACAGGTTCATTGTGGAGTAACTCAGTATTTCTAGGAGGAAGAAGTTTCAAATTCTGTTCGTTTTCTTTGTATTGCAAGTCCGTAATAGCTCTGTTGCTAATCTCTGTAGCTAATATTTGCGGATTATAAACTTTCTAACTCAAAAGTAGTAGTTCCGTGAAAGTTCGCAATCTGACAAAATCGGCCGCAATTAAATCGTTTCATGGTGGAGAGGCTGTACATTGATTTATCAAATTTCGTTAAGAGTCTGAAGCCAAAATACTTTTATGATTTGCATGTTGCACCCCGTTCTTATTCCTTGAAGACAATTTCTGTGAGGCTATTTTGTATTTATTTTTTCAAAATTATCCCAGTAAGGAAACTTGACATTAGTTAAAGCTAATGTGATGTTTTTGGCAGGTCTCTATTTTCCATTAGTTTTCTAAATCAGCGCTGTTGTGATAAAGTTGGATTTCATCAGCATTATTCTGGAAACCAGTGATCAAAACGCAAGTTGCTGGTCTCCCTGTTATGAGGCACAAGTTTCAGAGCCCCCAAAGATGTCTGTATCGAAGACGTACGTAATGGTTTATCCGAAAGATATTACTTATTTACTCTTCTCTCAATTAAATTGACGGAAGCCAATGGTTATAGTCATGTTTTAAGTAATAAATAGTATATTTTTTGTTTGTCGTTGGGTTATGGGTAGGTATTTAACATTGATAATTAATAAGTTCATATTTTATCGTTTGTTGATATTGGTAACGAACTAAGATGTTATTTCTGTTTTCCTCCACGTTACAATTTCTGCATACATTATCGAGCAGCTGACACCGCATTTCATCCTATTCTACGTGCATTAAATCTTCATCAGGAAACTTGAAAAAATTTCCCGCATTTACTTTCAAAGTCGGGTCGTTCCATTAGGTGGAATGGAAATGCGGTATCTGGTGTTTTTTCGGCTTTCTGGAAAGTACCTATAATTTTCTCCTATCCCAAATCTTTTGTTAGATTCCCACTCCTAGCTTCTGTTGTTGCTAAGTTACTAAGCTGTCGACGTTAGGAAGTAAGTCGGGGACGAAAGCGCTGTTTGGAAAAGGCAAGATTTTAAAGCATGAACGTTCACAGTTTCCTTGTTTTATTTTGATTTTTGTTCGTTTTAACTGCTCTTTATTTTCTATGTAACTAAGTCTCTTTTTTTTCTCTATTGTGATATTGATTTTAGATTTAATTTAAATTCTTGTGGAACTATTTTTTGTCCCTTTCATGGGAATCAACTCGACTCCGAGCATTTTGAACGAGCCAACCTTTCACCAAAAACCATTAACTACCCTTGAGCCTTTGATCTCGCTCGTTTTATGTTGAACCTCAACGCAAGAAAATTTTGTTTTTGCTTGCAAATTACAATGAAGGATTGGTGTTGATCCCTTGACTACCATACGAAAAAACTTGCTTCCCTCGCTAGTTGACATTCTTATGTAAGGATAACTGCCAAGCAGCGAAATTGCCTTTCAATTCACTCATACTCATTGGGCCATTATCAAATGGTCGCAGTGACCTGAACAAGTTCCTTGCGCAGTCCTTTGCTGTAATTTGTTTAATTTAGTTTTTCTCTCTTTTTCTATCGTGCGATTCGTCTATTTTACTCTTCACTCTCAAATCATTTTAGTCCATCTGTAAGCTTTCCTTTTACCAGTATTCAACTATTCTCTTCAAAAGCTAGGGCTTGCATCAAAAATGACTGCCAATAGTCTGCCGTTTGAATATTCAAGTTTTTCAAAATTTTGCTTGAATTCGTTGCTGTTGTTGGAGATCAACTCTGAAGGAGTCCACTTAATTTTCAGAACACTTTGTGTGGGTCAGCTTGGTTTTCAGACCACTTTGAGTGGGTCTACCTTATTTTTTTGGAAACTACAAATGTCATGAGAAAATTGATAAAGTGTTACAATGGACTTTTTCCTCAGGTGAAGATTATATAGGTACATATTTTTTCCATCAAACCTGCCAGTTAATTTAAAAAAAAAAAAAACTGAACCTTGAAGGAAAGCTTCATATGCAATTTAGTTTTGTAAACTTCCTTGCTTTTGGAACCCATGCGACCAAAACGTAGTTTCTAACTCACCTTTTTAAAAATCCAGCAAGTGTCAAAATTAAGTAGGCACAGAGTGTCCGTAATTTTTCCTCACTTTGAATCCAATTAAAAAACTGCTGGATATTGTGAAAATATCAATTCCTTTGCCAGTGTCTACTCTCAGCATTCAAAGTTTCTCTGAAAAGAAAGTAGACAGCTATGCCCGAAAATTCACTCTCATATTATCGATTTCAGTGCGAGGGGAGATTTCACCCTCTATTGGAGTAAACAAATCTAAAGCTTTGCTTAAATTAAAACTGCGAATCAAAATAAATCATCACATACGGATGATGTTTGAAGGTAATTCTGGAAAGCTGTACAAATTCAAGATCTCAACTCTTTATTGTATCATCTGCACTCGCTGACAGTTTCTATTTTTCCTTTTTTATAGTTTCTTTTGTTTTTATTATTTTTCTATTTTTTTAGTTCGTTCATGGTTTTTACTTCCAGAACTTGTTAAATTCATGCAGTGTGTCATGCCTTTAAATTCGTTCCCTTTGATAACTTTAAGAACCCTAAAAAATATCAAATCAAAATTTTTGATACAAATTTTAGAAAGCCCACCATTGATATCCGTTGAAAACCATCACAACCTGTGTTTCAGATCTTCTGACAGCTGCTTTCGTGCTAATCACCCAATTAACAACTTATCGTGTCTTTGCGTTTTTTCCTCATAATCCAGGTCTCTATGTAACCCTACCCTCCGTCCACTACAACACATCACAGACACATCCCCATTGATTCTGCTATGGTGTTATACCTTATGTTTTGATTCGCTGTGCTGGTTCTTACTAACTTTTGAAATCTTCTACAAGTTACACTGTCGTGTTATGGGTGTCTTCAGAAATTCATTTGCTGTCTTGTTATTTCCTTGCATCCCCCCTCCCCCTTGTTTTTTTGTCTTGTAGGATCCTGACAATTTAATGCTAGCTTATTCACATCCAAAAGACCTTTTGTTCGTAAAACTCGGCAACTACATCGGGAAATTTGCATCCCTTTTTTTGGGGGGAGAAACAGAGTGGGAATAAGATTTTAAATATTTGTTACATGGTTAATAAATTAAAGTATATTTTTAGTCTCTCGTGACGTATTAAATACGGCGCAACGGGACAGCGCATTTAATGCGTCATTGTGATTGCTTCCATTCTGATGGAAGGATAAACGAATCAATTTGCTGAAAACTTTGTTTATTTGTATACAGTCTACGACTTGTTATTCTGGAGACCCCTAACTGTTTCAAACCTCTGAATATAATTCTCTAGTGAATGCGTGACGACAAGTGCATGTGTGCGTGCCTCACTAGCGTTAATATATTATATATATACTCGTTTTTATATATATGTAATATATTAAGTTTTCAAAGTCTTTATTTGTTTCTTCTTTTTCTGCAGAGCATCAAATGTTTATCTTGTTATATTATATTCTCCTCCCCAAAAACCCTTCAAATTTGCTTCTTTTATGGATTTATGTTTGCCTACTGACTTCGCTTCTCGTTCCATGTTTGATCACATTGCAAAATAATGCTAGTTAGTGACCTTTTTGCAGTTCATCAAAATTTGTTCTCATTCTAACCTAACTTGTCCTCATGGTAGGTGAAAAACCTTCCTCCAGTTTTGCATGCTTTTCGCTGTATTATTCCTGAAACATTTCAGTGCGTAATTCTTATTGTGTAAGAAATCATGTTGTTCTTTGGAACAACATGATTTACCAAGCCCAATATTATCAGAAACTGTTAACTTATTTTTTGGTCCTCGTGGTGCAAGACTGAATTTTAGTCGCTATTTTCGTTCATCATCATCTATGTAAAAGATACGACTAAGTTATCCAATCTGGATGATCTGTTTTAATTTAAAAAATAGGAAGTAGGTACTTTTTACTCATCTTGATTTTAGGAACATTTAATCAGCAAAAAAGCATGTCAATCAGGGAAAAATTCATCGATCAACTGTGCCCTTTTTAATTTTATTGTGAAAGCTTGAAATTTTTTCCTCTGGCTGTAATATTACTTATTTTCCGCACTATGGACAAAAATTAGAACTTAAGCCTTCAAGCTCACAGATTTTGAATTTTTATAATTTCAAAAAAACTTGTCACCCTGATGAAATAACCATATCATTTCCATGAAATGCAAATTGCACGATATTGGCTAATTACAATAAAAAGCAACTTGAAGATTTTCCTTTATATGATGTTATCCATGTTTCACCTCAATTTTTGAAAATTGTGTAAGAAATCTGTCATGCAAATATGTTTGCTAGAGAGAATGATAGCGTTTCAATATGAAGATGGAAGCAGTAGGCAATGAAAGTGTTATGTCATTAGTTAAATACTTAACCGGTTTTGTGTTTATGTCTGTTATAGTTTAGTACCTGATTAAATGTTTGATGCTCTTACATTTAAGGTTCATTAAGTTTACTGTCTCATCCTATGATTTAGCGGCCCGTACAGTGGTATTGCAGAACCACACTTTGAAAGTGTCACAGTTTACTCCACCTCAAAGCAATGCATGATGAAATTTTTGTTTTCAATCGGTTCTCTTTGGTGAAGGAAGTTGCGGTGTTAAGGGGCTGGCTTTTATGATCATGCGTGATAAAATTCGCATCGGTGTTAAGTGTTTTGGGACACCCTAAAGGTATTGTTATAGGACTTTCAGTTTATTTAGCGAGTTAGTTATTCTGTGTAGATTGTATTGAGTTGAAAAAAAGTATGTATTGGGAATGAAAATTGCATCGGTGTTTGATTAGGGACAGACACCCTACAGTTTTTACATTTTTTTATTTTTTTTCTTCATTGTAATCAAAGTTAAAGATGAATGGATACAAATTTTAAGTATGTTAAAAAATTGAGTCAAGAAAAGAAAAACGATAAAGAATTTTGGAAAAAATTTGAAAGAAAAATTGTGTACTAAGCGCCAAGCGTATCACGTAATCATTTTACTTTTATGTATTTGTTATCATATTGTCTTTGTTATTGTAAATTATTATTTATTAATTCATTCAGTTTTCCCGATTTATTTATTTTTTTAAGTTGAAACCAAGTAAAGATTATTTCAGTTGCTGACATGAACCACGTCTTTTGTTTTCTTATTCTGTCTGACTTGTTAAATCAATTGAAACAATTAAAACCTAATTGATTTTCAACAGAGAATTTGTCACTTGGAATCTCATAAATGCTCATCTTGACAGTAGAAAGTCCTATATATCGTACCATTGAGTAATCTTGCTGATTATCAATTCATATATTGCCATTGCAAATTTGACTTGCCTTTCTCAAGCAAATCAAGCAGTATTAAGACCTATCATGTTCATTTGTGATGGTTAAGTGTAAAAAGACTTTTGAATGCCAGTTTGAGATATGTTTATCACTGCCGATAGAAATTTTCATTATTCTTTTTAACACAGAAGACATCCAAAAATGTCGAACTGAACTGGGGTTAGATGATTTGAAGTTTGCAGTTCTGATAAGTTCGCCGTTTAAAAACGTCCGATTTCCCATGAACAGTCACAAACATGGAAGCCTCTCAAAAGAATTTATCATGTCCCATTCTATGAAAGATGTGATGAATGGGAACATTTTAAGATTTATGTCATGCTTGCATTGGGTGGCTTATTGTGAGAAACTCCATTTAAAATAATTTGATGTTCATCCTGTCTCTTTTTTGTCATAAATTTGGAAATCTAAATTAGGTACCCAACTCTTAACACTTATTTTGACGTGGCTATTCTCTGAGATAACACAATAAGCCAATAACTAAAATTTGATACTTCATTTGACAAATAACTTGACCGAGCTGGAAAGTTGGGCGAAAGTCAGAACATCCTAAGCGGAATCAGATATTGCTGAGATTTTGCAACTTTTTCATTTAATGGGGAAAGAGTGGCACAAATAACATCTTCCTTCTTGATTAAATTGACAATTTCGAAAAGGGACCATCTTCAAAATTTGAACATATCAAGTTTTCCACAGGAATCGATTCCTAACGAATAAGCAAATCAGCCCCCATGCGCTTACAGCTGGTTTTGCTTAGAGTACCTGTATAGCGAGAGTATGGACAGATGTGAAACTCCGAAAATCCATCAGGCCTTCACCGATGCTTCTGCGAATAAAGTTAGGGCCCAGAAATGCAGCCAACCTATGAATTTCAATTATCCAGAACGATTTACTAATACTATTGTTACGAACCGTCGTTTATTAAGCACGTGTTTGACTCAGTTTTTGCATAAATTTACTCAAACTCGCGGAAGAACGCTCATTTCTGTACATTCTTTGCCATCATGGTCAGAATTGGAATCTGCAGACTGGCAGTGAAATTTTGTGCGTTAGAAGTTGGTTAGAAGGGTGGCTGCACTTTTGGGCCCTAAGCCCTCCATTAAGCGATCTGTCCATACTCTCGCTATACAGGTACTCTAGTTTTGCTGTGGTACATCCTTTTCCAAGGGGTCCCATTTACCACAATTTCAAATAGGGGAGGTGTCTTTTTATCGAAATTTACAGGTAGCAATGATGCTTAGACCAAAATTATTGTTCAAATACATTTACTTCCTTTGATTGCAAGCTCCAGGATCATTTTGATTTTCGTGTCATCCTTGGTTAGACTGCAAACTTTACGAGGGGGGACCCAAAAAAAACCGGAATTTTGCTGTAACTTGGCAAGGATGGAAAACATTCGTGTTCCACCGCCAGGAGGTGTAACTAGGAGCTATGAAGAGTCTCTAGGCCAAATTTCAACATCGTAGCACATTTTCTTTCCATGTTGGCAAGACTTGGCTTCAGGGGTGTTTGGCGACTTCGTAGTTTTTTAAGATAGGTGATTTTCATAGGCTATGTGCGGCTAAACTCCGTTAATTTTTGGAGTGAATGTTGCAGGGAGCATGATTTACTTATAACATAAGTGAACAAATGTTTTTCTTCTTTTTAAAGTTTGATTTATTGTTCCAACGTAGGCTGAACGTCAGGCGGCCGTCACCGGCTAGAGCGCAAAATAGGGGCTCAATGCGGCAACAACGTGTTTTATGCCAAAATTTTTCACAGCGATGTTCTGAATATTTCTGTATTACATCCAAGTGATATCTGCTAGTAGACGAAACAATATTTAACCATGTTCATTCACAAAAACGAGATTTATTTCATGTTTTCATCGGTTCTAGCCGATGGCGATAACGGTTTAGGGCCGTACAGGGGTTTCGGGCGATACAGACCATTTTGAAACTGAAAAACCGTACTTACACTGAACTTTTTGATAAAGCTTGTCCTTCAGAAGCAGCACTTCAAAAGGTTAACAGAGAAAGTCGTATTTTTATCGAGCATGAGAGAAAAATTTGAGCTCTAAGTGTTGTTACTGAAATTGACCCATCTTAAAAAACTACGAGGTCGCCAAACACCCCTGAAGCCAAGTCTCGCAAAAATGGAAAGAAAATGTGCTACGATGTTGAAATTTGGCCTGGTGACTCTTCATAGCTCCTAGTTAGACCTCCTAGCGGTGGAACCCGAATATTTTCCATTGTTGCCAAGTTACAGCAAAATTCCGGTTTTTTTTGGGTCCCCCCTCGTACACTGTTTCAGCAACCAAAAGCAAGTGGTACTTTTATTGCTACGACCTTACTAAATGCAGAATTCAATTTATTCAAAAAGGCTGGAAAATTTGGCACCCTCTGCTTACACAACGGATGGTCCATTTTCTGTTGCAGAAGTGGACCCGTGTTCAGCATAAGTAAGGTTCAAGAGAGGACCCCGCACACTCCTAATAGGAAAGAGTGCCCTGTTCGATTTCCTTTGAATTTTTTTTATGGCATTAAACTCGTCTACGGATGCTGATCAAAAGGCATCATTGCGCAAACTTTTTTTAAAGCACCGTTTTCGGACAATCTGCTCCTTGAAGTTTCATTAATTCCTTGAATATAAGAAGGCAGCAAGCGCTAAAGAGTCAGAGAGACCCTCTTTCTTTCACCAACTTGAGAACGTTTTAGATAAAAACGAGGAAAACCCCAATTAGTGAGAGGTAAAGAGGAGAGTGGGAGAGAGAGAGAGAGAGAAACTGATTTGGATGGTCAAGCGAAAAAGCTAGAGAAATCCGAGTTACAACTGCCTCCTGATTTCCTTCTTGACACAGGCTGCCGACTGTACTCCAGCACTATAATCGCCGCCCTGACTCCTTTTATTCAAGGAATAATCAAAACCTCCGGGGGGCAGATTATGTGAAAACGGTGCTTCCAAGAAAGTTGGCGCAATGATGACTTTTGATCAGCATCCACAGACGAGTTTACTGCAATTACAAAATTTGAAATCGGACAGGGCACACTTTCCCACGAGGAGTAGGCGGGTTCCTTCCTGAAGTTTGGCATTTTGAAAAGACAAGTGATACATTATTTAGAAAGTACGTCAAGAATTTTATGAAAATAAAATCGGAAGCTAATCCTCATAATTACGGTTCAAATGAAGAATATTTACAGAATATAGAACAAAAATTAGCCGTTGACTTGAAACGTAATAAAATTGAGGTAAACCCTAGGGAAAAAGAGGCTGAAATCTGTCTGAATAGTCAGTGGGAAAAATTCGGACAAACAAAGTATGAGTCAAACGGAATATGTGGCTAATGTAAGAGGAGTTTATGAGATATTAGTAGATGTTAGATTGGCAGATATAAGTGTTAATTATCTGATAGAAGAAACAGTACAGATGAGTCATAAATTTAAGGTTTATCACGTCGAGAAAAATGCAAATACTAATATTTCTATAGCTTTATTCACAACAGCAAATGCGAGACAAAGATTGTACGAAATATCAGATGAGCTAGGTACGGCTGTTGTTATAGGGGTACAGATTCTGTGGTTTATTCAAATGACGAAAAAAAATACTGTTCAGACAGGTAGGTGATGAGCTTGGGTGGACTCATGAGTTCCAAAAAGATGAGTTCATGAGGCTATGAGTGATGATTGATCCTGTGAGTTAATGCCATAAAACTAGTCTAGATCAAAATAAGAATAAAATAAAAGGTTTTACGTATAATTATCAAAATTTAGAAAAATTAAAGAGACACAATGCTGCGATCAATCAGGAAAATTATGAATGAACTTCGAATAATTCTCTAGAAATTTGATTATTAGTAAAATAGAGATGTTAAATTCAAAATTTCAGTAAATAAATCGGAAACCAAAAAGTTTCAGTTTGAGTTTGACATGAGAAAATCTTATCAAAATATGATACCTACTGTACTGTACGGTTATTGTATCCAAAGTAAAGAAACATTTTTTTGGGGGGGAAGGGCGCCTCCAAAGAGATAATTCCTCAACTTGAGGAGGGGGGGGGAGGATGTTCTGTGAATACGATTAATATGTGATCCAAATCTCAGAAAATTAATAAGTAGTAAAGAAAGATTAAATTTTTTCTTCACTGAACCTTCCTTAGTTGATGGTTATTTTTGTGATATTGATGCTGATTTTGGTGCTTTTTTTACTGAGTATTTGAACCTGGTCTGCCGGTGCATAATTTCCTGAAATCGATATTAATGTTGGAATAGAAAAAGAAGAGATTTGGGATGAGTGTGCTGAACTTAACTGTAGTGGTGAGAAATGCGAAAGTAGAGGTTCAAAAGCGGAAGAAAGAGAATAATTTTTTAACCATGCGTTTTGTTGTTTGTCTGAAAGGGTGGGGGAAAAAATGCAATTTTCTTCTTTTATAAATATGTATGTATTTTATTACGATGTTCGTATTGATTTTGGGGGAAAAGGAGACAGTTGGGAGGAGTAACTTCCATGTCCACCATTACTACTTTTAATGGTGCTTTTATGCGCCCAGATACTTTGAGCTTATTCAAGAATGGCCAACTGAAGTGAGCTTTAAGCCAGTTAAAAGTGGTACTTGTTAGATATCTTCATTTATGCTCACTTTCAACACATGTAAAATTACGTATAGGTAAACACATCTTCCTTTTTCATCAAACATTAAGCACATCTCTAATAGAAGTAAAGTCCTTCTGGAGGTATTATCGATCTGAAACCATTAGAACTCCACAGGAATTTTACAGAAAGTCTAAAAGGAATTGCTAGTTGTTGCAGAAATTGGTTTTTCTGTAAAATTATGATAAAAATAAGTTGCTTTCCCACATGAAAATGAAACGTCGAATTTTCAGTGATCTGAGGCAAAAAGAAAAGACCAATCAAATTGAGCCACAAGATAAGGTGAAGAATGAACTTCATTCTGCGGTAAAGAACTACAATTTCTGGCTCAGTAGTAAAAACTTATATGTTTATGGGGAAGTAATTGTACATAAGTTTATTTTAAACTAGGCTAGAAAGTGTAGTTCGAAATTGAAAAGTGTTGTCTAATCCTTAGGGGCTTTGAAAAAAACCTAAAACAAATGTTAAAATGTATAATTTGAAAAAAGGATAAAATTATAAAAATGTATAAAATAGGAAACCCTTTTTGTTCCTCTTTACATAAAATTTATGTAAAAATTACAATAGGAAGATAGAAAAATTATGAGAAAAAAAGGCATTGGAATTTTGTTACAGTCTAATATACAGTTGCTTATATTGATGCGAAACGCAATTATTCCAAAGTAAGCAACTTAAAATACTAAAATTTGATTAACTTTTTGGTTAAAAGTTACTAAAATAAAGTGATAAAAAACATGCAGGAGTGCAGGGTTGCAATTTATGTAAAAAAGCACAAAAAGGGGTTCCTTGTTCAGATATTTTAACAGTTTTTTTAATGAGTTTCCTCTTTGAAATTTAGGAGTTTTCTAACTCCTCCAACAGTCACTACTACTAGGGATGTTTCTGCTTCAAAAGTTATCACAACACGCTGGATGTATCCAAATATTCAAGTTCATTTCATTAACATTTAAATAAGAGTTTGGCATTTATGGTTTACACTGAAATTAGTTTGAATCTCAAACATTATACAAACTTCCTGCTGGCAAAAAACATTCAAAATCAACGCACGTGAGAGTAGCCATAGAAAACCAACTTATGGTTCTGTAAAGAAGTAGTGTTGAGTTTCTTCACATTATGATGCTCAATGCTTGCATAGCTGTCAAGCAGTTCGAGAAAATTATTCCATTTTAAGCTTTGCTTAAATTGATACAGTAAATTGGTTATCACTTGGTTTTTGGGGAAGCAAGAAGTTTGAATTTACAAAGAAGAAAAAACGCTAATTCCTCACTTAGGAAGTGGATTTGTAAATTATTGATGCGTCTACCATGTTCTGCGTGAAATTTTGATGAGTAAACAAGTACAGCAAAGAACACAGCAGGACATATTGACAAATTTCCTAGGAAATTTAACATAACGGCACTTAAGAGAGCAATTTTTCAATGTATGACACAATCTTAAGGAAGGACACTGGTTTAAGTTGAGAATGAAAGTATAAATCTGGTATCATAAAACGTACAACTTTTGACACGTTGTTAATTGTTTCAGAGGTGTAAAAATTCCAAAATAGTAACAACTATCAAATAAATAGGAAGTAAGAGAAAGAGTTGATATCTGGCATAATGAACTGGAATTTAACATTTTACTATAGACAATTCTTTTGCATGTTCAGAATCTATTACAATTTCGAGGGAGAGGCATGGATTTTGAGATCCCACAAATCAAAAAATTGTCTAGAGAGCCATTTTCTGGGTTTCATGCTGTCCCATTTGCAAAAAAGTAGGAGATAAGGTGGATCCAGACAGACCCATGACAGCTCTCAAAATTTGTTGAACATCAGGACGAATCCAGACAGACCTTCGACAGCTCTCAAAATTTGTTGAACATCAGGACGATCTTGATTTATTTTACTCTGCTTTTTTCCAGTTTGTTGGATTCCAACTAAGTTTACATTCACTTTAAGAATACAGTTCCCTAAAAATGTACCTCTGTTCAAGTGCACAGAGGACGAGTGATCTGGACTAATGCTATTATTTAAAAACCTTGCAACCCATCAAATTTATCTTGGTTTTGTTTGAGAGAAGACGTTAGAAGAAATTAGTTGATTAAATCTTATCTTACTATATTATAAATTCCTAAGATAATTGTAGAGATTTTGGGCATGCTGTCCTGAAATTACCATTACAGCAAGATTTAGGAAATGTCACGCGATTATGATATTTTATCTGTTTTGATGCACTTCAATCGTCTTTTTTTGCATATGTTAGCAGACAAACCCGATTTTAGGACAAACTAGAATTTCCTAGGACAAACTCGTTTGCCGGAAGAAATCTCGTTCGGCCTAAGCACCTAGGATAAAGTAGTTTGGCCTAGGCCGAAACTAGTTTTTCCTGAGCAATTTAGTATAAACTAGTTTGTCCTAGGTGCTTTAGGAAACACCTCGAGTTATAATTTTAACGGCACTATCATGTGATTGTTCGGAAGAAAACTTCACGTTTTAACGCCTTCGCACGTAAAAAAGCACTGCACGACACGAGACTATACATTCATAACGACTAAATTTATAAATGAAAGAAAGTAATTAAATTGAATACGGCATTAATAACAACACAAAGTAATGTCGCGAACATTAACGTGCTCCTTATCACTGCTCAGCGTGGACTGGTGATCACTGCTCAGCGTGGACTGGTGTTTTGATTGAGACTCTTATCGATAGTTAATTCGATAGATAAGTACCGATTTTTGCAATAGAATTGATAGCCGAACGTTTCTTCAAAATCCTAGGCCAAACTAGTTCGTCCTAGTAGTTTCGCCTACGTGCTGTAGGATAAAGTAGTTTGGCCTAGGAAATTCTAGTAGGGCCCGCGGTAACTAGGCCAAACTAGTTCGTCCGAACGGGTTCGGCCTAAGCCAGAACTAGTTTTGCCTATGTGTTTTAGGAAAAACTAGTTCGGCCTAGGCCCAAACTAGTTTCGCCTACATGCTGTAGGATAAAGTAGTTTGGCCTAGGAAATTCTAGTAGGGCCCGCGGTAACTAGGCCAAACTAGTTCGTCCTAGGAAATTCTAGTTCGTCCTGAAATCGGGTTTGTCCGCTAACACATATTTCATTTTAGCTCAGATATTGCTAAAAAAAACTGCAAAGCATAGGACCAAGGACACAGTCCCTTAGTTAAGAAAAAAAGTTTGAGGTTTGTATGGTAATCCTTTTAGATTCTTTTTTACAATTTGCACTTGGAGAAATATGCTGTTGAAACTTAGCATATGCGCTTTCACCAACAAATTCTGCTCGGCAAAATCAAACACGACATAATGATACTGTTTGTTTGTTTTGTTGCATTAAAAACGTAATTTTAAGAAAAATTTAAAATTTTAACAAAAATCTATGAATGAATTGCTTACGCAAAAATAATTGGCGAAGTTTCTGCCTTGAGGATTTTCTCTGGTGTGTTCACGTCTTGTGTAGCTTTTTTTCATCGTTTCTCATGCCTTTTATGCAAACTCTTTTTAAGTAAGGATAGATAGAAATTAATAGAAAAATACAGAGATCAGCCGCCGCACATGCTAGCCATAGGTTGTTATGCTTACATTTTAATGCCAACGGCTTGTCTTGCTGAAACGCACAGGGGACATAAATGGGATAGGGTGTAGGAAAGGAGAAGAGCCTCAAGATGTATTGAAAGTTCCGCAGGGATAAGGAGGTGTTAAGGATTAGTTTGAAGATTGTGCCACCAGACCTTTTTTTAAGTATGAATAAAGACAAAACTAATAAAAGAACGGTACAATTTTAATGCTTCTTCTAAAATTTAATTAATTTGTTCTTTTATTTTTTTGTCTTTATCCATACTTAAAAAAAGTTTGCAAAGGTGGCATGAGAATACGAAAAACTGCATAAAATACAAATGCATACTAAAACAATAAATCCAGCAGAAACTGTGTCAATTCTTTTTGCGCGACCAATTTCACAGATTTTTGCTTTGTTATTATGGTGACACCTAAAGGTGTAAAACAACCAGACAACCTTGACAAGTCACGTTTGATCTTGCCAAGCAGTTTTTGGTGGGAAAAGAGCATCTGAGAAGTTTAATAGGCACATTTCGATGATGGTAACTTTTGATAAAAACTGCCGATAATTTCCTGCATTCAATTTACCATTTCTTGGACAGTTTTTGTTTCGTTAAGCCAATCTTGGTCTAAACTGATCTCTTTCAATGTCTTTTTCCTAAAAAGTGAAAGAATGAACAAGTATTTATCAGTAATATTAAAGAGTAATTTGTGATTTGATCAATATTTGCATTCAAAATAATAAAAACCTAGAGTCCTTACTTAAAAACGTGTAAAATATTAGAAATTTTCAAAATTCGACCGACAGCTCAAGGACCGAAAAAATGACTGATTTGACCTTCAACATATCCACTTCCAATCGTTTGAGAATGAGTTGAGAAAAACTTGAAGTCTGATTGAATGATTCTTTATCTATCAAAAAAGATCCCTGGATTCAACTTGCACAAATCCAAGAGACTTGTTGAGACATTTCTTTGTACTTCATAGGGACTCATGGACCTTGTTCTTACAAAAAAATGGCACGTCACGATTTTGCCCAAGGCAAAAAATGTCTTGAGTGAACTGTTCACAGCAAGGTCAAGTTGTTTCTCCACAACGAATAATTAGCTGTAGTCCATGAGCGGAATTGGAATGTTTGAATTCATTATACTCTTGGTGGACTCTTTTGTGCTTATTGGCATACAATGCTGACCTGCAAAAATGGAAAACAAGGTAGATAAATATTTGACCTTCAAAGGAGATATTAGAGCAACAGGTTCAGCGGGCTGATTATTGAAATTGATAGACAAAAAGATAGAAAAAGAGGTTGGCAGGCATATGGAGCAATCCTATTGGTTGAAACTGGTTTCTTATAGCAGAATTCATCTTTACTCCTGTAGGTCATTATTGCACAGTGCAATATAAAGCGATATTTTTAGGGAATAATGTTAAAATATCGTCTGAAAAATATTCACAGTGACATCCCTAGAAGTTAAGAACAACACTATCAGCGTTGTACATACTGCTGGGTAACAATGCAAAAATAATCATAAAAGGCATCACTACACAGTAGAAAATAACTTTAATGTAAAAAAAAAAAGACTATTGTCGCTAATTTTAACCTTCAAAGTTGATGTGATATCCCCCAGTGGATGCCCTCTGTCTCATGAGTAACATTGTTTCAACGTTGCTGCTGCTTCCATGTTCAATATTGCTCACATCAATGCTAGCAAGCGAATTTAACAACCTACAGGATGTTGCAATCCTATCAGTGCTCAGGATGCACTAAGTCCTGCTAAAGAATTTGATATTCCAACTGATGTTTTTCTTCTATATTTACGGCCTGATGGAAATACATACAAAACAATTCTAGTAAGAAATGTGTCAGTTAATAATTTACCTAAATTCTTGTATTTGCTAAGTTGAAGATAAACTTGCTTCATGCGCTCAATGTTTATTCTGCTAGCGACCGCATGATTGACCATTGGTAGTGGGTAATCTTCTCCAATCAAACATTTGGCTGCTTTCTGTACAGGACCAGGAGCTATCCATGGTTCATGGATATACTTTGTTGGCATATTTTTTAAAACCGGTAAATATTTCCTGAAATAGAAACAGACAAGGTGTAAGCCTTCAAATATTTCATCTGTTTTCAAACTGCAAAGAATGTTTCAACTTAATTCATCCACAATGAAATTGCCATTCACTTATCTTGGTTTGCATCGTCATGTTTTCTAACACTTATGACTCTTTTGTAGGATACCTAATCATTATAAATGCAAATTCTGCTGTATTTAGAACTGCTGATCTACTTTTATACCCGCTATTTACTTCTCCCCCTCATCCCTTGGTAGTGTCAACTATCTGTTGCTCCAGGAATTAATTCCAGTATTTTTGGTTCATGACATCATGGATGCACGCATTTATGACATCACGAATTTTGCTTTCCCATTTACTACTGAATTTCATTTCCTCATCTATGATATGACAGAGGCATTCATCGTGAGTGACTCATTCATTTTTGACTTCCATTGTTCCTCGTTGAAATCCACCAAGCATTGGCATCACTCAATATTCACTGATTTGTTGGATGTTTTTACGCTGGGAAACGAACAACTGGATTTTCACACCTTCCAACAGCCATTGACAGACATTATGATTTAGGTAAGTATTATTCTAGATGAAATCAGTAAAATTATGAACAAACCTAATATAATCTCCATTTGGATCAGCTTTGCGACCGAAGCGGACAGGGTCATAGCAGTGGAAAAACTGTTGGAAAAACGATGAGCAAGACAACCACATCCACATTCCAGCGTTCACCGACCAATCTGCGTCCAGAAGTAACTCCTCAAAGACCTGTGAGCAAATATCAAAGTTCCATTGGCCTCAGATACTAGGAAGGCTATTTGGCTAGGTAAATGATTTTGAGGGACTGATGAGGATGTATAGAGTTCTAAGTGAACAACACCATTTTGAATTGTAAGTAACTAAGTATATTTTACATATTTATGATCCACACCTTGGCTTTTGTGCTTTCATTGAAAATGACTGACACCAATAGGTCCAAAATCAATAAAGCAGCGTATTCTATAAAATGGGAATGGATGCTCATGGCGACGATTAAAAAAAATAAATAAAAATACCCACGACCTTATCTGCAATCTGTGCAGAAATTTACTGGAGGGACAACTTTAACTAAAATCAGCTCAACATTGCTTCATTTCCACCGACTACATTTTTTTTTTATGAAAAATAAGGCAAAATTCTGCCTTCAAATTTTGAAATTATCTGGAAACAAATTCAAAATGAGTTTTTAAATATTACATAGTTCCGTTTTCGGTAAAAATCATACAGCATTGGAGGGAATCAGGTAATGTGAAATGCAGTTGGATGAATTCTCATTGAAATAGTCTATTGCTTATTTTGTGAAATACTATAATCTTCTTTTCAAAATTTAGAAATAAGAAAAAACAAAGAAAAATATTATCTTCTATAAAAGGTTGCAAGTAATTGGGGACCATTATGCCATGTCACCGAGGACAGGAGTAAAAGCAAAAATGAAGTTTTGAGAAAATGGGCTGGGTAGCGTCCAAAGGGAAAATTTTATTGAAAGAAGTCTCTGTTCTTCGTCAAACGGGCTTGTTGGAAACGATTGCTAGAGTAAAAGTAAGAGTTGTTCCTTGTAGATAATGATTCAAAAATCACGATGAGCGCATTGGCAAACTCTGAAATGTACTCCTAACTTCACAATCTACGTAAGAAGTTTGCACTTTTTTAAGCTTCCTGCTTCAAAAAGGATACTACAGCACAGGTGAACATTTTGTAAGAGGAGTCGTTCCATTCAATCCCTGCTCAACATGGCCGACGCTTAAGCTCGCAAGTAGAGGAGAGCACGAGGTCAATCAAGGCGGATATCTATCAACGCAAGAAAAATGTGAATGTAAAAACGCTGATTGTTATCAGGTGGTTAGAATCATTGTCACACATGTTTTGGCGGATTGGCGTCAGCTGTGTTGAATATTGCGTAGTATCCTTGTGAGCAGGGATTGGATGGAATGACTTCTTCGACGAAATGTTCACCTGTGCCGTGGTATCGTTTTTGAAGCGGGAAGCTCGAAAAAACCCAAAAATTCTTATGCAAATTGTGAAGAAAGGAGTGCATTTCAGACTTTGTTGATTCACTCATCGTGATTTTTGAAACACTTTCCATGAGTAACAACTCTTATTATTGTTCTACCAAAAGTTTGCAACAGGCCCATTGCCTCTGATCATCTGGAGAACTCTCAAAAATCAGTTTACTGATTGAAAATTGCCAAATTTTATTTTCAACTACATAAAAGGAGCCTTTTTCATTTTCATGTTTGGCATGACTGCCTTAAATGACTATATTGCTTTTATGGTTGAGTTTTGGACACACAACAAACAAATTTTAAGATTGGAAGATTGGCATTTTGCAGAAAAGGGCACCATTTTACTCAATTAGTATCAATCCTAGAGTAATAATACCTCTTACTATTCTTCTGTCTGAAACAACATGACTTTTTGCACCTTTACAGCTCTCTGGTAGGTCTCGTTTTTAAGAATATAAGAGAAATTTTCCTGTTTTAGATGAATCATTAGGTTCATCTAAATTAGACTGGACAAATTTTGAAGGAAATTCAATTTAAAAAGTTTGAGCGTTTCTGCTCTCTTAGGTAACACAGCAGCGTTCTACATCATCGAAACCGTTCGAGAGTACGAGGTCTGTTAGATTAGAAACCGGATTTTGGTCATAACTAGCCCAAAATGCGTCCAAATTACGTTTTCTTGAGCTTTTCTGATAGCTGAAAATATACTTAAGAATGCTACGTTCACAAATTTGAAAAATCCTAATTAGCTTCGTTGGTATGTGGCTTGAAGTAAGGCAACCTCAAGGGTATTTTGCGATTTTCATGTTTGACCGAACTTGTCTCTCTTTTTTCGGTCTTGCATTACATTTTTCAACCCACAAGGACGATTGGAGTTTCGTCTCCATGTCGTAGCCGTACACTAAAGTGTTGTCACTGAAAATTATCCTATCCAAAAATGTAGGATCATTGTTAGAACGTTCAAGCAGCTAAAGGGAAATTGACATTTGGTTGGATTTTCGTTCAACGGACAGCAATCAAGGGGCAAGTGTACCTGAAACTCGATGCGTGTCTACATATTCTATCAAAATTGTACGTACAGAGCCTTCAGAAATATTACTCTGTTCAACAAGCTCGAAACGACCATTTTCGAGCACTTTTGCCCGCACTTCTTCCACGTGACAAATGTCAGTTGCCGTTGAGGGTATATTCCCATGCTCCTCATCTTTGACGAACCCCTGACCAGTTTTGAATCGTTTAACCCATTCAAAACAGTGGGAACATCTCATACAATGATCATGGTAAACTTTACTTAGCATATACCAAAAGTTTTGGTGCAAGGTATACCGAGTTTAAAACAAAATTTAATGTTGAATCTTTGTTCTATCAGTGATCGCATGATAAAAATCGCAAAACGCACCTGACTTACTCGTATTCAAGATGACACAGAATAAGCACTGATCAGGATAAACAAAATCTGTGAACATAGCGTTCTTAAGTATATTTCCAGCTATCAAGAAAGCTCAAGAAAACCTAATTCGGACGCATTGTGGGCTAGTTATGACCAAAATCCAGTTTCTAATCTAACAGACCTCGTATAACAATTCAGCTTCAATTTTAGTGAAAAAATGAAAGGCCTCCCACAATACAAACCTTCATTCCTTCTTCCCAAGACATCCACAAGTCGCCGCGGGTAAGGAAACAAGCTACAGCATGCCTTGCAAGATGATGAATCCACCCTTCCTCTCTAAGTTGAGTCATAATGGCATCTATCCACGGAAACCCAGTTTGTGCCTGGAATAATAATCATAACAGCATAATATGGTTTCATAACAATAAAAATTCAATTTGACTATGTTAAGTTGTCGTAACACTGGGGAGATCAAACAGAAGATGGTAGACCCTCCCTCTTTAGTTGTGGAGTAAAAAGGAACGAGGAGCTGCCCCAGCGTAAGACTAATCCGGCAAATTTCTAATGTCATCGCCCTACAAACACCTAAGATTTTCACTTTTTAGGGTATTTTCTAAAGGCCAAACACTAGTTTTCAGTCCCCCTGCTAATGATACTTGTAGAAAAGTTGAATACTCACAGATGGCAAATAAAAAAGGGGCAGGTCACACCGGATGGTTGACAAAAATGGACCAAAATTCCATAAACCTTACTTATAATTAAGTATGACATCCTTCTTCTAAGATTTTTAGAGAATGTTGACAAGAGAACACAGACATCTCACACAAGATTTTGTTTGATAACGATGATAAGTTGTTTCCCAAATAAGTGAAATGATACAGGTAACCCATAACGTCCAAAACAGAGATAGGTTTGGTAGTTTCTTCAATGATAAACTTGAACACTCACATTTGCCCATTTAGCCAAAGCTTCAGCGTTTTTGTCCCATGGTATTTGTACACAGATCGGATTTCCGACCATTTTGTCAAAATTTGGATTATTCGTTGCAGCACAGTAAAAAAATTCACGCCATAGTAACTGACCGTGCAAGGATAATGGTGGGACCGCTTTCTTGATCTAGAGTAACAAAAGTCAAGCAAAAAAATGCAATACTTAGTTAAAGTGTCAGAGTTTTAAAATATAAATTAAATTTATAAAACACCCTGAATGATATGGACCTTTTGCCCAAAGCCTACCCGTTACAACTTGAAAAAGAGATCCCATAAATCTACAGAAGCAAATTAATGAGGATAGCGGTTTTTTAATAAAGAAATTGGTTTTTTTTTGTTTTTGATAGGAAATTTCACAGTACCCTTAGAAAAGGTGATTTGATTAATTATTGCACCATTGGTGGGTGTGAAGTTACATTACTGAGGAAAAAGAGTTCCAAATAAGGTAGAATAAAGCTGTACATAACGGTTTCTCTAAACTATAGTTTTTGAATTGAAAATTTCAAACTATCAAACTTTCAGTTTAGTTGAAATTTTTGATCGTTTCTTGCATCGTAATTCCAATTAGATGCAACACTTTTGAGCAATTTTTATGATCAAATTTTTTAAACATTCCCTTATGCAGTGGGATCAGCATCTCACATTGAGATACCGATCTCATAGCATATAGGAATGTTTTAAAAAATCAACCATTTAAATTGCTCAAAAATGTCAGCTCAAACTGGAATTTGGACGCTTTGGAGTTTTCATATTCGTAGGAAGCGGCTGTAAGGAAACACTACAAATTTAAAATGTTGACCTGCCATGTTTGCGGCGTTCAGCTGAATTAAAATACAACCTAACATCTACTATTCTCACATAAATTAATCGAGGTGATTGCAACCTATTCTTTGAAATGCTAGGAAGCATCTCATGTCTGAAACAAAGGCTGATTGTTTATGCCAAACTCGTCAAAAGTTATTTTCCTCGATTTAAAGGCCTCTGCACATGAAACTAAGGAATTTGGCTCTGGCTAAATTTTGTAATTTTTTTATATAATGTCCTTAAAAATTTCCTAGACATGGCAAGCTTTAAAAATTAAATCCATCTCCTTCAAAATTTGGAGAAAGGCAAGGTTGAGAAGTGAATTTTTTTTCATTTTCAAACACTTGCTCAGGAAGATGTGGCATTACGGGAGTGTCGAACAGCAGGACCTTTGTTCAGGAGCAGTTGACGTAACTGACTTGGATATCTTTTGGAGAATTTTACTTCTTTTGATATGTCTTATCTTCTAGCTGCAGGGCAGAAAGAAGAGCTTTCTTTCATCACCAGATTGGTGCTGCAACATTTTCGCTAGATACAGCACATAAAAATGCAGAAAAATTCACTTTTTAGACCTATTTTTCTGGAGTAGAGAATCTTTTTTTCAAAAACTTATCGAGTTTTGAAGGTCATAAAAAATATAATATGAAATAAGTAAAAATATAGGCATAAGCATGGTCCTTTGACTGAATCTCGGAGACTTATTTCACTAAATGTGCCAGCACATTAAAGTCATCTATTCAGGCCTCAATGATCAAGAGAAAAATCGGGAAAAAGCTTCGGAATGGAATAGCATTGGTGGAAAGAGTTATACTAATCCATGATGCAATAGTTTACATTATCATTCCTTCCTGGCTGAATCTATGGGTAAAAATCATCAAATGACAAAAATATTACATCAATGACCTTCTTGTACAAGTCGTTAAGCTGGTAATAGAAAAGCCGCGTTGAAAGGCAGCCAAAGCGGAGGTATGGACTTAGCCCAGTCTGGGAAGCCTGCAACGATTCCGGGGTCATTTTTGGGCGATCAAACGACGCAACCCACGCTTTTCGCTCCAAATGCCGTTTCAAGCGGGTCATTGCTTCTGCCTCACCGCCCAGCCATACAGGAGGCAAAAGACCTTCCGTCGAGAAACCTGTAAAAAATCAGAGGCAGAGGTTATTAGGATTGTACTGAGTTAACATAATTGTGCACAAAACTCAAAACTAAAAAAATAATACAAACGCCACAAAATAGTTTCCTCTGACTCTTGCAGTGCTCAAATCAGACTCCTTCACTGATTTAACAGCTGTATTCTTCGCTAATTGTCCCTGTACTGAGACAAAAAAAAGGCAATTTGATCCCCTGTTACTGAAAAAGATGGAGACTCCTATTATTTAGATTTTTCTTATTTTAAGCATGAACAATAATTTGAGATGAGAAAGCTAGATATCTTCCTCATGCTCAATCATCAGCATCCGAGGAAACTCATGAACACACTTGTTAGATAATCTTAGTCCATTCCACGAAACCTCCGCTGGTAAGATTATGATTGAAATCCATAAATGGCAATAAATTAGTCCCTGCTGTAACGACCTGACCGCTAACTTGACACTTTCTGTGCGAACGTTTCTTGGACCAGTTGTTCACCATCCTCAGTGATTACACAGTGATTCAATCCCTCTGCAGGATTGTGACAGAATTCAGAGAATTAAATTCTCTGCCATTTCCCTGATTTCTCCCTCACATTTTGGTCAAATTCCCTGACAATTTCGGATATGCCAGATGCTTGAAAAGACATGATTTGAACTAGTTTTCAGGCAAAATTTGTCGTTCAAAAGGTCAAACCCATTCTAAAAAGGAAATAAAGGTCACTTGACAATGTTCTCTGACATTTTCGTCATTTTCATGTTTTCTCGGACTTTTTAAAATTTCCTGACATTTTCCAGATTTCCTCGTATTCACTGACTGTGGCAACCCTGTAAACTAATCATTGAAACATGTGCTCAAAATTACTCGAAAAAACGAAGAAAATTTTTGTTTCAACGACTGATACGACTTTGTGGTATGATTTTTGACTTACCTAATTCTTCAAGTGTTGGGACCCCATACGTTTCATCATGATCCTCTGAAATTGGAGTGAACGCATTGGCAATGAGTCGAACAGAGACAGGTGATTCCGCCTGCTGCGGAGGATCTAGCTGTGCAATGACTGTTTGGAATTGGTGATATGTTAATGGGGCTCTCCCGCCATTTTTTTCAATTATCCTAAAGACAAAAAAATATTTAAATGACAAAAAAAATGAAAACTTGGTATAATTTTTTACTAAGATTTGGTTGAAAAGAATAAAAGAAAAATTCCCCATTCAAATTATACATTTCACACCTGATTGTTACCTTAATAAAGTTATTTTACTATTGTCAGGGCTATGTGGCAAGGGCAAAGTGTTCCTTGCAAAAACAGCAAATTTGCCTCCCTCCCAGGCAGAGAAAGAGAAAATTCCAATAAAGATATTTAGGGGGAATTATGAGGATGCTTTACTTACTATTCGAAAGGAAACGAGTGAGTCTTCAGTATCATTGAGTATATTTCTGTTATTTTCTATTTAAGGACCTATTCACATCTGATGGCAAAATCACCATAGATATCTCTGTCTAAACAACTGATTAGCCATGTCACAACTGTTGGTAATACATTATTGTAGGGAACTGAGGCATGGACATGGGGATTGCAATGCAAATCAAATTCCAATCCTAATTTCATCATCCTAAAGCTTGGAAGATGAGAGTTTGAGAGTCATTGAAATTAGTTTCAATACCATGAAAAAAACTTAGCTCAGGTGCTCTGAGACTACTAACTTCGAAGTAATCAATGTGGTAGGTTAACACCAAAAAACCAAATCGATTTACTGATTGATACTTGATGGACAATTTGCGATCTATGAATGCACTTAACCAACCTTATAGAAAGGATTGACTTACTTATCAAGTTTATAGAGGGTGTGAGAGACTCGAGAGATGACTTCTATACTTAGTTCTTTGCAGAGGGCCATTATGTTCTGATCCCGCACTTTCCCAAATGGTTCTGGGTCTTCTTCGAAACTCAAACATGTGATGTTCCATTCCTGATAAAAAATGAAACATTATCAAAAAACAATAACACCAACAATTTGATAGGCAAAATTATTTTTCCCATATAAATCAACAAACCAGTTCCAATAGGATATGCCTTAAAATTCTGTCACTGATGCTTATAAAATTGAAATAAGAGCTTGAAAAAGATTGCGGGTGGTCCCTCGTGGCTCCGCTAATTGATCTTAGGGGTTCTAAAAAGTTTTGCACCAAGAATGGAGTAATAAAAATTTCCAGGCAAAAGAGATGCAGTTCTCCAAATTCATCAGGCAACAGTGACTGCCGGCACTGAGATTCCCCTTGCTGCTGCGAAATATGTATTTATGAGTGAAAAATTACATAGCTTATCCTGAGACAGCAATGAGATATTAGGTGTTAAAAAACTCACTTTGAAAAGTTTCGGAAGAGCATCTGCTGGCTGACCTCGGATCACAAACAACCGAGAATTGAGTTTCCTTAAACTGCAGTCCAAATCTTCAAGACACTGCAATAAGAATCTGCAAAGAGGAAACAATTATTCAAGAAAAACTAGCTTCTAAAATCTAATACAGATGAGAAATATATACCTACAGTGATGGATGAATTTATTCCGATCATCTTTTTTCCTTCCAGTTTCGTTGCTCATCAGCCACATCTTAATTCCATTCAACTCAAAAGTACAATAGTGGAAATGAGCAAAATTCTGCATTTGAGAGGATGAGTAAAAATCTCTCCAATACTGAACCGATATAATGTGTCAAACAAACTATTTCTAACATATTTGATAACTATTTTATGACCATATAGTGCCTAGTCATTCCGATTTTATAAAATAGGGAATGGCAGGTGAATATGATGCAGGTTACTTAATGGTAAAGCTACAAGACAACATGCTCCACTTCGCACCATTACAGATTCCTTTCCCATCAAATTTTGCATATTCTTGTTAGGGATGGCTTAGTTCTGGGCTATTTTTATTTGTCCCCTGATGGAACTTCCCAAAAGTTTTGCACAAAATAGTCAGGTAATACTCTCTTGAAATAACAAAGAATGGGTAGAAATGTTTAGACATTGCAATTAAAGGTGTGTTATTTTCATAATTTCATCTTCATAGGTACTACAATGCATATTAAATTTCCATTGCATTAACAAGTAGGTGGTGCTATATATTACCTAATAGGGAGAGAAATGGGCTTTTCTTTCTTTATAAAATAAAAAAAAATAGCCAAAGGCTAATTTCATTAAGAACGCATGACAGAATCCGGCAACGCAAGTGGCAGTTTTAAAAAGCCATAAATATTGTGGATATTTACAATTTACAGTTGATGTGAATAACAACTGGTCCCCTTGGAATTTTTTTCCAGGTGGTGAATGAAACCATTCAGTAACAGCATAGGTTAAGAACCGCTCGCCAACAACATAAGAAGTACACCGCAAGTTTGAGTCATCAACCACTGTCCTTATTGTGAGCATGATTCACTATCTATTCAGTGAGAGAGCAGTGACATGAAAGTTTAGTCAACCATATTCAAAGTTCCATTTTATCTGTGAAACTGCAAAAACGCAAATCTTGTTTGCCGTGTTTCAAAATCTCCACTTCCATTTTACTTTATCAAAAGAAAACAAACCAACACTATCGTTTAGAAATTAGGTATACACAGAAATATGCTTCACCAAGAGATGCTGTTGAGAAGTATTTTAGGTAAAAAATAAATTAGGACAGAAAATCTGCCACATTGCAAACCGAGATTCTCATTTTTGCAGTTTCATAGTTGATTTTCAAGGGAAGACATAAAAACCAACAAAATTTCAAGACAATACTTATCTCTCTGCATAGACTGTAAAACAGCAGGAGGTCCTGACAGTTTCAGCGCTTTTTAGCAATTCTAATTTTGTCCTCAAAGATGCAGATAGCAGCAATGCATATAAGTACAAATTTTTATGACAGTCTCTTTTAAACTCAAGGCAAATACGCTGTGAATTTATTTTAGAGATACTAAACAGGAAACCTCACTTTTCCGTGCCCTAACGCCGCTATGTTTCAGATTTTAGAAGCAGCATAAAGCTGTTTTAAGAAAGTCATAATTTCAAGTTTTGACTGCGAAGTTCAATTTAAAAATTCAGTTATCGTTTTGAAGTGGAACAGTCTGCTAGTTAGTAGATATTCTAGCTGTGAAGCACAGATAACTTCATTGAGATGTATTTGTTATCTGTAACAGTAATCTGCAATTATAAAGGCAAACGTCATAAAAATTTTTCTGTAAAATTTACTCATGGCTGCAATATGTTACTTCAGTATACTTATATGTAAAACACCTGCTTTGATAGTGCAGCATTCTGCGAAACCCAATCCCCGCACCATTCTCTATCCGACAGATCACCAGGCAATTGACATCTTCTGATAGGTATCCTCCTCCACTCCTGATCTCCAACCTTTCGTGGGACATTCATACCAACTCCTTCCGGGAGGAGTCCATTCAAAAATATGCTTGGACAACCATTTGCCATTCTCTAAACATGTCCATACCAGACAAACTGCTTGCTTCAATCAAGTGATTAAACTTCAACCTTGGAGAAAAGAAAGAGGTGAACTCTTTCTCCTTTATCCTTGCTTTTGGTCCTTCTTACCTGTATGGAAACTGGATATTGGCCGTGAAACTACCAGACTGCAAGTCTCGCTTGCGGAGTTTAAAAATCTCCGCTTTCATTTTAATTTTTTCAAGGAGAACAAATAAGTATCATTTCTTGAAATTTTTACAGAGTTTTCTTTGCACAGAGAAGGAAACACACAGAGGTTTCCAAGAATTGACATTTTGTAGTTTTCTATTTGAAAAATAAAATAGGGAGTCTGCAACATAGTAGATCAGCATACGCTACCTGGTAGTACCACCGTCCATATTTAGATCTGTAGAATAGGGGGGTAGGGGGAAGTAGCCCTTCTAAAAAGCTTTCACTATTATGAAGCTTCCAATGTAAATTAAAAAAGGATGCGGCGGTAGGTTAACTATCGAGAGAAAAATTATCATTATACCTCCACTTGTTGATTCCAACATTTGAAGTACTGGCAAACCAGGGATCAATGATGAAGACACAGCGAAAAGTCGAAGCTCCAATCAGTCCTTCCATCAAACTTGGATTATCGTGCAATCGCAGCCCTTTGCGAAACCAATGCATAGTATGTTTGGACGTCTGACCCATATTGTCATCAAGCATAGCCTTGGTGTATAGTTCAAATATGATGCGCTTTTACCTATAGCACACTACATTTTCTAACACTGAGAGAGTCATTGTCCCTTTGACAGGGTGAAAAAGCTGAAATTTTTTTTTGAAAAAACAACACTCGCGCTTGATTCACCCCATGAGGAAAGTATAAGCACCGATGAAATTATGAGGAGATACTGATGAGAGGTCCAGAGGAGAAGGAGATGAGTAAAGATTTCCCAATTGATTGCCTGGGGGGGGCCTGTCAGGGCAGTCCAGGGTAAAATTCGCGTCACTGCACAATTTCTGAGATTCTGATGAAAACAATTAGTCAGCCCCGGGTTTAAAGGGATAAAAAAGTCGGGCAACAAATAAACGAAACTTTGTCTATTACGGCGCGTGCAGACAGTCGGAACGATGTATTTTTACATAATAGCTTATCACTGCTACACATATCAGTTATGTCATAATTCAACAGATTAATGCATGGGCGATACTTGAACCGATAGCTCTCGGGCCAGTATGAGACAGGAAAAGCGGGCTGGTTTACCGTCGGCCGGTCAGATGGGAGACCGTCAAGCGCAAAGTCGTGCGCTTCAGAGCAAGGAGTTAAGGGATGTAATTAAAACGAAAATAAACTTAAAAGAAGTGTATGAAACGGATCGAAAATTCGACAAAACCTCACGACACTAGTAGCGTTAATTTTCTGCGCTTGAACAACGTGACTTCAACGCTAGCGCGTCTCCGATTGGCTGGCGCACTCCGGTCACGTTCCATTGACATACGTGCGGCGATGCCAAACCAAGCACCAAAAGATTACTCATCGCCGCGGAAGTTGTCGAAAAATCGACTGAGGTGATCGGAAAATGCTGAAAAGTACTAAAATTTAAATTCTTGACGTGTTTAGTATCACTTGTGTTAATTCAAGAGAATGAAAGACTGTTTAGGAACAGACACTGCATTTAACTTGCTATGGCAACAATGTATCATGTTTCCTAGTTCCCAGCGATGCCGGGTGACCCGCGAAATACTGATTTAAGGTCGTCGAAAATGATAGGTCGCGCGGTCGCGCGGCAATAATTTTTCATTGGTTGCCGAGCGAGGGAAAAAACTTTTGTTTTGGATGCGCGCGCGCTTTCCCAGCGGGAACGCATACGTAAGTAAACGTGAAATTAAAAACACAGTTCCATTTTGAAATTTCAGAATGTTCAGGGACACTTTATGACCCCCCCCCCCCCCCTCCTGCGGAACTAATGGTCTCATTTCGAGGAATTTTTGTTCTCAATGTATTAGAGTTCAATAATTTTAAAATCGAAAACCTTTATAAAATATAGCTTCTAACTATATAAGAGTAAAAATTTACTGAAGTTTTGGACCAAATAAAATATAAATTGATGCCTTACATCTAAACTTCCCTTGAAAAGAGAGTAGAATTGACTAAATTTGCAGGAATTTTAACAAACAGGCATGAGGAGGGATCTTATTGCCTCAATACTTGTTCACCGGAGGTTGTTTCACATTGAACAATGAGGGGAATTATCCTCGGATCAAAAAGAAAATTCACCAAAAATTTTCCGAGAAAACTCAACCATTTTTTAATAAATAAATTTTCAAGAGAAACTTAGCGATAAAATTTAGTCCCCCTGACAAGGAACTTATGACCTTTCAATGTTTCTGTAAAAAGTCACTTTTAAAAAGAAAATTCTGAAAACGGCCAGTAAAGTTATCCATTTAATCTGTTTCTAGAAATACTTAAATCTATACAGCTAAGTAATTTCAGGAATCTTGTATTGTATTATTCTTCTCCGTTTGAAAATAATTTTGTGAAAATTACTTGTAAGAAAGTTAGCCTGTTTCCTTTAGAAAAAGAATAAAATAAGGAGAAATTTTGAAACTTTGGCAATCAAGGTACCTGGTCTCCAAGTTTGGCCACTGATATCAGTCATGGTCGCATCACTACTACTTTAGGAACCCGGCTGTTTTACCGAATGACTTAATTCTTAAATTTTGAGGCAAGTAATTCAGAAAGAAAAAAGCCCTCCTTTCACCTGACCCTGCTGTGTTTATTCCGACAATTTTTTTATTAAAAAGTCAAATCAAGCTGTAATTGGTTATTCTGACGACAAAATTGTCAGAAAAATTTCTTATTTGTTGGCTGCCTCCTTGACAAGAGACAATATGAGCAAGAATGAAACTTCTTTGCATCACTATCACATCAACAGCTGAAGCAGCGGTGCAGAAAAAGCTAATCCTATGAGCTGCGAGCCCTCACTCATAAGTCCGACTTACAGGAAACAAAAATGGTTTGGTTCGGAAATGATCACACAATCTTCACAACTAAAATAAACACTCATGAGGAGGACAAAAAGATAATCAACAAAATCCCATGGATTCATTTTAAGTTTTCCATGAGATGCATTTATTGCTATTGTCTGTTAACAATGAAACTAAAAAAACATGAGTATCTTCGTTTCCAAGGTTGCAGCCTTCTTCTCATACTTTATTATTTTGAGGGACCATCAATCTTGTTTGTTGCTATGAGTTTGGAGTGGGGATGGACAAATATCGAATTTGAATGCGATTATTTGAATATTCGAAACTTTTCGAATGCGATTATTGCGATTATTTGAGAGTTCAAATTTGCGATTGCAAATACTTCGAAAGCGAATATTCGAATATTTTCGATTATTGCTTCGATTTTTGATTTTATATGAACCATGAGAGATAAATGTCACTTTTAACTAAGACGGGACGGTCAGTCATTCCTGTGTAGAGTTGTGGACAAATTTTAATTAATAACGAGATTGACAATAGGGATGGACGATTATCGAATTCGAAAGCGATTAATCGAATATTCGAATGCAATTATTCCAATATTCGAATGCGATTATTCAAATATTCAAATTTGCAATTTCGAATACTTCAGAAGTGAATATTCGAATGTGATGCGATTATCTTGGTGCCGATAATTTGAATATCGAATATTCGATTATCTAAATATTCCACCATCCCTAGTTTGGACGTGCTGTTTCTCTGTCCATTTGAAAATATTCTGAGAAAATTTTCACAAAAAATAAAAGAAGAGCTGTTCTGAGCCACAGCAATTGAAACAACTGCAGGTTCTCTGATTTCAACATCGATAATAATGGCTAAACTCGAAAACGACATACCTCGTTTAGTGACATTACATACTTTCTGTAACAGTTCAATTATTATCAGAAAACTAATCAGTACTTATAATTTATTAAAAATTTTAGTTTTTTATTACCTCTTTGGGTATTTGAAGAATATTCTGTAAGAGTTTAAAGCGAAGAGGTTGATTTGTTTCCCTTGAAAAATTCTGAGACTCAACAATAAAAAAACATCCTTTCCAAGTTCAGCCATTGCCATGCAGTGACGTCATTGNGGGGGGGGGGGGGGGAGATCGTCCTACCAGCGTTTGAGAAGACCGAGACGACAAAAGACGAGAAAACTGATCAAATTGCTGAAAACTTGATTTTTGAACAATCTTTGTTAGGTATTCTAATTACATACCTATTGTTATAATTACATATTGAACTCATGTTCATAAAATTAGTAGTTATTAATTAACTTTTATTAAGTTATCGTCACATGCCTTCATGAAGCTAGTCATTTATTTACTTATGTATCATATTATGGGTCATGTCAGGTCACTTGCTCTCCCCCCCCCCCCCAAAGGTTTTGGTGGAATGATGTTACTACTGCTATGCTTCTTATAATGAAATAGCCAAAAAGCATGGGTGCATTAACGGGAAAGCAAAATGTGTGTGCAAATATCTGATTAAATTATTTTATTCTTTTTTCCTCTCTTCTTTGGATTGTTAGCAAAGTATAAATTGGTGAAATAATATATGCAACACGATAAATACGTAAATTATACAGTTTTGAGAGAAAAGTTATAGAGTTATTCGCAAATTTTATTATGCATCAAAATGGACAGTAAAATAAGTGGCACATTTTCTGAGATCCCCTCAAAAATTGTTAGACCTTTGCAAGTTTACAAAAAAAGTTAAATAAACTTTTAAAAATAGGCAAAATTTGCCTTCATTCTGCTTCTGCTGAAATCTTTGCGTTCTCCAACTCTGTTAACTTTTTATCAAGAAGCGAAACATAGTTGCTTAAACTTTCCATAAATGATGTGTACTTCAACATTAAATCGTTGATTTTTTTAGTTTGGTTTTCTACCGCTCCTTTCACCACAATTTGCTGATCTATAACTTTACTCAAATTTGGTTGGTCAGCAATAATTTTTGACAAATTTTCACTTAGTACTGTGTCTTTTTTCCTATCAAATTCACTTAGCAAATTAGCACACTTTATAATATTCTCATGATTGTTTAAAATTAAAGATATTTTGACTTCCAAATCAATGAACTTATTCTCATAATTGGGGTCTAGAACGGCATCTAGTTTATCCAATGATTGTAGATACTGTTGAATTTTTGACTGACCAGCTAGAGCAGAGGAGAGAGTTTCTTGCGAATCGTTGAGCACCTGTAAGATTGACTTTGATTTGCTGAATTCTTCTTTCACATCATCTGAGTCAAAAATCTTACTTTCCAATGTTCTGAGCCTTTTGTAGATAATGTCCAGCTGATTTTCCATTCTGGAGATCAATCACTGTGAAAAAGAAAACAAGATGGTAGTTCAATGATCTTAGGAATTTGCAAGGAGAGGTACCCATCATTATGGTTTATAATTTTGACATGAGGGTGTGTTGGGACTTTCTTTTCAAGAAGTAACCACCATGGTGTTATGCAGATGCACGCAGGTTAATTATTGTATTGAATGCAAGGTTTTTCCCCAAAGAGTATCCTACTTACATCTCTCAGAATTTTACTAATTTCTTAGGTGGAAATGCTTCTTAGGACTCTTGCCCAGGGGTTATCGTACTTTTTCCGGCAAAAAAGTCAATGTCTGCCAAGATTTTATACCTAACCAATCCAATGTGTCACATGCCAGATCGACCTTGCCAGAATTACGGACAAATCACTTAAAGTGTCTTATATCTTTACTGACTTGCTCCCCATCATTCAGTCGTTGACATGTTGTGTGTTTGAATCAACTAACAAACGTGATGTGAGCGTTGGGTAAAGATGGCTAAACTTTATGAAGACTTACATTAAATTTGAACGAGGAGCAGAGGTGCATGAGTTCAAGATAACCTTACAGATTAATCATGGGAAATTTAAGGGCAAGATGAATAACTGAACTTTACCTATTCTCCACAGTTGGTGAAAAAATACTTGCATGAATCGGCTGAGTTTACATTTGAATTTTTCTCTGAGTATTCAAACCAGAATTTAGACTACGAATAATATTTGATGAATAGTAGCACAATTTTGATCTAATTTTGTGATTTAAAATTCCTGGTTTTATCAATTTTTTTGTAATTTTGATTTTTGAGGAATACTATTGGGAATGCAGTGTGGCGGATTAGTAATTTGGAGGTTATGTTTACCAAATTAAATAATATGACGTCATCAAAAACACGCCGTTGCGTGGTTGCCAGTTTGCTATAACGGTAACGGTCGTGTCAGTGACTCAGTGCCAGTGCTCGCTCAGTGTGAGTATAGGTACATGATAGGGGTTTTCTTTTTTTGATCGGTAGATCTGCCTAAATCCACCGCAAATTAAATTGAAATGCCAAGCCAAAAACCAAAAACTGATACCTATATTACCTATTGAATTGAAACCGTCCGCTCCATTAGTTTTACCTATTTATTTTATCCAAAAATCGAAATTTTGTGAAGTTTTCTTTTTGTGTCTCAGCAAATAGTATGTGAGCTCCAGCTCTTCAGACAGTACATACTTCATCACACCCTAGTGGAATCATCGTTTCCCAAAATCATCGTCAAAGGAAGTATTGAATTTTAAATAATTTTGAAGAACAGGCCTCTCTTAATTTTTAAGTACATGAAATAACTTGAATATGGATGATCAGCCCTCTAAACGAAAGTACAATGATAAACATCTAGAAGCAACCCCTGTTCGTAAAAAAAGGGGGAAAAATGAGCGACCATCAACATCGCCTTTAAAGGTATCCCAACATTTTAATCATGTCTCACCATCGCTGAGATGTAATCCTGTTACCAGGCACAGGACAGGATATCTGGCCCGCAAAAGCACTCTGAAGGGCACAAAAGAGCTTACTTCCAGTACCTTTACCTCACTCACCCAGCGATCATCACCTATAACTCTGGTCAAGGATTCTAGTCCTGAATCTCCATCAAGTAGTCCTTCCTCCAGTGGGCGTAAAATTTTACATCAAAAATTGAGCTTGAATTCAATGAGTCCTCCCAAATCACCTGAATTAGATATATTAACCAGCGACAACAATCTTAATCAATTAAATGATTCAGACTTGGATAATTTTAATCCTGATACAGCTTCAAATGTAATTGAAAACTCTGTCAAATTTATGTCAGATGATTCTGCTCTAGAGAATTTTGATCCAGATAAGGTAATCAAAGAGAAAAACTCAAATAGCTGGGATAACGCTGATGGTTCCTCTCCAGAAGATATTGAATTACTAGAGGAAGCCTCAGCTTCAGCTGACCGTACTTGTCAGACCTACGAAAAACTTAAAAAATCTAAAGAATTGCATTTCTCAAATCTTGACAACCAGGAAAGGGTAGAAACAAGCTGTCAGAGCAGACCCTTAGTGCTGGGGTGTAGTCCTGTAACTAGACACAGGACAGGAAATATCAGTCTGCAGGAGACAAAAAAGTCTATCCCTGGTACCTTTACCTCACCTGTCCAGCAACCATCACCAATAACGCCGGTCAAGGATTTTAATCCTGAATCACTATCAAATAGTCCTTTCATAAGTGGACGTGAAGTTTTTAATCAACAATTGAGCTTTAATTCAATGAGTACTCCTAAGCCGACTAAATTAGATAAATCAACTAGCCAAAGATATTTGGATCAATTTAATGATTCAGATTTGGATCATTTTAATCCTGATACAGCCTCAAATGTAACTAAAAACTCTGACAAATTTATGTCAGACGATTCTGCTCTAGAGAATTTTGATCCAGATAATTTAGTCAAAGAAAAAACGTCAGATAGCTGGAATAATGCTGATGGTTCTTTTCAAGGAGATATTGAATTGCTAGTGGAGACCTCAGCTTTAGCTGATCGTTCTCGTCAGATCCATGAAAAACTTGGAAAGACGAATGAAAAGCAAGAATTACTAGTCAAATCCCTGACGTCAGAGGATCAATATGATCCTGAGGGAAAAACTGTTGATGAGAATGAAATTGATGGCAGGTATTGCTTAAGGCAATTACAGCCATCCTGTCCAGATTCAAAAAAATTGCATATCTCAAACCTTGACAACCAGGAACGGATGGAAACAAGCTGCCTGCGCGAAGCCTTAAATGAGAGTGCGAATAATTTCAACCAGCGTGATGTGCATAACATTACTTTGGTACTAAGTCAAGATGATGCAAACTCTTGGGACACCACTCCTTCAACGCCCAAAGGAGCTGATTATTCCCTATCCCCTCCATTAAAATCCCGGGATTCAGGCCTTGGAGTCTCTTTTGACTCCAAAGACAATAATGCAGCTTGTGACAAAAGCTTCAACAAATCTTTAACTACTCCGACGCCAAAGGGGTTAACTTCCAAGCTGATGGTTAGTAAAAATATCACAGAGCAGCTGAAAACAAATAACGGAGAAAAGTGTGCTGTACGTCAAGAAAAAAGTAATGTTCTGAGAATTTCAGAGGAGTTCTTCGGTCTTCCTTACAAAGTCAAATTATTGATAAGCAAGTACAAAGGAATACCTGATCTTTATGGTAAGTCGGTCTTCCACATGAGTCTTTTTCTCATGCCAGGACTCACTGGTCTTCTCCCTCAGTGCAACTCAGTCTTTTACTTAAAAGCAAATTCTTATCTTCATATTTCAAATTTTAAAAGCGCATCACTAAAGTGAGAAACAAAATAATAATTTACCTTCCGTGAAAATATTTCTTCAGTATGTGATCATCGCCAGGCAAAGGCACCATTGTGTGAAGGAACTTAAAATCAATTATTTTACTGTTCAAAAAATTGCTGAAGTTTTTCCGGTAGGAAAAAATAGAATCCTGAAATACATCTTGAGAGCAAATATATTGAAGTATTTGTCTTTCCAAAAAATTTACCTCAGGGTAAATTCCTGATTTTCTTCTCTCATGAAAAACAATAATTAAGGTAACTCACTGAAGTAAACCTTGTCTTCAGAGTGTCAGGTTATTTTTCGTTTTCTTTTTTCTGTTGTACTTTTTTTGTTGCTCATGTACATGGTTTGTTTCATTGCAGCTTGGCAGAAGGAATGTTTGAACTTGGAGGCCATCAAAAAAAGGAAGAATCTAATATATGCTCTGCCTACTAGTGGTGGAAAAACTCTGGTAGCTGAAATACTAATGTTCAGGGAAATGCTCATCCACGAAAAGAATGTCATTTTCATTCTACCCTATGTTTCCATAGTGCAAGAAAAGGTAATTGGCTTCCCTACAACTCTCAGAGATATTTAAATGGAATATCCTATAAAGGCTACATAAGTTTCTGCTAAGCTAATTTTCTTTTTCTTTTTTTTATGCAGCCAGTGTCTCCCACTCGTCCAATGTTTGATAGACTGAAGCATGGTTTGATGCATTTCTGTGTAATTGTTGTCCTCTCCCTCTTTTAATATAGCCTTAACTTTGGAGGAAGCTCTACATGTGCGAGAAAGTGCTAAATTTTGTACGGTATTTCATCCCTTTAAACTGACATGAAGCTTGCTTGCTTGATTGCTTGCATTTTATTGAAAGCATCTTGCTGTGCCCCATATGAAATTTGAATTGGTGCAAGTGTTGACCGCTGTACCACTCAGAGGGAAACTTCGCTAAGTTATCAAATCCTCACCACATACATTCATTCTTAAAATAATGCTCAAAATAGTAATAGCAACAAGATTGTTTGTGTCCTTGAAAGGGGAAACAAATTAGAAGTACTGTGTGAACTGTCAAAATTTAAAATTTCATTTGATATTTCATCAGTAACTCAAGGTTTCAAGTTTTTCATTTGAAATTTCCATTTTCAGGTACGAGCTCTATCGCCATTTGGAGTTGAGCTGAATTTTGTAGTTGAAGAGTATGCTGGTGGAAAAGGCGTGTTCCCTCCTGTTAAACGTCGTCGGAAGAGGATAATTTATGTTGCTACTATCGAAAAAGCATCAGGCCTTGTGAACAACCTATATGAAACAGGTAGACTTGAGGAAGAAATCGGGCTCATTGTAATTGATGAACTGCACCTGATTGGTGAGCCAAGGGGAGCCATCCTTGAAGCAACTCTGACGAAAATTATGTATGCTAATTGTAAGTGTAAGCTAATACTCTTGAAATGGACTTAATTTATCACTTGAAAATACCAGAACATTGAGGGGATAGAACTTGTGAAAATTTACTCGTTTTATTAAATTGGACAAACAAAATAATTTCAACAGGAAATTAGTTGAAAGGACGACGGACCGGTCTTATGGGAAAAGTGGGCCCGGTTAAATCGGCTGGCGTTTTGATATGTTGTAGGTCTTAACCTACTGATCAAAAGTGTCAATGGGCACTTCTCCCTATCTCGAAGTTTTACCCCCCATTTTGGGGGTCAAAGTTGCCAATTCGGCGTATATTTGGCAGTTTTGACACCCGGGTTTATTGGTCGCCTATGAGATTCTTTGATGGTTTCTTGAGTCTTTTGTATCCTCTGAATAGGCTAGAGACCATCCAAACTCAAAAACTGACAATTTCGCCTTATGAGTAAGGGGGGGGGGTGTTCACGCCACCGATTTCAGAGTCGGCGAGCCGCATTAAACCGATTCTTTCGCCATGTTTTGGAGAATTTTTTATGCAAATGATTGCGACTGCATCTTGAAAGGTCGACTAAGATGCAGCTCAGAATATACCCCCGGGCGGGAGGGGGGAGGGAGGGGGGTGCGACCGAACTCGAGCAGCGTAACTGGCTTGCGCGGGTCGGATCAAGCCGATCCTTCTATTATGTTTTGGAGAACTTTTTTGCAAGTGACTCAGGCTGCTTCTTGAAAGGTCTACTAAGATGCAGCTCAAAATATACCTCCCCCCCCCCCCCCCCGGGGGGAAGGCGAAAACTGGGCCGAAAAGCCGACCAAACTCGGGCAGCGAAACTAGCTCTCGCGAGTTGCATCAAACCGATGATTTTGTCATGTTTTGGAGTTTTTTTCCATCCCAATGAAACAGACTGCATTTCGAAGTGTCGACTGAGATGGAGCACGGAATATGCTGTATGAGAAAGGAGGTTTCTCAATCCGCACCCTCCCTCGCAATAGGATCTCTCAGCATAGGTCAGTGTGGCACTGACACTAGTATAGTGGCATTTTTTACCACCACCATCACTCATACATAATTCCGAGGGTCGTTTTAGCTGACACGCATTTCCGACTGAGCCCAATATTTCTATAAGCGAAAGCTAATGGTGCAGATGATTCCTACGGCTGAGACGTATATAACGTCGGTTGATTTCAGAAATATATCATCTAGGTGATTTTTTAAATGAAATCGCACATTATTATCGAGCATTAAACAGTTTTGTAGAATGTCAAGAAAGGCAAGGAAGAAAGCAAAGCATTCGCAAAAAGGCAATATATGCAATGCAATCAGTTCTGAAGGTATTTGACGAGTTCTGGGTTTTTCATTCTTTCTACTGGAGCTCCATAAGTAATGGATCAAATCCTGGAAGCTCTCAGTGCAGAAAGTGAGGCGAGCTCGCTGAGATTTTTTTACGTAATCAGAAAATCTAAGAAAAAAACAAGGTCATGTACTTCTTCTTTTTAATTTTTTTTCTTTTCAAAAGCAAATAACCCTTCCCCTCGTCGAAATTCTGAAATGCATCAGGATATGCTGAAAATTGAATGATGCGTTAAACGGTATGAAGTTTTAATCGTCCTAGCCACATTCAAAAGTGTCACTCTACTAGTGTCAGTGCCACACTGACCTATGCTGAGAGATCCTATTGCGAGGGAGGGTGCGGATTGAGAAACCTCCTTTCTCATACAGCATATTCCGTGCTCCATCTCAGTCGACCTTCCGAAATGCAGTCTGTTTCATTGGGATGGAAAAAAAACTCCAAAACATGACAAAATCATCGGTTTGATGCAACTCGCGAGAGCCCAGTTTTCGCCTCCCCCCCCCCCCCCCCTGGGGGGGGAGGTATATTTTGAGCTGCATCTTAGACCTTTCAAGAAGCAGCCTGAGTCATTTGCAAAAAAGTTCTCCAAAACATAATAGAAGGATCGGTTTGATCCGACCCGCGCAAGCCAGTTACGCTGCTCGAGTTCGGTCGCACCCCCCCCCCCCCCCCCGGGGGTATATTCTGAGCTGCATCTTAGTCGACCTTTCAAGATGCAGTCGCAATCATTTGCATAAAAAATTCTCCAAAACATGGCGAAAGAATCGGTTTAATGCGGCTCGCCGACTCTGAAATCGGTGGCGTGAACACCCCCCCCCCTTACCCATAAGGCGAAATTGTCAGTTTTTGAGTTCGGATGGTCTCTAGCCTATTCAGAGGATACAAAAGACTCAAGAAACCATCAAAGAATCTCATAGGCGACCAATAAACCCGGGTGTCAAAACTGCCAAATATACGCCGAATTGGCAACTTTGACCCCCAAAATGGGGGGTAAAACTTCGAGATAGGGAGAAATGCCCATTGACACTTTTGATCAGTAGGTTAAGACCTACAACATATCAAAACGCCAGCCGATTTAACCGGGCCCACTTTTCCCATAAGTCCGGTCCGTCGTCCTTTATAATGACAGTGAAGGAATCATAAGTTTCAATTTAGTCATTTATCAGTCAGTCAAATCATAATGAAATTAAAGATGGGGTTTTGTTTATCTCTGGAAAAAGATCACTTTCCACTCTCTGCAAGTACTGTCTTACCATAAGCACAGAATTACAAGTCTTTCCATTCCAAAGCGGATAGTCGCTTTTGAACAAACAGCCTTGAAAGAAAGCTAAAAAAGAGCGCATTAATGTAGAATTGCTGAAACTGAACGATGAAGATAAACTTTTTTTGTGATGTGCTCCATGAAATGTTTGTACAGAGAGCAAGTCAAAGTAAATGGGTTTCAAAAGAGGAAGTTTTTTGTCCTTTCAAAGGACTCGCTCCGTTTTGACATATCAAGAAAGAATTATAATATTTTTTTTTATTGTTGAAATCCCCCCCCCCTCCTTTCTTTATTACCTTTTCCATAGACTTTTAATTTTTTTTTTTTTTACTTTCTCAATAGCCTTACATCTGTCTTGTTTTATAAAATTCTCAATGTCTGATTCTTGCCCCATGCAGTGCAGATTCACATCGTAGGAATGAGCGCAACAATAGGTAATCTGCACGAACTGGAACAATTTTTGAATGCAGAAATTTTCACCCATAACTTTCGGCCTGTAGAACTCACAGAATATGTTAAATGTGAGTCTCAAGTTTACTCAATCACCAGTGATTTAGAAGGAAAAAAGTTGACACCTCTGCGACAAGTAAAACTGCAGGTGAATATTTTCTAGTCTTGCAATATTTTCTTGTTAACAGTGTTGAATTTTTGTTTTCCATCAAAGTAACTCTCCTGGCAAGTTACTTTGGGATTTGCCTAGTGTACAATGTTCTATCCTTATCCCACTCTTTTTTTTACTTCCCTTTATTTAGCAAACAAAATCACCCACAATATAGATGAGGTATGATGCCGAAAGAATTTAATATTTTAAATTTAAAACAGAGGGCAGAATCTTGGAACAGTTTTCCCAGTCACACAAATCCTTTAGAATATTCTTATACTTTTTGGAAATATGTTGCATGTATTCTCATTTCAGGCCCACACAGAAACTGTTTAAACCATGGGCGGAACTAGGACTTTTTGTGGAGGAGGTCAGAAGAGCACCTCATCATGGGTAGCCCGGGGGACACTGAAAAGGCTCTCAAGCAAGGGGCATCTGGAGGGCTCTATCAGACCCAAAGGGGGGTCTGAAAGGAGCTTCCATGTCTCCAAAAGAGGGTCCAGGGGACTCCGGAAATTTTTTTAGAAATTTTCTTAAGAGTTATGTTAACCTTCTCTTATCAAAAAGTTGATTTGAATACAATTTCAGGAATAAGAGACATATCTTGCTCTTATCCAGTAAAATTCATCAAATTTTCTGGGAGGGGCTAAATAGATTTCTGATGGGGGAGATGGGGGTCCTCTTGCTTGCTTCTAGTTTTGCCTTTGATTTTAATAGCTCAATGAATTTTTGTTTGCAGCCTAATGATCCTGACTTTGTAGCTGGTCTAGTGAGAGAAGTCATTCCTGATCATTCTTGTCTAGTATTCTGTGCATCGAAAAAAAATTGTGAGAATGTTGCCTTGCTTATCTGTAGGACTCTAAATGAGTAAGTACCATTTTTAGCATATTTTCCGAAAGAAATATACTATTTTTTTATTTACTATGGTTTGTTAATTTTAGATGAATAAGTTTTCCGACTAAATTACATGAACTGGAACATAGCGACGGCGTAAGTCCGCAATCACATATCTCATTTGCGGTGTCTGAAAATCTCCGCCTCTATGTTATTTTTTAAAGGAGAACAAATTGACATCATTCCTTGAAGTTTTTGCAGAATTTTCTTTGCACAGAGAAGAAAAATCACGACAGTTTTAAAGAATCGCTGTTGAGTAGTTTTCCGTTTAAAATATAAAGTATGACAGTAAGTCTTCGACGCCACAAACCGAGTCATGTGATAGCCGACTTACACCGTCGATATGTTTCTCCTCAATGTCCATATGTAATCTAAGGGTTTCAAGCAATCTAAAAAACATGGATAGTTTTGTTAGTTGTGTATTGACTCAGCAACTTCAGCTAGTGCCATTCGGAAGAGCAGGAACAATTTCTGTGAACCTTTTTCCTCAAATTGGATGTTCAGAAATGGAGATTTGTTCCATTGTTTTGCAAAAGTCAGAGTAATAAAAAGAGGTTGTGATTTATCGGCATGCAAAAAAAAGTTTAAATTAACGCAAAAATTAACTCTCTCACTGTACTTGTCAAAAATAGATTGCACAGAAACCATAATAATGCACGGAATGGAAAGAGAAATAACAAAATGGAAAATAGTTTGCATGGAAAAGAAAAGTTGTTAACAATAAATAGAATACTTCCACGGTGCAGAAATTGAAGCCCAGAAAAATAATCTTCTTTCGCGCAAGAAACCTGCACGTAGATTTAATTGGTAGGAATGGTACGGAAAGTCTAATAATGCCTTAAAAATTGTGCCGGCAAGCTCGTCAAAGTTTTGAGATCACTATGATGGAAATGTGTTAGTATTGTACCAACAATCCACGCGGGGCTTTTACTGGTCGCCCTATTTTTGTTTTTGACCCAAGAGAAAGGTTTTGGCCTCTGGTGGAGCACTCACTATCTTGAGACGGATCTACGTTCCCAGTGTATGCTTGCCACAGTTTTTCTCAAGGAAGTAATGGCATGTGCAGAGGAAGTCATTGGTATATGCTTTTTGTTTATTGCAATGGTCCATATACTGCAGTTGTTCTCTTTTAATGTATCAAATGTCTCCTATGTAGCATCCATAGCCTTTAATGTGGCTAAGCTTTGCTCCGTTACGCTCTTAGATGAGGTCGAGGAGGCAATGAAAAACAGTGAACGATCTCCAATAGACCGTTTCAATACCCTCTTATTTATAGAGGCCCATTGGTACGGTGATGTCCATTCCTGCAGTAAAGGGGTCGGTCGTTCAGCAAAGGAGATGCTGTTCACCGTTTTGCAGTGAAATTGGATATTGAAATGAGACACTATTCAAATATCATGTAATTCCTTAGAATATTGAAAAATTGACTTGGTGCGCAGCTTGTTTGTACTATAATTACCTATCCCTTTCTCTGCTCCAGTCCAAACCATTGTTATGGTTTTTATTTTAATTTTTCCTCATTTTCTATGTATATTTTTCAGATCCTTCCAGGAGCCAAAAAAAGACATAAGAAATGCTTTACTCCGTGCCTTAGCTGAGGAAGGAAATGGAGATATTTGTAAAATCTTGAAACAAACAATTCCGTTTGGAGTTGCATATCATCATTCCGGTACAAACTTTTTTTTTCATCAAACAGTACTTCATTTTCATGTGTATTCCCGATTCAGAAACAAATCTGTAGTCATATGCAACCCAGAAATCAGAATATATTTAATACTTGACTTTTTAGAACGTCCATTTCTGTTTATTAGAAAGAACTGTGCATGGAAAATCCAGGGATTCAGGGCAGGCTAAATTTTATTATTATTTGATTTGATATTTTTTGAAACCTTTGGAACACAATGAGATTAATAAAATCCAAGTCTCTATGTGCCAATCCTGAGCTCCGGTCTGCTGAACATAAAAAGGTTTAATTTTAAAATCTTATCTTGTTTAAGAAGTGGTAAAGACACTAATAAAATAATAACAAAATTTAGCTGACGCACAATCCCTCAGCTTTTTCGCCCAGGTTCTTCAGTTGTGAGGTTCCTGGATTTGAGGTGATTCTATGCAGCAAGCCTCTTGGAAAATTATAATCTTTGCCTTAATGACAGCACATTGATTTTGTGTGAAGTAACTAAGTGTAATATCAGTAGCGATTGAGCGAAAAAATAATAAGTTCCCACGAAAGGTGAAACCTATTGTGTAGTGAGGAAAAACAAAGAGCCTAATTTTTTATATTTTATCGCTGCAGTTGAAAAATTTTTCACATTTTTTAAGCCACCAGTCAAAGTAATTCGAAAAACTGGATATTACTCAAAGTATCAAAGTCTCAATTATTTAGAAAAAGTCATTGTCATCAAGAATATTTTGATTTTTAGGTTTGACGATTGCCGAAAGAAAACTGCTCGAAGAAGCGTTTTGTTCAAACACCATTTGCTGTATTTGTTGCACCTCAACTCTTGCAGCAGGAGTCAATTTACCGGCCAAACGGGTATGTTCTATCTTTTTTAACCTGTAGATAATATGAAATCTCATTGGAGTCAGTCATATGAAACATCATCAATGAAGAAAATTAGTTCACTTGTTTTACCCTCATTTTCATGAAAATCAAAGTAAAAAACCCGAGAATATTGCAATGGATCACACGCAATTTCCGGGGAAATGGTGATAGTCCGCTGTACCTAGTATTTTGGGTTTTGGATTGCTGCAAATGAGGTCTCATGGCCGGCTTTTCGGGGCCGGAGCTAAGTTTGACCGGCTTCAGCTTTGACTCTGGGTAGTCGGCTACGCGTTTTGGGAGAATGTACATTCGCCGAGGGCTGATGCCCTAAACACTTGGAGATTGGCCTGCTTAGTTGTGTTGAGTGCATTTTCATGGTCACAAAGTTCGTTTATTCGTCGTGTCTCTGTAAGTTCATCAGTGTTTGAGGGAATAAAGTGTGATCCCCAACAAAGTCGTGTTAGAGGTTATTTCCCCGGTATCGAGCTACCCTGCGCCCCCAAAGCAGATAGGCTTGGGGCTCTGGGACCCAACACCCCACTCACCCCAGGGCCATTACAATATTGTGAAGTAATCAATGTTGTTCATAACATGTGCCCAAGGTGTCAGCAGGTCTGAAAACCTAGAAATTATAAGGAATTGATCACTTAATGAGGAAATCTTTTTCCACTCGCGTTGGTAGAGGTGAAAGGGCTAAATCTCGCCCGGCAACGCACTTGACACGGGCTCGCTCTGGGGGCGTAAAGAGCGTGAATATTTCGGGGGCGCCTAAGAGGCGAAGTCTCCACCAATCCGCGAATTTTAGGAGCCACGGATAGCTCACATGGTTGAATGATGACAAGACAACAATTGATTGATTAAATGAATGATTGATTGATTTAATAATCATAGACAGAATACACGAATCAAATTTCAGAACAACGAAACCGAAAAACACAACTAAATCTTCTTCAAAATCTTCCAAACTTCCAAAAACTCTCCAAAACAACCGAAACTCAAAAATAGACAAAAACTACAGCTAGCACACCAGGACTTGGCGGGGGCAACGGTCGGACGACTCTAATGTGCTGATCCTCTATGCCGGGGGTCTCGCGGAGGCTGCTGACGAATTTTCACTCAAAACGTTGACGGAAGGGTTGAACCGCTCTCAGTGACTTGGCGGGAGGCAACGGTCGGACGACTCTAATGTGCTGATCCTCTATTCCAGAGGTCTACGGAGGTTGATTCGACACCGCCGAAAAACACTTTGAGGACTCAGGGATGGAATTTTACGTGCACCTGGACATTACACGGAATCGCGACATTTCCCATCCCGGCGAACATGAGCGACTGAGTTTAGAAATTTTCCGGAAAACGCGCGTCACCGTGCACCGCCGCTTCCTACGTCCCGCGCGTCCTGCCCCTTTACGCCAATAGCATCTCACGAAAAGTGCTGATCAATCTAGGGCTGGCCGCGGTTCACACGGGAAACAAGAGCAAAATCTAACCTATGACGTCACAACATTTCCTCCTCGCTGAGCCGCTGTCCGGCGAGCGATCCGCGCTATTCTCCCAGCACAAGGAGAACATGAATAATTTTTAAGTGTAGGGCTCAATTTTCGTTTCAGAGGACATGGTGTCCCACAAGTTTTCCTTTGATCTTCAGTGAATGAACTTGAGTTTTTTTTTTTGCGATTTCTCACTAAATTTTGCTATGAATGTTTTAATGAATGTTTTTTTTATCTCTCTAATTTCAGGTTATCATTAGATCTCCGTATGTTGGTAATAAATTTATCACGCTCAGCCAGTATAAGCAGATGATCGGTCGAGCTGGGAGAGCTGGATTTAATGAAGATGGTGAAAGTTTTTTGCTCTGTCAGAAGAATGATGTTCTGAAGGTAGGCAAGCTGTTCGTTGGTTGAAACTGTGTCCCCAAAAACTTCATGATTTTCCACCTAAATCAATGAAAGCAAGGCAAGAAAAATAACTCTAAATTTTACTTTGCAAAAGACGATTCCTCAAATTTTTGTTTGAAAGGGGTTGAAAGTCATAGAAACGAGTAAAAATCTGAAACTGTATACGGAAAAAAAAATTGTTATTGAAATTCTCTTATGAATTTTACTTTTATAATTTTTATATTTATATCTAAGTAGACGTTGGCAGGATTAGAGGCCTTATTTCATTATGGAAATTTTTCAGGCAAGCATGATAGGTATCAAGGCTTCTTTTATACTTATTTTAAAATGTTATGAAGTTAAAAAATCGGCATTAGTTTCTTTACTGAGAACATCCTGTTCATCCCTTGCTTCCTTAAAATGGTAGGTCAAAATTTTAAACGGCCGCTTCTATTCTGAACCTCAAACGTAAAAACATATTTGCACTAATTCCTTATGACACTTTTTGGCAATTTTTGTAACAAAATGTTCGTGTACCACGTCCGAAAGAAGATACAACAAAATCTGATTTTTAGTGCTTCGGTACTCTCCTGTGAAAAGTTAATACGTTTATGTTTCTTTCACTTCTTTTACTGATTTTTTGCTCTTTTTAGATCATGACTCTGCTTAACTCTAAGATTAATTCCTGTGATAGTCAACTGAAAGAGACCAATGCCTTCCCGTCTTTAATCTTAAGTGCAGTCGGTCTTGGTCTGGTGAGTTCACCAGATGATATCAAATTGTTTTTCAATAACACGCTCTTTCACGCCCAAAATGGCCTTGATGCCGATTTTGATGGTTTATTGGAAAATTCAATCAAGGACTTGCTTGATGTTGGTGCCCTCCAAACAAAAAAGCATGGGGACATGAGCGTTTACCAATTAAGTGATCTGGGGCGAGGTGCTGTGAAAGGTAACGTTGACTCCTGAGCTTTGAATAAATCCATCCCTTTTTTTGGTCCTACTCGTAGTGTTTTTGTCCTTTGTAGCAATTCTTCCAATTTTGTGAATTTGTGTATTTTTTTCTAGAAAATTTCCATTACAACATCTGATCTCGGAATTTTTGATTTGTAAAAAAAAAAAAAATTAATTCGGCTGATTCAGAAATTTTCTTGCCGATAAAATTTTACAGTTCAACAGATAGCAAGTTTAAGAATTTATTTTGAGCATAATCTCAGTTTCTTTAAACAGGTAATTCATAGATAATGTCATCTTAAGAAAGTTTCTATTAATAATCGGGTTCAATAAGGTCCACACAGTTAAATCTAAGTCTTTCGTAATCTGTTCTTTCGTCCATTTATTTGTCTGTTCAGAGTTTAATTTTTTCTAAATTTTTCTCCCTTGTATCAGCTAACATTACAATTGATGATGCCAAAGTTTTATATGCTGATTTGAAGATTGCGTTGAAATGTGTCTCTCTGAGCAACTATCTGCACCGACTTTACTTAATCACGCCCTATTCCATGGCCTGTCAAATTCCTATTAACAAGGACATTTATTTCAATGTGGTAAGACTATCTTTCATTTTTAATATATTTATGTTTGTTTGGCTTAAAATTGTTAGAGTGTAAGTGACAAAATTTTGAAGGAATCGGTTGAATACTTTAACAAATATAAGACAATGCAGTGATTTTTAAAAATTTCATTGCCTTTCTAATTTTGTGTCATGTCTTCTCTAAGTAAAGATGAAGAAAGAAAATCTCCGGATAAAACTTTTATCTGTTTTACAGGCTAATACAAAAGCTTCAAGATGTTTATACTTATCATAAGTTGTCATGAATTTATCAGAGAAATATGCTAAACATTCATGTTCAATGAACACTTTTATAAATGAAATTAGGCTCGTGATTAGTTTGCTATGCAAGCTGTCACGCCTAGCCGGGCAGTGCCCTTGGACCCCTGGTTCCTTGCTTCTCGATAATTTTGCGACTCGCTCCGCAAGCCATCCCTCATGGCAATTAGCTTTCAAAATAACAATAATGGGAAGACATCTTCGCCACTTTGGCCACGGCCGCCATCTTGGATTTTGAAATTTTGAAAATCCGACCAAAAATTCGAGTTTTCTGTTGGAAAGTACCCCCTCTCACCAATTTTCACAAAAATCCGTCGAAAAATACCCCCTAATACCTGAAATTTCGTCTATAATGTTATGATGTCACACGACACGATTGAACCTGTTCAGCACGGTGCGTGTAAACAGCCTTCTATCCCCAATGCATTACTATAGAGAGAAACAAATTTTCTCTTTTTTGGGCCTCAGCGGCCTTTTTTTCTATTTTTGATTTGTTAGGCATTTTCCGGTGGTTCTTAGCCTCGTTTTTGCCAAGTTTGAAGGAAATCTGAAACTGAAAATTGATTTTGACTAACAATTTTTTGTGGTTTTCTTCTCAGTACATGGCTCTAGATGCTGAAGAATTGAACGTTGCTAAAATTATTGGCATTGATGATGGCTGCATAATGAAGTTTATGTCAGGCAGAAAATCTACTGTAAGTTTTTGGTGTCCTCAGTATATTTTACGCAAATATTACCTCATCTTCTTCCTTTTTTTTCTAAAAAAAACTTATTTGGGGTTGTTGTGAGATCCTGTAATTGCCTCGGAAATACGTGTCCAGTTTAAGGAAAAATTCTTTCATATTGTAAAACTAGAAAAAGTTAGTGATTTGACTTGTGTAGACTAGTTTGTTCGAGGGCAGGAATTTTGAATTGATGTAAATGAGGAATGCTGCATGTAATCCTATTTATAAGTTGAATGTGAGAATGTTTATTGTTTTTAGCGCATTCCCTCACGTATAAGTAAATTTAAAAAGATTCAATGCACCCATCACGTTCCACATAAAAGCTTTGCAAGGAAACATTACATTGTGGTCCTTAATTTTTGTCTACAGGTCAATATTAGACGCTTGCTAGCCTCTCTAGTCTAAAATGGTGGGTCATTAGAGAATAGAAGATGGAGTTTTACACTCATAAGAGTTGAGGAGTTATACAATTTTGTCCTTAATACTTGTTTTTTCTGCTCTTTTATTCAGGACAACGTATCACATATAATGCATCGATTTTACTTGACTTTGATTCTCCATAAATTATGGATGAACAGGAATGTATGGGAAGTTGGATCTTTATTCAATATTCCCAGAGGATTAGTGCATTCTCTCTTAACTTCTGCAGCCAGTTTCAATTCCAGTGTCATTCGCTTTTGTGAGGTAATCATTATCATTTTGTGTACCTTAAAAATGTAGTCAGATTAGGCAATTTTTTTTTTACTCGTCAATTCACTTGCCGTCTATAGACTGAATCATGTATTGAAAGGTACAATTTAGGCATCCGTTGACCTTCTCTACCTTTAAGACTCTGACTTTATTTGAGGATTACTCCTAAGATGTTACTTATTTTGTTAGGGTCCAAATCTTAGCACCTTTACTGCTTAGTGCAAAATATCAACAATGAAACTCCCAAATTTCGGATTATGACTGTTAGTAAGCTCAGGATGCCTCCTGTTGTACTTTATTTTTTGAATGGAATACTGCTCAATAGCTACTCTTTAAAACTGTCATGATTTTTTTTCTCTTTGCATAGAAAATTTTGTGAAAACTTCAAGGAATGATGGTGATTTTTTCTCCGTAAAAAAATAAAGTAGGAGCAGAGATTATAAAACACCGTAAGCAAGATGCATGGTTTGGGAGTTTCATCGTTGAATGTTTACTATTGATGAAGGATTCAAGTGTATTCTTAATTTTGATAAGCATCATTGTCAACAAAAAAGAGTTCCCAGAAAATGTATTCCGCAACTTCAGCAAACTTTAATTGTAGTTTATACACCCTGCATTTTTGAATATCCTTAAGGATGTAATGTCCAGATGCGAACACTCTAGTTTAACTGTCTAGCGACTAAAAACGGTCATTTGCTATTTGCGAGAGCCATCATTTCCAGACGAAATTGTAATTTAAATTCAAGTTAACCAACTTGTAGAGTGAGACGAGAGATCGTCCATTTTAACTCCTCGGTGCAAAAGTGAAAACGGTGGATCTTTCAACGCGCTCTAAAATTTAACTTTTTAGTGATGGTTTGAATAATCATGATTCTAGGAGCTGACTCAGTTTAGTTCGATTGCTGTCCTCTTGAAAGAGATGTCAGAAAGACTTGTCCATTGTTGCTCTGCTGAGCTATTACCCCTCATGGAGCTACCGTCTGTCAAGCTTGTAAGTTTTTCTAATTTTTTCCCCTTACACCTAATTGGTAAAAGCATGAAACTATATTTCAATTTTTACGAAAAAAATGTTAAAATCAGTGGATTCCAAACTATTGAGGAAGCTTACTAATATTTTTGCATCAGTTATGATTTCTAATTATTCCTAGAAAATTCCAAATAAATAAAATAAAATTTCACATCATGTGGAGTTTACTTTCTACAAAATTTTCTTGCCATCCCTAATTTTTGATTGACGACCTGTCTCCTCAAACTTTCAATAATTTCTCCAATATGTATTGTTCAGTACTGTGCACAATATATTTAGCCGCCGTAATATTACCTATGATTTTTAAATGCACATTCAGATTTTTTACCAATTACGTACTTGATTTGTAGATAGAATGATCTGATTTTTTTTCAATTCTGATTATATTTATTGTACAGTCCTGTTAGTGACTCAGCCAATCAGAGAAATCGAATTTAGCTGAGCCTGTTTTCTTTTTTTTTTGTGACAAAATTTTTAATTCAACTTTTTGGTACATAAGTTCCAAGCCACGCTTTGATTCGAGCGCAGCTAAAATTTTTTGTACCTAAAACAAAAAAGCACGGAATTCCTGTTTCCAACGTAGAGTTTAGTTGAAAATCTCATACCAGTGCTCATAAAAGTACTCTTACTACTCAACAAAAGGAAATCGTTCCTTTTGGTGTATTAGTTCAGACCACCGATTTCTCATTAATGAAATCGGTGGTTAAGCAATACATACAGAAAAAATTACTCAAAATGTTTTGAATGTTAACTTTTCAACCCAAGGATAGAGTTTGAATTGTTCAACATTTTGAGTAAACATCAAGCTTGATCTACTTTGTAATTTTTATTGTTTTCGGATAGACTACATTGATTGCAAGATGTCATAAGAAGAGTTTGTTTAATTTTATTTTTTAGACCTTGGGGCTCAACCGTTTTACCAAGATTTCAAGAACATCCGCTCGGTGTATAATCTAGTCTCTGGGTAGTTGAATTTTGCCTTTTCTGACTCAAGCGCATTTATCTCCTAGGAAAACTACCTCTGAGCCAAAATTACAGTTAAATCGTACACGTGTTTATCCTTCGAAAAATATATTATCCTTTAAATCTCTGTTTGATATCATTTTATTCTGAATTTGTTTTTTCTCATTTTATTCATTGTGCATTCACAGGGACGTGCAAAACAGCTACTGCGTGCAGGTTACAAGAATCTTCAATTAATAGCCCGGTCAGATGTGAACTCGATGGTCAGAGCAATCGATCATCTTCCTAAGCGAGTAGCTTGCCAAATAATAGCAGCAGCCAAGGTAAATACTTGTGCTGCACAGAATATTTCGTATACACTTAATCCACTTTTCATTGTTTAAATTGACAATCAACTCCTTTTTCTAAGGAAGGCAGTTTCTTAATGGCTTCCAAGACAGGGTAGAAAATGTAGCACCATGATACATGTTACAGTATACAAATTTAACGCAGAATATAATGGACATATTGAAAATTTTTCAGTTCTACTCATAACTTAGAAAATAGCGGTTTTTAACCACAATGATTCACACTTGCTGCTCTAAAAAAACCAGGGTCTACTTCAGTCAAATGGAGCTTTGAAGTAATAATTTGGTACTTTTTACGATGGAAGAAGTTTCCTGTATGCTAACTTTTTTTGACAAAATTAAAGTCATCCTGTATCAAAAGAAGAAGGAAATTTCTGTGAACTTAAGCTCAATTCACTTGCCCAACACCTAGGACGATCCAAAAGTCCCACACCGCACCTATAACCCCTAGGGTTCTCACCCCTTTTCAGAAGGATCCCCTTATTTTGGGATACCCCAAAAGTCTTTTCTTTTGATCTAGGGGCACTTGCAAGATTCCAAATTGTTATCTCACTTTGTTCAAAAGTTACAGGGGTAATGCCTAATGCTGAAGAAGTGAGACCTGTGGATCATCCTGTATAAGTTGATTTCATTTTATTTTACATTGATGATGTTTCTCACATGAACTGGAAATTTGAATTTAATGTTTATAATGTAATTTAGGAAAGCTTATTTACATATCCCTTTGGAATCAATAACAGAAGTTTTTGATATGTTCGGCGAATTTTTTGTGAAATTTGTACACAGACATGTGCTAGTGTGCTAAAACCCTGTCAAGCGGTTTTTTTGCTTAAAAGGCTATAAACCCTCAGTTCAACACAATTTTGCCATTTTTCAAGCTTTTTTTTATTTTGCTTTTTATTGCAAATGCTAGATTTAGGGTGTAATGGAAAATATTGGGAGTAACCCTTTTTCTCACTAAGTTGGCTTTACAGTACGGAAAATTTAAAAATTCAGAGACTCTCAAAACTGAACCAAGTTCAAGGTCTGATTTAAGTCGGATTTACCTCTATTCACACTAACTTATTTGTTCTTGGCTTTGAACTTTTGGCACGAGAAAATTTGAAACAGAGTTATCCCTTGCTGCTGTTATTTCTCTCTCCGCTGTATTCGCGTACCTCAAAACTGCACTGAAAAAGTATGAAACCTCCCTGAGTTTATATGTATGTTTTTTTTTTTTTTTTTTATTATTATTAAAATAAAAAATGTACGACTGCCCCTGACGGGGCATTAATTACATTGAGATTAACTGAATCTTAAACTAATCTTAAAACTAATGTAATATGATTTTGTTGTTAACTTAATAATATGTATGTGTGAAAGTTTGTTGCAGGAAAAATATTACAGTTTACTTTTAACCTTTCATTTCACTTGACGACTTCATTGCCATCAATATTCAAGCATTTTTGAAGTCTTGGCCTGAGCTTGGGAATCTCGCCGTCAAGGAACTTGGCAGGTTGGCCATTGAATCAATTCCTCACAAAGTTTTACACCTCATTGTCAAGTTTCCATTTGCAATACACTGAGAGCCTTTTCTCCTTTGAAATCTCATTAAGAATCCGCCAGTCTTTAATCTTTTTTTTAAAAATTACAGTAGACTCTCCCTAGGTAGATGATGGACACGGACAGTGAGGTGCAAAACAGTGTGATGAATCGATTCAAATTGATTGCTGAGTTCCTTGACAAAGAGATTCCCAAGCTCAGGCCAAGGTTTCAAAAATACTTGAATATCGATGGTGGTTATGTTGAAAGGAAGGAAGTTAAAAGGCAATTGAATTATTTTCCCTGCAACAAACTTTCTTGTACACGCAAGAACTCAAGGAGTTTTTATACTACATATTCAAGGTACTCAGTCCCGGATGTGAGGGCGGTGACGGTAGGATAGGAAAATTGTCTTCCTGAGTGTTTCCGTGATCCAATTTTAAAAAGTGACAGTTTAAAGTAAAGCTGAGAGGATGTAACATTCAACAATGCAGCTGAGGGACTTGGAGGACAAGACGCCTAAATGCAAAATTTTAAATAAATTGAGATATTTATGAACTCAACTAAATCTAGTTTGAAAGTATATTCTGTGAAAAATTCACCACTAAAATCCAATTTAAAAGCATCAAAAAGTAGGTTTTAACTTCCTTACGGCCATATAAGGCTCATGTAATTTTGAAACTTCAAACACGAATTTTTTGAAACAGCAGGAACTGCACTTAGACACCTTGTCCTCCAAGCCCTTCAGTTGGTTGTTCCTTGACATTAACGGTTAGCGAGAAAATCCATACGAGGCCTACTGGAGACCTTCTAGTTGACCTTCATATGTAGTGTGATGCTTTTCTGCCAAATTTGGTCCTATTTTGATGCTGATTAAAAAAAGTTCGAAAGTCCTTCAGGAAGCGTATTTTTATAAGATGGAACTCAGGAAAAGTCCTTAATTTTGGTTTCGAGGAGCTGCCATAAACCATGTCATAAAAAAATAGTCATAAATGAAAATTTTGAATAATATGTTCGTCATTTTTTAAAAATGTTTTAGTTGCTGCTACTTGCAAAAGCGGAACTACTTCAAGAGGAGGCTGAACAAGTTCTAGAAGGTCTAGAAGGTATGAAGCTGTATTAGTTCAGGTACATCATTCTGCCAGTGAGCCCAAACCTTTTCTGTTCTCATCAAAATCTCACCATTTTTCTGTGATAAATTGTCCTTTTCTGTGATAATAAGTATGACTTTGTTTGTGGTTAGGAAGTTAGGTCAAATTCGAGAGAAAACAAAAAAAAGAGAAGTTGAAAATTTCTAAGACAGTTCTAGCTGCTCCTGAAATAGTGAGTTTAATTTATGTTTCTGGGAACAGGAGAGTTCGTGCTTTGGTCCTAAGGGTTGAGAAGTAAAGGGGACTCATGTGGATAAGCCCTCAAAGCTCTATGTAGTAGGTACCTACTCCTAGACTTCTAGGTTTGTTGTGGTGCTAGCAAATAGTGTAGAAAATAATTTAAGAATACATACTTTTAACTGAACCTACAGAGAAGTTCCAGATCATTTTGCAAAGCACTATTTTCTTTCAGATTCTACATCCGTTTTAGACTTTTTAAATCACACATTTCAAAAATGGGATTTATTTTTATTCTTTAGTAGTTTTATTTCTTAGTCCTCATTCATTTTAAGTTTTTAGGCTCTTTGTAATTACAAACGCTGAGTTGCCTGTAAAAGAAATAACAAATTACTTTATCAAAGAAATTAAATTTGAGACTTCACCTATGAGCACTTATTTTTTTAGGATTTAAGCAACACAGCAATTAAGTTCCTCTTACAGCTTGAATCATGAGCTAAAAAATCGTCTATATCTTTTTAATCTTAAGTTCTTAGGAAATAATCCATTCCTTGTTGAAAAAACAAATATTACATCATTCATAACATGTGTGTGTCATGTATTTTTTACTAAAAAGTATCTTTATCAAGAGTTCAAGTTCACATGGAGAAATTCATAGTTTTTTATAAAAACTTCCTGAAAAATCTGAGGAGGGAAGTGAAAATTGAAAATTCCTATGGAGGTCATCCTTTCTGTTACAATTGTATCACACTCCTCCACTTCTATTACTGTATAAAGTTTCTTGGTAATTTTCTGTTCTGGATTAAACAAAATGGAAACTCCGAGTTTATACCAGTTCCTTTCCATTATGGTCAAAACAAAATTTGAGACGGATGATTTTCCATTCTTCATTATTGACGGATTAGTTGTTGCTCTTGAAACAATTAAACAAAACTATTTTCTAATTATCGGTTGGAACAAAATACTCAATCTTAGATTAGCTCTTCACTTTATTTTTCTCTTTTCAAGTTTTTCTACTCTTATTTATTTTAAGTCCTCCTTTCAGTGCCATTAGAAATCTAGTTGTGTTGTGATATGTGATCCACAATTGTAGGTTTTTTCTTGAACTATGGATTATGGAGATGCTTTCACAAGCTTTTAAATGTCGTGAAGTGTTTCATCACTGAAGAAACATGCTATCAGTGATTCTGTGAAGGTGTTCCAGTCAAATTTCGTTTAGAGATTAAGTTTTGTTTTCCAATGTCTCCGAATAAAATAAATTTTATCAATGTTACCAATGAACTTAACAAGACTTTTATTTCCTCCGTTCCAGCAAATGTTTTGTTCTGAATTTCACTTTATTGTAACCACTGCACAGTAACTTTTATAATATTTTACTCACTACATATTTCTGTCTCTTAGGAGAAGAAAGGTAGAATGAACAATTAAATTGAGCTTTTTTTCAATGAAGTCCGCTTTATTCAAAGAGGGAAAGTATCAACGCCTCGATTCAAAGTTATAACAATGCATCATATACATTTCAATAAAAATTAAATTCAAAAATAACAAATTTAAACTCTAGATTATGAATAGCTACTTACAGAAAGATAATAATATAAAGGTGCAAACCTACTATAGAGTGATAAAAAATTGAGAGTTGGAAAAATAATACAACGTTCAGACATTAAAGTAAATTTACGATGAAATAATTACACATAAATAGTTTGAATAACATTTAGATTACTTCCTAATACGAGGAAAAATTATGGAGCCGTTTAAAGGAAGAGAAGGAGCGAATGAAAATATGATAATATATAATGCAGCATTACCTCTGCTAGAGCATAAAGTTTGACAGAAAATTATAAATATTTGAAAATATTGTGTTCATAAGACGAAGATATCTCATTCCTTTATGGCACTTTGCAATGATAACAATGTGTAGTTTGGAAGACCTCTTAAACTAACAAAATGGAAACAAATCTATTTTGTTTATTATTTATCTAAACAATATCAAGGAAATAATGGAAACACCAAGGTGTCGTAAGTATAATGTTATTTTGAGAATGGACAATAAATTAAAAAATACAGGCAGTTAGTTTCTTGGCTAATGTGCATGTATTTTCTGATAAAACAGACACTCTCTTATATAGAAGAAAAATCGCAAAGACCCGAGACTACAATAACACTAGACTTAAAATGCGTCCGCAGTTACTCTCCTAGCTGGTTCAATTGGTGGTGCACCAAATGGGAGATCCCTTGGAGGAAAAGTTTTTGCAAAACACAATTTTTTATCTGAATGAGAAAATTTTCTGATTTTTTAGAAAATACGAAAGTCAAGAAACTAATGGTCTCCAAGATTCCTGTGCTCAAACCATTCGTATGAGCATAACCAAATGCATTGTACATTGATTGAAAAGAGGAGATCAAATAGGGGCCGAAAGTCCTTCAGATTTTAACCCATATTTCAATTGAGTATTTTTTACTGAAATTGAAGAAACAATTTAATCGGCTCTGATCTCCTAAGTCTGATTTTCAACTATTGCACACAATTTTTCCCGAATTTTGAGTTTGGTTCAGACTATGTCCAACATAAGAATAACAGGCACACATTTGTTGAAAATACGCAAACAGAAAATATTAAGTAAATATAAATGCGAAAATAAACAAAGAAATAGAAGAACAGGATTTGAGCTTTTAGTCTACTCATTTTGAGTCATACAAGCGTAAACCACTGGCAAATTATGACACAAACTTTTTTCCTAGCAGCTCTCGGAAGTGGGTGAAGACTTCCACTCTTAGATATGCTTAGGGTGTCCTGAAAGTCTTGTCACCAAGTCTCTCTCTCGGCTGTGAACAGACGCTGAAAAGGTCATCAAGGCTTTGTCTTCGTAGGTAGAGGCCCAAGGTTTTTGGGACACCCTGTGTATTTTGGCTGAGGCATCCAACACAAACTCTTTCGAAAAAATATTGAAAAAATACATTCATTTAAGAGGACTAAAAAATTAATAACAAAGTTTCCCACGTTTATCCAGTCTAAAGTCACTCGTTTCTAGGAAAAAAAAACGTGTCACAATTTTTTCTCTGAAGTCAAGAGCTAATCAACATGACGGGGGTTTTTTCATACAGATAAAAATCAAACTGAAAACTCAAACAAAAACTAAAGGAAGAGGAATCTGAAAGACACAACATAATTCAATCAAACATCACTTGAATAATTTACAAATCGACTTCTCTTGGTATTCCGTTTGGGGAACATATTTCTTTTTTTTTTCTTTGGAAATGAAGGTAGACAGAAACAACAAAGATTTATTTGAAAAATCAAAAGGAAGACAAAGGAAAGACAACCTTGTTTCAAAGGCAGTACCCTTAAGATTTTGTGCTCTCTCACCCTCAACCTAGTTTTGGAGTCCACAAAAGTAGAGGAAGTTTACAGAAAACTCCCTTAAGCCCAAATATTGCTGGTTGCAGCTGTCCGCAAATCAAATAAGCATAACCTATAATGATGAAAATAAGTAAATCAGAGCCCTTCTGCATGACTTTCAGCCATTGGCAATCTGAACGAGACTGTTATTGGCGAACAGCAGATTGAGATAAAAAACCCTTTTAGCCGGCTTGATATTTCCTCTCACAATATTCAAATCAAATGTTTGTAACTGTAATTCATATTAATTAAACAAATATGTCTACATGCCAATCATTAAATAAATTAAAAATATCCTGGAATAATTTTTGGGGATACAAAAAACTTCTACTTTTGGAATTTTCAATTAATTCAAAAGATTTTCTGACTAAAATCTGAACTCTCTTTCTATTTAAAGAAACATCTGCTTACTTTAAATCAATTTTATAACCTGCAGTACTGCAAAAATAAAAAAAAAACTTAGGTTGACCCGCTAATAAACCTTGGTAAATTTCAATTAACTGAGTTATAGTTTTTTCTAAACTTACGAGTAATTTTATAATAATAGAAAACTTCTAACATGTTGGATGTTCAATATTGATAAATATACTTGTATAGAGAGATTCCTATTGCTCGGCTGTATCAAATGGCTGATAGGAGGATAAAAAATTCACCTCAACAGAAATAACTTTCAGAAATTGGCGAAATTATAGATAAAAAATATTCTGATAGAAGCCCTGTCCAAGCATGGAAGGTCCATTTTTTTCCCAAAACAACAAATGTATACAAAGTTCCAATGAAAATCAGAACATACCCTTACTACTGTTGTAAAAAGCTAAAATTGCTGTTACGACTGTTCAAAATAGATTTTTTTTTTGGTGGAAAATTTCACTTCTTCTTGGTATGGGCGCTTGATGCACCCATTAATTTACATTCATTGCGTAAAAGTAGAGTACCTTTACATCTAGGTGTGACCTCCAATACTAGATAGGTTACTACTATTCAGAATCTGCATAATGATTGCTTTGCAGATGTTTCATACCACCTATTGATGCACTGAAGGCTTTTTTAACCACATGCAGACCTCAGGAAGAATTACTTCAGGACTTTGAATTACACAAGAACTTATTTGAGAGGCTAATACAGTAACGGAGTGATGAAGTGGCTGATTGGGCATAAATATTAAATGGCATGAAATAGAAGACAGAAATGTGAATTGAAAACTTTTGTGAAACATTGTATGAAATTTCATGTGACTGTGAGACTTTTGAAAAATGGGAAGTATCCATCTCAGGAGTTGGGTGCGCAACTTGATTTAGAAACACCTTACTTCTTGGCATTTCATTTCCCTTAAAGTGTGAAACATTAAAAAACGAAAAATAAGTTACAGAGCAATTCTAGCAGACTTCCGAATATTTTTAGAACTGGGACACAATCTGCAATCCAAAAAGTACATCTTTTTCATTGTATTTCATACATTTCCAGAAATGTTTCACAAAAATTCCACCAATGTAATATTTCAACCCTTCTAATATCACATGAAAGCAACATGAATGAATAAAATGAGAAAAAAATGTTAGTCAAGGGATGTCCTCTTACGATCACAGCAAAAGAAAACACTCTTAATACTTGAAGTTAGCCATGACACGACTCGCCTCATTGGTGAAATACACCACTGTAATGGTGGCTGATCTGGGGCTTGTAAATGCCTTAATTTAAGGGAACATTGTGTTAGTTGTTTGGTTCGCTAGGTTTGATGAGCACTTTGACACTTATGACTAGTGTGGAGTTCAGTTTGAGGAACGCTTTAGGAAATTCCAGAAGCTTCATATGCGAATAGAGATTGATTTTCTCATACCCAGAGGACACCTGTCTCACCAGCTGACGATGCTGGTTAACAATATACGCTGACACCCTGAAAAACAAATATTTTGAATATTACTTGAATATTATTTAGAGTAAGATACCTAAATACAACAAATAATCAATTATCATGTAAGATTCACTAGTACAGTGCAAAAACTTCAAAAATCCAAATTCAAGAATTTTTTGAGAAATCAATAGTACTCTTGCTTGGATATCAAGATACATTCCTAAAAATCCGTCAAACAAAAAATAAGATTTGATGGCTGTTTTTTACCACCTCCCACAATTTTGAGAATTTCTAACAGAGAATTTCCCCGTTCTTATGAGAAAAAAGTGGCCTTAAATACAAACCATTTTCTTTAAAAAACTCTCGAGAATGCATCTGAAGTTTTCCATTGTAACATACATATTCTCAAATTACTTCAAGGGGTATAATTTTAAAATGTTATTCTTGGGGACTGGAAATTTTGGCCCTTACTGGTTGCTGGAAGTGGCAAGACTCCGCCACCAATCAGAGGCAACCTCTTTCTATTAATAAAGATTGGAGTGACCATCTAGCCAATTGATAAATTGCTCCTCTTCTTTCCTCTTTGGAAGAATGCCTCAGATTGAAAATCATAGATGAAAAGCGGTTTACCTTCAAAATGAAGTAAGAATTGTAAGATTAATTAATGTGATTCACTTGCCCACAAAAAACACAGCCAAAGACCACAGAATACAGATTGAGAAGAAATTAAAATGCTTACTTATAAAACAGGAACGTGTTTAGGTAACCAGTTCTGTATGGCATGTAGTTATCGAAAGCATAGCTTCGCCCAACTGCGATGCCATCTTGACTGACTGTCCACAGTAAATGAAGACCATGGTCAAAGTTATTCCACTTCCAAGAACAACACTTTGTGTAAGTGAAGACTCGACCATAGCGTAAGCAAGTTGTGTTAAACTCCTCTTCAGGAACGTCTGGGGCTCTGGAGCAAATGATAAAATTAACAAAAATAGAATTATTAAGTTTGAAAGATTGAGGAGCATGAAAAAAAGCATGATGCATAAACAACATTTTTGACACTCCTTTGGATGACCTAGGGCTGTTCTATCGGTTGTCGGTAAGCTACCGAAACAGTTCCGTTTAGAAAAAGTTATGATAAGAGCGCTCTTGCCGATAGCGATCAGAGTTTTCGGAGCTGGCGAAAATAAGCTGTTGCCATTTGTACATCTATTTTACACGCCGCCGCGCCAGGCAATCTGATAAACCTGAACAAGGCAACAATGCATTGAGTGCTAGCTCTCAAAACTCCGATAAGGCCGGCTGTTGTCAATATCATCGCCACTGTCGGTACTGCCGCCAGTTTCAATAAGACACGATGTCGATAGTGTTCCGGCAAGAATTCGTTTGAACACCCCTAGGATGACCTCAAAATTGTTTTGATTGATTACTCATACTTGATCCCTTTTTGTTCCAAATTTTCAATTCATAAAAAATTTGGGGGAAGGGATGAAAGTTCGAAACTGTACAACTGGGTGTCTTCTGAGCAAAACAAGATATAGAGTACATTTTTCACTAAATATTACCTACAATAGCACATCATAAGGTTCTTGAAGTAAAAATACTGAGATTTTGTATTCAGATTGGGTCCTGTACATTTATCCAGTTTTTGGAATAAAGATATTTTGTTTCAACATCTAAAATACAAAAATCTTAATTATAGATCTAAACTAAAACCAGTTTTTTAAAGTGGCTGTTTTATTCCTCATTGAATGGATGGTCCATGGTCATGGATTCTAAGGAAACAGTTAGTTCAGCAGTTACGAAGAGTCAAAATTGATAAAAAGCAAAAACCAAATGAAAACAATTCAGTATCCTCTGGGTTCAAGTTTTGTTAACTTCGCTTCTTCATCATTTCCAAACTTTTCCTCAGAGTCAATAACCACTCGTTAGATTCAAAATAAGATTACTAACTTAAAAAAATTAGTTTTGATTCAGATCAATAATTAATATCTTGGTGATTAAGATGCTTCAAAAAAAAAAATTTCCTCACTTCAAAAATTGAAGAAATGCACCGAACACAACCTGAAGATAATACCTTTTGATTTGCACCACAAAAACCTAGAAATTGGTAATTTTAGACTATTTTTGATGAGAATCGTACCTCAATATCTGATATCATTCAGATGATAATGAGTTCAAAGGTTTTGACTTTCAGCCGTTTCCCTAACGTCCCCCTTTGCGAATTTGTTTTAAATCTGAAAATTTAGGAAAGGAACGGCTCGAGTAGGAATAATCAATGATAAAATTTGGAGAACTTCAAGAGGGGTGGCAAAAGAGGTTGTTTTTGCATCATGCTCTTTGAGAGAGAGACAGCATAAGTTGAGAGCATAGACAATATTCTATGGGATAAGCAGAATCAAAATAATCCTTGTGGGCCTAAAGGTCTTCATACACATCCTTTCTCTATTTTGATTACTTAAAAAGTTTATTACATAGTTTTAAAGTTATTTATTTCATCAAGAATTTATAGTATATATTAAAATATTAGGGTGCATATATACCTCGGTACTCGGGCAACAATTTGATTCACTTTGAGGAGGTCCTTCCAGTGTTCCTCAAAATATGAACTGAACCACGACTTTGGTAAAATGTTATCTTCCTTCAAAATTTCAATATCCTCATAATGAAGAACTATGTCTCTCAAATGAATGCTCCTGAATAGTTCTACGTACTGCTTGCCCTCTGCAGTGTCAAGATAGGCGACACCGTCTGAAAGAGAGAGAGACAAAAAATAATGAATCTATAAGCGAGGGGTACAATAAGTTTTTTTGCCTCCTCAGTTTTTTAGGTAGCCTTTAAATATTTAAAGGCTGCCTTCACGCTGTTGTCCACATAAGACTTCCTTCACTATACATTTTTTGAGACAGCCTCCACATTACTGTTCACACAATACTGTACACTTCACTATTCTCTTTGCATAAAAAGCAAAGTTCAAAGTTTCCTTTGCTAAAAGTAATGCCCTTAGCAGTTCCCCTCTGAAAGAATAACACGTTCAATAGTTTAATTTACTAAAAGCTGCGCCTTTACAATTTTTCCCCTTTTTCCAGTGCCTTCACATTTATGAAAAGCCCTCTTCGATGACCTTCGCATTTTTATCGCGACTGGACCGGTTGTTCAGTTGCAGAAGTTTTGCACCCCTGATAGGGTGGATACTTTGGCTTTTAGCCTTAGTTCCTGATTATATCTATTTAAATTTATTTAATTTTTTTCCTTCATTTTCAGAATTTAAAGATGAATTATTACTTGAACAGCAGAATGCAAAAAGAAAGAAAATGAATTCCTTTAATAATTAGGACTTGAAAATAAATTAAAAATTAAATTCATTGCATTTATGCCTCCTTCAAAATTATGACCAACAATTTGATTAAAAATTACTTGAGTTCAAATTTGGAATTTTGAATTTGATTTGATCAATTTTTATTCATCATTAATTTTGATCAATTATTACTAAAGTTTCCCGAAATATTGATATTTTGAAATAGCCGATTGAAAATCACTGCGAAAGACGTTACATTTTGGTTTTGATCTTTTATTTTTTGTGATACTAAGTGTATTTAAGAGCAAAACTTGCTTTCACTACGAGTCAATTAATTTCCTGTATAAATAATCTCTGAGATCTATGTGCTCCCATTCATAACAGGTAATAACATTGACAGTGCTGACCCTTAGGAAGTGTTCTAAAAAAATTATGGACAGTTGCATTTTCATCAAAACTGTTGGCTTGAAATTCTAAGTCTTTCTCTATCTGCATGAACAACCAGGATCGTAGAAGTAGATAAAGTGAAAATTCTGTTTGGACCACACACAAATCGTCATGCGTCAAAAGTGATATCATGAGTTCCAAGCTGAAAAAGAAAAAAAAACCGAATGAAGTATAGATAAAGAACCAAAAATAAGACAGCTCAATCGTGTTCAGAATTTTGGCTGAATCAGACTATGAGGACCTCGTCACACAAAGTTGAACTCAGCAGCGATTTAAGGCTTGAAGAGCCTACAGCAATTCCAACATAGAAATCTGAATTTTTGGAATGCTCTTGCACTAGTCTAATATAAAAACAAATTCTGAATACACTTTTGTGAAAACTTTTTTTCAGCCATTTTGGCTGAAGCCATTCAAAGAGTTTTACATAAAAGGTGGCAAACTCATTTGATTGAAAAAGATTGATTGATTTAATTTCACTCAGTTAATTTATATTTATTAAAAGAGAATATTACCTTATTTTTTGTAATCTGTCGAAGTTACATGAGTAGTAAGTGATGAGGTTTAACAAGAGCCAGCTAAAAGCTGCATCTTTCAAGTCTTGTATGCCATACATGCATGCAACTTCATAATATGATAGAACAGTCTGAAACATACAAACAATTAATTGAGTTTCATTTTTTTTAAAAATACCCTTTTGAAGATCATATGAGTGGAAAAACACTGCAAGGAAAAATTTAGTTCTTGAAAACTGCATTGTTTTTTGAGCCCTATATTTTGAATATTTTTCAGGTAAGCTGGCATGTGAGAGGAATTACATGAATCATCACCTCTCTAATACTGCTGTAATTGTTCAAATAAATGGACTACTAGACAGGGTAAGAAATTAAACACTAGGTACAGCACATATCTTCTGATCCAAATTTCAGGTTGAGCACATCAAAACTTCCAAAATTAACTGAAAAGTGAGAATTAATCTTTCGTAGTGTGCATTAAAGCAGTCAATTCTAATTTCCAGCTAACAAAAAAACCATGATGATGGCTAGGGAACAAGACCGCCTATCAGAAAACTGACCGATTTTACAGGACGAAGAAAAAACTTCAGTCATTTTTGTAATTTTGAGGTTAGGTTTGCAATTTTTTTTGGTACATAATAGTATCATTACAACGCTCCCATCCAGAATTGGAAGGAACTAAACACATCTGTTTGCCTATTTTATACTGTAGGAGGCGGCAAAGTTGCTAACTCATTTTAACCAAAATGTTTAGTTAGGCGGTATTGCTACTCAGCCGTTGATAATTGACGTGGGCCAAATTAGGCATTAAAATCAACCTATAAGTTACAGAAATAAGAAGAGCTTGGTTTCACACCCTCCTTTTTTAATACAAGAGAACTTTAATCTTATCAAGAGAAGTTAGTGCACAGGAAAATTCTTTTATCGTAAAATATACTGAGACATTACTTGTTAGTCTAGAGTTCAATTTGACTCTGCTTTTTTTGTAAGCAAAAAGTAAAAATGAACGTAGACATAAACCATCATTTTCTGACTCATGAGTTGAATCAAAGAAATTGTGAAAGGACACATGTATTGTGGTGCTTAATTGCGCACCCTGCTTAATCACCCATTGTACATACTCCCTTCATCTGGTCATACCCTTTTTTCACTAATTCAAGTGGCAGGTGATACTTCAGTCTTGAGATTTACTTTATTTTTGTTTATGTGTCAAATGACATTCAGGAGAGAGAAATAAGACCACTGAAACTTACCAATGCATTTGTGTTCGTGATCATCAATCGAGAAACTTTGTTGATGAGTTCATCCAGTTGAAACATAACTGCAGTTGCCAATATCTCTTCACATCTGCGTGGCTTCAATGTTACTCTGTCTTGGTATAAGGACCCTAACACGATTTCTAAGGCTGCAAAAGTAGAGACAAGGCATCATGATTAACATCAGAATACCAGAAACTCAGTAAAACTCAGAAAAAGTTGTCCCCCTCCCTTACACAACCAAAAGAACTCTCTTCAATCCAACCTTCCAAAAATCTTTCAAAAATTGGCATTTGACAAGGGGTCTGCCTGTACAGAAAACACAGCTCTGAGCTGTCAAATTCTGATGATATGACCAGAGATTCACAGTGCTTCTGAATGCTTCAGGCAGTGGTAAAAGAAGCTGAGTCAGCACACCATCACTGGAAGAGGTGGGTTTTAAGCAGGAAAAGATCTCTTTATTTTTGCTTCCGACTGACGCGCTATGGGAACTTACAGGTGAATCCTCCTGATCACCACACCTATAGTAATAGTTCTTGAAAACTGAGAAATGATACTCACCGTCTTCGGTGATATTTTGATCAGTCAAGTCAATTTTGATCTGTGATTTCCCAGATTCATTCCACGATCCGGAGAACATACTTGCAAAATATGGACTCTGAAATGAAAATAAATAAAAGTAGAGCACCAAGCCAATCAAACCATTTATTTTGTAAACGCCTTAGGTGACAAACTATTACTTGTCTTGATTCTACCTATATTCTCTTTTCTTCCTGAGCTTGTGAGTAACCTGGTTGCTAGACACACTGTAATCTCATAATCATGAACCAATAACCTAATTAACAACAAGATTCTACAAGAAAATTGACATGATAATTGATAATTTGGAGTTGAAATTCAAAGTTAAATAATTCCAGAAAAAAGTCAAACACACAACTACAAGGAAATGTAATTTATAACTTAAACATAAAACTATAGGGAATCACAAAAGTATTTATTAAGACTATAATATACCATGGTTCTCAGTAAATATTATACAAAAATTTATGACATATTGATGGCTAGATGCAAAAAAAGCAAATCTCACGAGCAGCATTTAAAAATCTCCGATTACGGTTTACTTTCTTCAAGTAGAGCTTCAAGCAGATTCTGGCCAATCGATCCATGTTCTTCCTTACCGTTATAATATTGCTATCTTTACTGCTGTTACAATGTCAGATTAGCGGAGCAGCATAATAGGCAGGGTTGCCACAGAATTTAGAAAATTAAATTCCCTGACATTTCTCTGATTTCTCTGACACATTTTGGTGAACGATGATTGACAATTGATCAAGTGTCATATTGTTAAAAAGATACAGTTAGAAATAGTTTTCAGGAGGACTTTGCTGTTTGAAACATCACTCACTCCAGAAAGCAAATTTAGATGACGTAACAATTTTTCCCTGAATTTTTAAAATTCCCTGATATTTCCCTGTTTTTCCTGACTATGGCAAACCTTAATAGCATTGACGTATAATACAATCTAGACCGCGCATTGGGCCCGACTTTAGGCGGGGAAGGTAAGACAGCTAGGGGGGTAAAGACGCGCCTTCAGCCTAGTTGATACCGCCGGATATACAAGCTAAGTGTACCCGTATCAGGTAACGGCACTGATAAGACTGGCATTTCCATTGTCTCGGTCGGTACACTTACTGCGGTTGCTGGGTTGCCTATCGTCTCGCCTGAAGGGACTCTAGTCTTGCCGAAATTTCCTAATGCGCGGTCTAGATTGTATTATACGTCAATGCTTAATAGAGACTGCTTGAATTCAGTATGACCTCTTTGCGCAAATTAAACTAAATTGGATACGATGTAAGGTTATAAATATACATACTTGCAACAGGTAGACTTTGTGAAGCTTCCATACTTTGCCAAGCATCTCGACCTCAACATCATGGTCCCGACTTTCCAGGAACAGTGTGTTGTAAATATACTGTGATGTACTTGTCAACTTTGTCCTGCAAAAACAAAGCAGAAGAGCTCAATTAGGTAAATGATCTTTTTTGGAGGAAAACAAATTTTAGGCACTGTTGGTTAACTGCTTTGTGTTGGTAAGAAAGTACTCAATCTGTTCCATGGGTTACGGAACAACTCTCTGGGTTTCGTATTTTAGTATTTCTATTTTGGAACTGAAATATTTGACTGATTTCTCAGATCATTTGGTTGCATCGACTGAAAGCAAATAATCTTGGGACAGATTTCCATTTGTCATTTTGATAAATTTTAGTTTATCTGATTTGTTGTGGTTTCCTTCAACATTTGTTGAACCATGTCAAATGTTTATTGTTTCACTGAATCAAAACCAAATGAAAATAATAGAAAGGAAGCAATTGTTGACAATGAAGTAATTTTTACTAAAACCTGTTCATGGCTGACTTTACCTCAGTAATTTCCCCAAGATGCATGACATGGGTACCTCACTGATCAATCTTCCGCAGAGATTTATCGGTGAGTTTACAAGCGCAGGGTTATTGAAAATGAGACCAAAAATTTTCATTTAAAAAATGTAACTCATTCCTTCCACGCTGTCAACAGTTGAAAGATAAATTTAAGGAGGATGACAAATTACTTGCTTACACCTGCATCTTTAGTTTCAGGAGTCGCTAGTAGCTTTTCTGTGACGTGCCACTAATAGCGTCTATGGTGCTACCCAGCTGGCAAAATAGACGTCAACAATTTTTTACTTTTTTTCTGATGCGACCTCTAGGTGGGTGTCCGATGACCAAAAATTGCATGACAGAGGTTATGCTTGATCGGTAGCTGATGCACAACTCTGCCATTAAACTTTGCTTTTATATCACAAACATAAGCACACTACACATACAAACCTTTTTGGTTTGTCCAAAATGTCTTCTAAATCCACTTCATCATCATCGTAACAGTCGTAGCTCCTTTTCCTCTTCTTGGCGAGGGTGGAATAGAAATTGTGCACTACTTTTGGACAATAAGTATTCAGTGTACTTGATACAACTCCCATGTTTAAAAGATTATAGAGATAAAATAGAATATAGAAATTATAAGATGATCACCATGCCAAATCAACTGAATATAGAGACAGAGTATAAAGTTATCAAATTTTTTTCTCAAAAAGTAGAAATGCAGAGGACAGATTCGAACATGATCAAAATATTTCGCCTATGTGTGGGACACTTCATACATCTACAGCAATAAAATGACAAAACCGCGGGTCCAAGAAACTGAAACAATTTGATTTGAAATGAAGATATAAAAATGAATGTAAGAAACAATCAATTTCTGATAAAAAGCATCACATCACAACCACCCAAATGCAATACGATATTGCGACATCGCGAAAGATAATCAGATCACACACCATTGTTTACATGTAAATGTTTTTGAGAAAAGTAGTATAGAGCACTAGAGCAGAGCAGCTGTAAAGCACCAAACGGTTAAAACGCCTGCTAGTCATACTTCACACACAACATCTTAGAAACAACAATTGCAGAGCAGCGAATTACAGGAAATATTAATTTAAACTGGACTAGTGCATGTATTTGAAAAGTGAGTTCCAATTTCTAATGGGTACATCTACATAACTAAAGTGGGGTTTTTTTTCGTTTAATATTCCTGTATTCTCAATGGCGAACCTATACAACCGCTCTTATTTACGTTGCACAACAATAATTTCAGCTCAAAGCAGGTGCAGTTTTATTGTTAGAAAATGTTATCTCACGATTTTTTTTATAGAGAGTTCGACAATGAAACATCTCAGTGATACCTGTACCTGATCGGTGTATTTCTAAAGGATTCACACCTGTTCTAGTTATTTTTCTAACGGTGAAGGTCCCAAACAACAAACAACGTCTTTAAGTTCGTGGTATTTTAAAATCTCTACTCCCATTTAATTTTTTGAAGTAGAACATTATCACTTTTATTTCCCAAATTTTTCACAGAATTTTCCTCGTCCGGAAGGAAATTTGGAAAGAACTCATTATTAGAAACTGTGGGCTAGGGTTCTTAGGGAAAAAAAGGAAAAAAATCGAGATCTTCAATAGAATCTAAACGCCATAAAACGCATCTATGATCTTTACCGAATCTTTAGATTTGGTAGGTAACGATTACGCCTTTTAAAGTTCCATCCCTACTAACTTATTTATACACCTAGCAGTGGGGTATCCTTTGTACCTTATGGTTTTCCGCTATTTCGAGCACTTGTGTGAGTTGTTTTTTGGCGAGCCTAAAAAGTTAATTACGATTATTTGCGGTTTCTCTCCGTGGTTTTGTGGGTTACGAAAAGATATATTTGGGGTCCATCGCGGATTAGGTAGGTACCTAAGTACTAGAAATGTTTACACGGCTTTTGCCTGATGGTGCCAAAGGATTTTCTTTTTTCTCGCATTTAGACGGATCGTAAAATAAAAATATACTTAGAAGGGTACTCATTTTCCAATTCCCTGACTTTTTTGCTGCCTCTCTAATTTTCTCTAACCCTCAAACAGGACTTCTACTCAAATGCTGCTCGCGCAATTCCCTGATTTTTCTGAGACCGACCTTCCTACTGCCTGGAAAGAAGATTAAAAAACGCCGTAGGTATGAACATTCAAGTCCGCCAAAATTCCTCCCAGAAAATATTCATTTTTAAAGAAATTTTGGAATATTTTTCCTGGAAATTTGAAACACTTTCGGTAACATCACGAGCAAAATTCTCTAAAAATCGGATGAGAAAATATTTACAAATTTTCCTAAGAATTTGTGACAGGTCAAAGGAAATTTGGCAACATCTGTAGTCTCCAGATTTTATCTCCAATATTTTTCTTGAGCACAGCAGCTTATAGTATTAAAATGAGGGGCTTGGAGGACAAGGCGCATAAGTGCCGTTTTAGAAAAAAATGAGGTATTAATGATGTCAAGTATAAAACTTAGTCTTAATGCATATTCTGTGCAAAATTCGCTCCCAGTTTCTAATTTTTAAGCATCACAAAGCCAGTTTGAACTTTCAGAAACACGCAGTTCTCGAAATAGCAAAAACTGATTTATTATGCGCTTTGTCTAATAATCTCTATTTCCGTTTCCGCTAAAAAGTATAAAATCATGATCATAATACTTGAATTAGGCAACAGTGTGAAAGGTAATCACGCAAGCGCAACTGGCGCTGACAAGCGACCGTAACCGAAACTACAACCTCAGTGCAACAAAAAGCACTGCCGTGATTGGTCAGCGCAGGAATTTGAATTTTAACGGACTCCTAAGCCGTTAGAACCTCCCATACATACCCGTTCCCGTTTATCAGCCGAAAACAAGAGCGAGTGTGTGGATGCTTTTGCCGCCCTCGCGATTCCTTTTCCTTTTCTTAATTTCATTATACCCCAAATGTGCTCCACGAATTGATTAATTCTGCAGTTCAAGTTCGATTCGTCCTGGTCGCGGAGTGTGTGATAGTCAATTTAATTTCCCTCTCGTAGTTTAAAGGCTGATAAAATGTCGAACAACAAAGAACCAGATCACCCCATACCGGATACCATTGTAGACGAAGGCACCAAAACAACTTACGTGAAAGGACGATATTTCGGCAAGGTACAGTTCCTTATTATTTTCAGTTTTCTAAGCTTTTAGTGAACTTTCTCTATTTTCACAAGATTCGAGTTTTGGTGGCGTAAGAGGGTTGTTTACAAAGCAGCCAAAATGACAGTTGGCTTGTTGATGAATGTGCCTAAACTTCCTTGCATGCTTCCTTCTACGGAAACTTTCTTTTGATCATGGTCCCTGTGAATTTTTGTACTTTATGCTTTTTCATATCTCATTAGTTTATTTCTAAATTGAATTGATATTGTATTGAGCAGAAGTCAGAATGTATTTGGTTGTGCCTATTCGGAGCATCTCTTGAATTTCTTCTCCCTGTCAACCTAGGTGCTTTTAATTCAGAGGAGCTTTCCTGTTTTTATTTCCAAGCATTCAAATTTTTAAAATTTGTGCCCTCCCAATTTTCACTACCCAACAGCACCTTTCAGTCTGATGCCCTGGTATACGGTATACGTGACGTGATGAGTGATATTTGAACACATATGTTACCTCACGTCTATTAGGTAGCAGTTGTACTTACCAACTATGACTGTCAAATTATTTAAATTCTTAATTTATAAGTTTCACCCGTAGAAAGTCTCATTAAGTACAAGTACCTTGAGGTGATGTGTGAAAGTTGAAGTGGATATAATTGATGAGAACTGACAGCATTCAACAGGTCTTTTTTGGCGTTACTGATGAGGATTTCTCACCTCACAAAACCATTAAACTTCGGCTGTTGCTGCTACATTTATACACTTTTCTTGCTTCTTTCCATTCAACTCAGGGTTAATTTTTGAACAATTTTTTGAGGAAGTAGTGTAAGGTATAGGTATCTAGAAAACAGAAGTTCTGGTATTATCAGTCACACTTGGAAGAGAGTAAAATACCCTAAATATTCCTTCCTATTTTTTATTAAAGAAAAATTAGCATTATTTTTAATTTTCCTATCGCATGAGTAACAACGCCTTTTCTGTGGGTCCTGTAAAATTTGGCTGGAACCAATTTTCTGAGCATCTTGCATTGTGCATTCATTATTTTTCCCCTACATTGAATGCATAGGTTCCACTCTTATGGTTGCTTCTTGTGACCATAACTTGTGTTTATTACTGTGGCGGTAACTCTGAATTAGTGAGCACCCACTGTAAAACTGCATCATTGGGCAGTCTGTATCTGCATGGGAAAGAAAAAAATTAATCTACCTATCTAGGTGTTATCTGGAATTTAATCAACATTAAGGTGATTCGATGGACGCCATATTTTGTGTCAGAACGGCATGCGATATATCGCATCAATTGGTTCCATATTTTCAGCTACTCGTCATTTTTCTCCTATTTTGAGATTGCAATTTTGTTGTCAGGAGTCTAAAGCACTCACTTACCAATTTTAACAAAGAAATTCAACGTAATAAAGGCGTGGTTTTTTCAGAGAGAAAATATCGCATTCGAGTGCAGTTTCGATATCAGTATCGAATGCGATGTTTTCTCTCTGAAAAAACCACCCCTTTATTAAATTGAATTTCTTTGTTAAAATTGGTAAGTGAGTGCTTTAGACTCCTGACAACAGAAGTGCGATCTCAAAATAGGAGAAAAATGACGAGTAGCTGAAAATATGGAACAAATTGATGCGATATATCGCATGCCGTTCTGACACAAAATATGGCGTCCATCGAATCACCTTAAAGACATGTTTGCATGATGATTTTTTTTTATTAATTCGTGTTGGTCATTTTTCCATTGTGTAAATAAGTATTAAAAATTTCATAGAAGTTGAAATTTCGAAATTTGACCAATGATACTTTTTTTCAAAATTAAGAATTTAAGCACCCACCATTTCTGTGCGTTTCATGGCACACTGAGCCCATTGCAGAAGTTACGAAAACTTTCATGAAATTTAATGATGGAATGTCTATTCAAATTTTGTATCTTTGCTCTGCGTACTTAGGTACCTACCCTTCACACGCAAAAACGAAATGGCGCAAACCACCCCTACCCCCCTTGGCCTAGAGCGTTACGCACTTTGTGCATGGCCCTAAGGTAGCTTTCAATTTTTCAGATAGCATCCTAAAAGAGTTGAAAATCCGAAAATCTTCGTACAAAAATAACTATCTGAAAATCCGAAAATCTTCGTACAAAAATAACTATCAGCCTCTCAATTTTTAGGGCACTTCCTTAATGCATTCACGACCGCGCGGTTGTGAACAATGGAGCTCTTGCATGTGTGTAGGATTTGCAATTGAATTACTCACTCTAACGCAAAATTTTGCGCGAGACACGATGGTGCCACAAGTTTTCTCTGGAATCAACTCCAAAGCTCAAAAAAAGCTCTGAAAGTAGAGGGCGTAACGGAGGCAGTATCCCACGCTACCCTGATGGTCCCCCTCCACACCAAGACAAACTCTAGGAAGCAAATACATTAACAGGGTTGTCACTTTGCTTGGAGACTCCAAAACTGACAACATGGCAACCCTGCCTGTATTCAGGGTTGCAATTTTTCATGAATACGTAAATCTTGAAATTTCATGAAATTTCCGAAAAATACGGAAAATAATTTTCGAAATGAAATGAAAGGCAACTGGTATTTGCTTTTTGGTGTTTTTTAGTGCGTGTAGCATCACGGAAATTTTCGTATTTCATATTTTTCATTTCACCCTTGCTCCCTTTCTTTGCATGGAGAGTTTGTCTGAATATAAAAGTGAAAAGTAACACACGGTATCCCCTTCATTACGGCCTCAACTTTGAGGGCATTTTTTGAGCTTTGGAGTTGATTTCAGAGAAAACCAGCTGCACCATCGTGTTTCTCGCGAAATTTTACATAGGTAGGAGTTCGCAATAAAATCTAAAATTCCTGACACATGCAAGAGCTCCATCTGCATTCGTGTGTACTTAAGCGCTGAAATACCGAAGGGGGGATGCGGTAGTGAGAAGTATCTTCTTCCCGTAACATAAACTGATACAGCGGGACCGACAGGGTTTTTTCTGGAAATATAGTACTGATTTTTCAAGGGCGGTCCGAAATTTTTGTCGCAATTTGAGCGAGCAATTCAAATTTTTGAAATTTTTCGAATTTCGTCAAATGAAGGTACTTTCTGTTGATGTGGTACTGAATTTTTTGGGAATGCACTGAAAAAGTACCGTGAAAGTGCTGCTTTTTGGCCAGCCTGTTTTGGTAGACACCCTGACCGAGTTATTTCAGGGTATTTATCCTTTTCGCATTTGAACTGTTGTTTTATATCATGCTCGGCTAGAATAGTTTTGATCCGAAGACGAGCAACACACCGTTAGAGCGGCTATGAAACTTTTTCCCCCCGCCCCCTCTCGTGTGAGTTAAGTCGCTGACAAGTCCTAATAATTAACGGAGCTTCGCGAAACTTTGATGAAGTTGGGAGGAAGTGAGATAAGTTCGGCGGTAGATTGTGGGCGAAGCTGTCACTCGGGAATTCCTCACCACCTTGCTGCTTCAACGCTGTTTTCTCCTAAATCTGTCAGGGGTGGTTCGTAAAATACGTGACGCTTAAGTGGAGGGGGGGGGGGTCGAAAAATCCTATGGTGTCTACAAATCCAGAATTTCCGGAAAGTCTGTAAATAGTACTATTTGGCAACGCTGCAACAGTAGGAGGATGGCAAATAATTGATAGGATTCGATTTTGTCATATCTCTAAGTAAATTAAATGAGAAGAATCAGTAGGAGGTAAAATTTGTATTTTCTGGTAAGAAGGCAGATCAGGCGCGTAAGTAAATACCGCACAAATAGTATTCATTTTATTTATACAATATATTATTTTTTTTTTGTTTCTAGTTCACTTATTTTTTATTTATTTTTTTTTTATTTGATTATATACTCAACCCCGCTTATCTTTGTGTAACAGCAATGTACGAATGCAATGATTCACACATTTTGTTATTACAACCGGAAAAAGTTGAGGGCGATTCGATCCGGCTTTTAAAATGGCCAGGTCTGGACGCAACTATTCGTGATCTCGGGACGTCTGTGTTGCGTACAAATAATTGCAGGCGCTCTGGTTCTCTTAAGCTCAACGTATGGTTTAGCTACGGGTGTTCGTATTAGTTCTGGAGGGAAGGTTTTCTACATTGCACTCAGGGGTCGATTATATCTTAGATCCTAGAATCCCAGTTTTTGTGAAAAGCCCTCGGATGCGAAAATCTCGATTGTTGCTTCAAATTATTAAAAAAGAAGAAGAAGAAAAAAAAGAAGGGAAAAAAAACCTGAAACTCCACTACAGTTTTACCGTCACTGTTTCCACACTTTTCGAAAATTTTGTGTAAACTGCAAAAGTTACAATTGCCGCTTCAAATTCAAAATCTATAATATGAAAGCCTTTCGCAGCCCCCCCCCCCCCCCCCCCNAATAATCATGCCACTTTTTCTGTGGAAAGGGTGTACATTGTGGAAGCATTTGGTGCCATGGATCACCGCTAATGTGTAAAGCGCAGACGATTATCGACCCCTGTACTGATCGTATTTATGATTTTGTTTATCGTGTAATCCTTGGAGTTCCATTGCCGTGTCGCTTTACGGCAGCGTTGTCAGGTGGTGCAAATTTTCACCAAAAACATTTCCACACAGGCATCGCGGATGTCCATACCGCAAATTAACTCTGATAACATTTCTACAATTTGCTCCGTTTGGAACGCCACCATAATACTGAACGACTTGCCTGTATTTCGAGGATTTCACGATAAACACGATTGTAAATGCAACATAATGAGCCCCCGAAAACGAACAACTGTAGCCATTCTCTGTGTCCATCGGCAATCTCGAGGGAAAATATCCATTATCTGGGTAAAAAAAAAATACATTTTTTTTCCGAGAAGAATTCGGCAGCGTCGAATTGTTTTTATAGCGTTTTTTCCCTTCGCACGCAAGGGGCTGTCGGAGGAGAGGGAGCGTCCTTGCTAGCAGTGACACAATTTTTCTGTCTTCCGCGTGTGAACGCCTGAACCTGAACGATGCAGTGGAAACAAAATGAATGGAAATCACGCAACGAAATCAGAAGAAAGCATCGTGCCTATGCTGTCTAATCATTACATCCTATCCTGCCGTGCTTAGGAAGAACGCCGTATGAACATCCGAGAGTTGCTAAATTTCCTTCGATAAAATTTTTATTTTTGAGGAAAGTTGTGAATATTTTTCCTTTAAATTTTCAGAATCTTTAGGTGAGATTGCGAACAAAATTATCTGAAAAATTAGGAGGAAAACATGCATAAGGTTACCAGGAAATTCGCGTCTTAAAGAAATTTGGCAACGCCTGAGGGTTAATACGGCGTTTTTCTTCAGCAGGGCAGTATTCACCCATCTGAACGAGATCGTTTCTCAAAGGAATACCGTTCGCTCATATGTAGATACGCTGCGAAACGGCAGTGTCTTAATGTACCTGGGGGCTCATTTAAAAATCAACATGTTACCTTTTTTTGGGTGGGGGGGGGGCGGCACAAGTCTTGGATTTCATCATCGACAAATGAAGCTCCAGCATTTTTTCGTAGGTATCCATGTAAGGTTTTCCATCCAATATTTCGATCACCTGGTAACCTGGCCTTGCGTTGATATACAGCCAGCAAAATAGTGAGCACATCAACTGGATGTTTTTGTCGTATTTTCCTCTATTGTATCTTGTATTGTATCCACGTTGTATGGAATGTTGAGCATTTCTAACTGAAAATTTCGGCAATTTTTGTTTCTGATCTCGAGCATAAATCGAAAAATTTTCGTCGAAAATAGCATAATATTCCTGTAAAAGAAACTGCTAACCGTTTGAGTCAATTTTGCATCCTCGGTATGGAACCTCCTTCGTCTGGGAAACGATGAGTTTTGGTAACTTTATTTTACCAAACTCGGGTGACGAAGCTGAGTAAATCGCTCGAAAAGACCTCATTGCCTTGCATTACAAGTTACGACGTATTATTTAATGTATTACTTGACAGATAATTTTTGTATTTTTGAACAGATGTATTGCGCAAAAAATTTCAGGAAAATTTTGCCAAATCTTAAAGATAATTGGCAACCGTACTTGAGTAAATGAACAAATTGCCAAATAAAACTTTCCAACGGTACGACGCATTCAAGCCGCTGTCCCTTACGCCTTCATTCGTTGAAGCAACCAAACTCCATACGCGCTTACAAGACTCCACGCTGTCCATTGAAAATTCGGCGGCAAAGTGGCTATCCCCATTCCAACCAATGAGCACTCTACATTTCAGTCATGTTCTGTTTATTTCGCAGTTTCACTTGGTCTGACTATCTTAGCGCTGCTAATTGGAGCCCTAACGCATGCTTTCTTCAATATATAGATAGATTATGTCAGATTAATGTTACACAAATACTAGCCAAGAGAAAAAACCTTGAGCAGCACGAGCAGTGTATCTTAAGTTATTATCCAAAGTGAACAGTAAGCATCTTTTTTGATGATTAGCTTTGAAATCTTTCTTTGTGATTTTCTTTCTCGTCCTCAGTGTTACTAAAAAATAATCCTAAAAAGTTGTCCATCACAATTTTCATATTACAACTACTCAGCACCCAGAAAATAATCCTAAAAAGTCATACATCACAATTTTCATCTTACAACTACTTGGCACCCATTTAATTTTTTGACTATATTGAAAACAAATTTTCTCGTTCTTCACGGAAACCCAAGCTTTAAATAATAGTAGAAGACTGTCCTCGTAGCCCCTGTTTCAGGTGCGTTTTCCTTTTTCATCTGCGTGGGGAGACAACAGCCATAGCATCTGCACAAGTCGATAGAAAAGGTTAACTTACCTGAAACTGATTCCACCAAACTACGAAGTATCAAATCAGCGTGCATCGGTCCAAGATATAGGTACTTTTTAGGGTCAGTAACAGGTAGCAGATTCTACAATTTTGAATTTCATATCTCCAGTTTGTGTTCAGAGAAAACCATGAATTTTGCTGCAGCATTTATGTTGAGTGCTACGGAAAAAGCTTTCCCCGAGCGCTTTATAAGTTTCGATGCCCAGTCCTGGTTGTCCTAGTTGATTGCATATTCCGAAAACCCGTTTTTAAAGTATTATATCAATCAGCCACTCTTGTAAGAAAAAAAATCTGACCTTAGGATGCATGGATTTTACTTACAAAAAGCTGAATCAGTTTTCTCCAATATGGTAAAATGGTTTATTCGAGATATTGTAATTATCAGGGACATTGGCATCATGCAGCACCAAAAATATACGACAATCACTATTTGCTAGCATTCACATTCCTGTAGTAGGTACCATGAAACGTTCTATAATATTCTGCACCCTTCAATTATTGTGAATTTCCTCTTGTTAATAATTTATTTCCTGCTCGTATTCATTTTTATTTATTTATTTATTTTTTGCTTGTTCTCTTGAGCTAATCATTTACTCATTTTTTTTTGTTGGTAGGGTGGTTTTGCAAAGTGCTATGAGATTAAAAAGATTACAAATGGCAAAATCTACGCTGGTAAAATTGTCTCGAAGCAGCTTCTGGTCAAAAGCAATCACAGGGAGAAAATGTCGCAAGAAATAAGCATCCACAAAACTCTCAACCACAAACATGTAGTTGGATTCCATGGTTTCTTCGAAGACAAGCATTTCGTCTACATTGTCCTTGAATTGTGCCGCAGAAGATCAATGATGGAACTGTACAAGTAAGATAACGCCCCTTAAAAATCGCCTCAGAAATGGTGCTCTTACTTGAGTCTGATTCAGTTTCACAATAAAGCTGAGTGTGAACTATTAGAGAAAGCTCCAAGCTTGAAAGCATAACAATGAATAATTGGAGCTTAAACATGAAATTCCAGGGTCTTGTATTATTGAAAAGATTGGAAACATTTATTTCAAATCATTTTAGTGCCCCTTCTTGTAGGCCTATACTAAAAAGCAGATCTTGTCTTACCCACCTTCAAGCTCTCAAAATTAAGCTGGGTGTCTACAAGTCCGGAAAGTCCGAAAATAGTACTGATTTTATAAGGGCAGTCCGGAAGCACTGAAAAAGTGCGGAACCCTCTATTTATTGGTAATCTTCTGTGAAAGTGTTCTTGACCTTAACTTCTTGCTTCTTTTATGGAACTGCATTTTTCAAATCCTCTGCTTATTTTTACAGGCGACGACAGATACTAACAGAACCTGAGACTCGTTACTATATGAAACAAATACTAGATGGCGTGTCGTACCTCCACAACAACGGCATCATTCATAGAGATCTCAAGCTTGGAAATCTGTTCCTGAACGAAAATGTGGAAGTTAAAATCGGAGACTTCGGACTGGCAACGAAGATAGAATTCGAAGGGCAGAGGAAAATGTAAGTAGCTACTTTATTACCGTTGTGATCCATTTTTGGGAAACCTCCCTCAACTTCTCAAGGAAAGTTTTCAGGAAAAGAAAGAAAAGATTTTAGGAATTTTTAGAGAAAAGTATCAAATTTCATCATCAATGTGACTAGAATATTATTTTGAGATCAATATAATAGTAATGCATGAATGTTGAAAAACTGAAAATTTGTTAATGGCAAAGAAACTTCTTTTTCACACCTCAAATCCTTACTTGCCAGCAGTATACCCTGTCGAAAATGCGTCGAAAAATCAGGCTTCAGTGCCTGAAATCAAGGGTGTTGATTAGATGTGGTTCTTAAAAAACTGATGAAGCCCCGATTTCTGTAGCCTCTTTACCTGCAGTATTTTTTGCTGCCTTATCAAAAGTTGCAATAGCTCTTTCAAAAATCAGCAAACACATAGGATCAAGTAAGAACCACAATACACATTACTGTATCAAAGCATTAGAACTTTCCAAATTCAATTCATAAGTTAGAAAATAAGGATTTTTGTCAAAGTTAATCCACACTTCCCATTAATAGAAAAACTGGAGTTTACTCGAGCCAAAGCGAGCACTGAAGTGATTTTGGTATATTTTACAATAGAAGAATTTGTGTGTAGGTATTTTAACTTTTTTTTCCTTCTTTTTTTCTTTCTTTTCACAAAATGAAAGATACTCGTGTGAAAAGAGGCAGGACATACTGTGAAAGAAGCTCCATTTATTTACCTGAGGCATAGGTTGATTTCAATACCTAAGTACGTCTACAATAATTATGGTATTTTTGGAAGCAGGAATTTCTAGTTTTCTGTCTATAATGTAAACAACTCTCGTTTATTTCTCACTTATGAATTAATTTTGAAAATGTTTGATATCTTAAGTGAAAACATATGCTGTAGTCCTTGATTTCTAACCCTGTCTACAGGTTCATCAGGCTTGCTGGCTAAATGACTCTTATTATCTTGGGGCAGCTAAAACTTCATTTGCCCATTTCTTTTTGAGCCTCCATTGTTCCAAGTGGCAAGCAGTGGTTACTTACAACTACAGTTGTAAATTTCCAGAAGTTAGGATATAACTCCCATTGTGAGCCCTAGCCCTAGCATGCCATAATGTAATCAATAACCCCCTATTAGCAAAGCTGGGTGCACCTTCTCTATGCCCCATTCACCCAGTTTGGGGCTTGCATTCCTGTCTGCAAGTCATGAAAATCAATTTTCATCAGCTTATTTTATTCCTGTCCCACTGTGGGCCCTAGGGGAAGGGTGGAGGGAGAGTCGATTGTCTTTTCTCTCCGTGTAATTGCCCATGCAGCCTATTTCAAAGACATTGCATGAGACATGTCAGTCACCCTATACATCATTTTTTTTATCTTTATTTACTCATGCAAGTTCTGCTGGATATAGTTCTGTTTTAAGGAAGTAAAACTCTCACTTAGAAGTGGACTGTATTACTATCAGCCAAAGTCTTGTTTCTGAAAGTGTCCAACTTATAAACTTTTATAAAGTTGTTTAAAAGACACTCCAGATTTTGTCACAAATCTATAAAAAAAAATTCCTGCCGGAAGTTCACCTGGAATTGGAAAATTTGTCAGAAAACAAATAAATAATCTTACAATTAGTTAAAAATCTTCCAAAAGTACCTCTTCTCGCTTAAAAGTTGATTTTTAACTAAACCTTCTTCAGGCTTTTTTAAACCAAAGTACTTATCCAAGATAACTTAGAAGGTTTAAAATCTCTTTTTATTAACAATCTTTTTGTCATTTTTATAAAATCTCAAGCATTAATTTTAATAGTACCAAATACTAACTTGTTAAAAGTTTCCTGAATGAGCTTTTTTTTTTATTTTTTAACTATTTAGCTAAATTGAAACTATTTTAAGTATAGGCTAATACTCTCCCTACAAAAAAATATAGGATCGGACGTAAAATACTACTAGTGTTCAGCAACAATAATCATAACAGACGATAATGCAGGAGTACAAAAAATAAATTTATCAGATTTCCAAAAAAGTCTCTTGCTCCAAGAATTATATTATTGCTCTCTCATGAGGTTATTAATTTGACACAAAAAAACTCATATTCCACACATGCTGCCATGTTTCTTCTTTTATAAGTACCTTAAGTTTTATGAGCTACTTCACTAGGGTTTGTTTTAAAACTTTACTTAAAGAGCAAACTATGTAACGATAAATTCGCAATTTAAAAGCTAAACCAGACCTCAAGAATTTTATGAACCATCTAAAAAATAATCTAAATATCTCCTTTTTCACAAAGTTTTCTTCAACTCTTTCCATTGCACCCAACTACACATCTCAGTTCCGGTATCGGCAGCCAAATTGATTATCATACTTAGAAACAATTAGTAATCCAGAACCTGCAACATTGAACATTGTGTCCCAAAAAAAAAATACTCCAAAAAAGAGAAATTAGATATTTGAAGATGGTTGATTCGGTATTCATCAATATTTATTGATTCTGCGCTAACTTAAGCCAAAACCAGTTTTATGACAGTAGTATTCCCATTTCTAATGTCTTTGCATCTTGGTATTTTAGGACAGTGTGCGGTACGCCCAACTACATCGCTCCAGAAATCATTACTAAGACAGGACACAGTTTCGAAGTTGATGTTTGGTCAATCGGATGCATCATGTAAGTACTTGAAATTCCTCATATTTTTCTGATAATATTTTTATTCTTAAAAGATCCATAGAATAATGATTCAAGGTGAGTTCTATATCATATGTTATCAGGCATGTCTTGAATACTCCCTTGAAATTATCATCGTAGGAAATGTCACCTCTGTTTTGCCAGAAAAAAATCCCTGAAGAAGGTTTGTGTTATCAAGAAAATACTCTGAACATCCTTCATTTTTCTCCTGATTCTCGAGTTCTCAACAATGAAGTATAGCATTGATTATCCGATGTAATGTGGCAGAGATCTGTGCCAGAAAACGGAAATGAAGGATAATCGAAACCATTTTGAAAAAATGTCATCTCAGGCTCTGTTTGTGACCAAAAAGTATGAGTTTGGTCAAGTTTCTAGCATAGGTATTTGTCTAACATAGTCATTTACCGAAAAATATTTTTTAAAAACACAGGCATAGCTTCGATTTTTGCTCTAAAATCCGGTTTACACTGTGTCGTGTCCGGCAATGCAACATTTCATTCGTGAAAAAGTTGAGCAGGATAATCAAGACATGGACAATTGATGCTGTTCTGTACTTGATTTGTAGGAAAACTAATGAAATCAATTGTCGGTCCTTGAATTTTAGAATTTCAACACTGATTCCTGAGAATTGCGTTTAGCCGCACTGCATGTTCCTCCCTCAGGGTTAGCTGTAATGGAAATGTCTTCAACTTGACAATGTTCCTCTTTTCTGCGCAGTATTAAGTAATTTGAACCTAAACAAATCCGGTTCTTCACTGTATGTACGCTAACTCTGGTGAATTTGAAGGTACTGCTCGAGTATAACTTACCACGTGGACTTTTGGCAGAGCAATTTTTGTCACCAAAGTCTTTGAATTTTTTCAGAAAACTTGCCAAAAAGTCTCGATTAGTCCTTTTATCTTCCAGTGTAAGTCCTCAAAAAGCCATTAAATTTTCGTTTTTGTCGTCTGCTTCAGTCCTGCATAAAATTAGCTTTCTAGAGGACATTCTGTTCTTCCACAAGAAGAAACCTCTTTAGTTTTACCTGAAGTGTTGAAAAATTTTCTCTGTATGTTTAGGTACACATTGTTGGTAGGCAAGCCTCCATTTGAGACTGAGTCATTGAGGGAGACGTATGCTCGCATTAAGCGCGGAGATTACAAGATTCCATCAACTCTGGATGATAAAGCAACGAAGATGATCCATAGCATGCTCCACTCGGACCCCAAAAGAAGACCCACCGTCCGAGCCTTGATGAATATGGACTTCATGACCAAAGGTAACCCTTTTCCTTGTTTTATCTTTCAACAGGTTTGGTGGAAGGTATCTTATTTTAGGAAAATCCTGGACAAATCAAGAGAATTTTTGAAAGAAGTCTGGTAATTTGATAAATTTTGAAACTTAAAATCTAGAAAAAAAATTAGTGTTGTTGACACAATCAAACTGAGGTATGTACAGTCTGGTTTGGAATCTAATTCTCTGAGTTTCACACACAATCAGAATAGTGATGAGAGGAATAACTTTCCAATGAAAGAATGGCCGAATGGAATGAAGAATGTGGTTCTCTCACATCTTGCAGTTTCAAGTGACCATTTTTAAATCCTTTTCATCGAGTCTTCTATTTCTCAACACTTAAAGTGCATCATTGTGTGGAATCTCAACGACTTTTCATCTACTTTTGTTCTTCATATTTTGTGCAACATCTCTATGAAATTTCGGATTAATACAGTGACAAACTTTATTTCAAACCTCCCCTTTTTAATTCTTGCTCCGTTTGTCTTAGTTTGTTAGTCCTACCTTAACAAAGACCAGCTGGTGCTGAAACTGATTTTTAACTGACACTTAACTTTAACAGCCCTTAATCAGCCTTAAGAAAAGCTTATAGTAAGCATGAAGGGATTAAATTGATAACCAAACCAGTATCCCTTAATATTTGCACTTTAACTGATTTTTAATTTTTTTCCCTAGGATACTTGCCTCCTCAGCTTCCAGTCTCATGCCTCTCAATGGCACCTAGATTTGACGCCTTGCAGATACGTAACAACAAGGTTGCCCAGAGGAAACCTCTCCTTGAAGTCAACGGTAAGTTTCGACATCTCAATTTTTATGTGTATGCGCTCTTAATCGAGTCAGCCTGCGTAACATTTTCAAAATCATTGAACTCTCCAATTTTGGTCACAAGTCATTTTTATCTTACGGCATTCCTGCAGTTTTTGCTGAGAATATTCAACTGAAACATGTCTAGCATTTTAAATTAGACTGATACATTTTAAGAATGTTGCTGGAGGAGCATCACTCCTTTTTTAAAAGCTAGGATTGATGAATTCTAGCCCCTGACCTGACTCAACCTTAGTCTATTTCTCTTGGTGCAACGGGAATTGCTTGATGTCGCCATTTAAGTTCAATATTTAATAAATCACAGCATACTGCAAATTGAAAGAAAATTCATATCAATTTGACAGAAGTTGTTTTTTGGTCTCCCATGAAGTTGTTGGGAATTCACATTCTGGCAAGGAAAGACTGCAGTTCGGAGCACATGGCATGATTCATTTATGATTTAATTTTTAAATCGGTATTGTGGCCACAACACTCTGAGCCATTGAATTTATTTTCCCAGCCACAGAAAACTAACCTCTCCTGAAAGAAATCGTAGCATTGACTGCATTTATTGATTTTAAACTAATCTTGGTATCACAGTTGAACCTTGTTGATGGACGATGCTGCAGGTACCTGTGCCAGTTTCTGGAAACACTGTTTGATAAGAAATCCATGAAATACTTAAAAATAATAATATGCTTGAAGAACCTGACCTGAGGATTGAAAAAATGTCCTCTAAAATTACCAAAATGTCTGCTGGACAACTGAAGCGCCAAATAACTGAAGCACCATACTACTGAGCATCAGATACCCGAGGTTTAGCTGTAGTATTAGAAATACTTTTCAAAACAAGAAACGTTGAAGTCTCAGTTTTCAGAATGATACAGTACCATGTATTTTTCTACATTAGTCTTCATAATTGAATGTAACTAACAATCAAATGGATAAATCTACTTTAGGTCCTATTAAATAAGCGTATTTATTTTGCGGACGAATTTGGTTTTAATTTAGTCGTCCTGTAGCTAGGTTTAGGATAATTCTATACTCTAGCCCTGCTTTAAATGGACAACAATCATATAAAGGCCAAGACAGTGGCTTTGGATTATCGAAGTGAAGAATGGTAACCTTTTTTTCATGAAGTGAACAAGGCGCTTGGAAGTATTCTGCGCAAATCAGTGATGTCTTTTAAGTGAATTGCTTTGCTTTCAGGAGAATTGGAAAATAGTCCTATCAACAAAGTCAGCACCAAGCCAGTTCCTGGAGCTACGGCTAAACCTTACGGAAATAATATCGGAGAGAACGGGTTCCCACTATCAAGTCCGACTACAACCACTGCCCAGTGTACTGAGAACCTCACAAAATTGTACAGTCAACTTAAAGATACGCTAAGAAAACGACCTGCTACCATTCCTTCCAATTTAGGTAAACCTCTCTTTGATTTCACTCGATCAGCTTTCATTATGGGAGCCTCATTTTTATCGCAATATTTTTCCTTTCAATGATGCAAACAGACACACACACGCCCCCCCCCCTCCATTTTTTAGAATAAATCTTTTATTTGTTTTCAAGCAGACAGAAGAAATGATTAAACATTAGAAATGATAACCTGATTAAGAACTTAGTAACGATTAATTTGTGATAATCTCTGGAATTCTCCAAAATGCCCTTGCTAATCTCTCTTGGTTTTCCATGCTCCTGTAATTTCAACATTTGTTCTTCCCCTACATTTTTCTGTCTGAGAATTTTTTTAAAAACAGCCTGATAGTTTTCTGAATATATCTGATAATGATAAAAAATCAGAATTGGGGTAGCTGGAATAGCAATAATAGTTTTGATTCACATTATTAGCACCCTTTTATTTGGATCCCTTATGTTCGTCTATGAACTCATTTATTTTTTTTCCTTTCAGAGGACCTATCTGATCCAGCAGCACAGCCCCTCGTATGGATCAGCAAATGGGTCGACTACTCGGATAAATATGGGTTTGGTTATCAGCTTTGTGACGAAGGCGTTGGCGTTGTTTTCAATGATAGTACTAAATTAATCCTCTTAGCTAATGGAATGTAAGTCCTTTTTCTCTCTGTTGACTGTTACAGGAGAAAGTGCAAACATTTTTTGAAAGAAATTAAACGTGGGTGCTGCCTTTCTTGTGCACAAGTAGATTTTGAAGTTTTATGAAAATAGGATAATATAAAACGTTCTTTCACTTGACAGCTGGATGAATGCCATACTAATGAACGTGGAAATTGAATCAAAGGAATTGATGAAGCTTAATTTTTTTATCTCCCTCTCTTATATTTTAAGTTCTTGTCTTAAAAATCCATAATCGCTTAGACATTGTCAGAATGCTCCCTAAAGTCCTTAAATTTGGTATCATTTGGTGATTTCATTTTTGGCTGTTTACAAGATGGGTCTCCTTTTGATCACATCAAAAATTTGCCTCCTTGTACAGGTAGAAAAAAGTAAAGGAACCAAATGAAGAATTCTTCATTTTTAAGGCTCCTAAAAATGTCTAAAAGTTCTTGAAATTCCTCTATTTTACTAATGGGCCAATAACGGAGATCTTAAATTTTGAAATTTTCTCCCCCTTTTTTTGAGTTAAGACTGAAAGTCTATTAAAACAGCTGGAAAAAATTTCGGTTGTGGTAATCGATCAAGGGTCTCAATGTTGCCAAGCACGAAGAGTTGTATTACTCCTCTTTTTGTGCATAATGACATCACTTCATCAATTCTCCGTTAAGAAAATGGAATTTTTTTTCGGAAGACATTTCTTGGTCTGTTGATAACTCTCGAAATGGACCAAAATATTTTTCTTCTCAATTTACATAGGAAATTCATTTTTAACTAAAAACTGAACAATTTCTGACTCTCAAAAATGCCCCGTTAGAACGAGTTGAAAATTTCAAGGAATTCGACTCTATTGATCTTTTTTATGGAGTTCCCAAGTTTGAAAGTAATTTTATCTTTTATTTGGCAGAGATGTGCATTATATAGAAAGAGATGGGTCTGAACAGTATTACACAATGAACAAAACGCCTCCAACATTAGACAAGAAAATGAAATTGTTGTCTTACTTTAATCGCTACATGAGCGAGCATCTGGTGAAGGGAGGAGCAGGGCTTCAGCTACAGGAAGCCGACCAGCTTAGTCGTATCCCGCATCTGCACCAGTGGCACAGAACGACCAGTGCTGTTGTCATGCAGCTCACTAACGGGACCTTACAGGTAAACATCACTCACGTAATAAAAAAATCCACATTCAAAGAGAGGCAAAAATCGCCAACTCGGAGTTAAGATATGGTGAGAAAAGGTTGCCTTCAGGAATACACCTTGAGAAATATTGTGTTAAATGCTCGGGAATTTTTTACGAAGATTCGTCACTGTTGGGGCACTTTGCAAAACTCGAGAAAGCAACAGAAAGTTAGGAAAAAATTTTGTCTAAGAAAAATAGCAGATTTGTATTTGTCATATAATGTAATTGCAACTTTCCTTGAAATTACTTAAAGATAATTTCCTTAAAATAAAATAAGTCCGGGAATAGTGAGAAAATTCTAATTCCAAATCTCTGTGATCACTCAGTCGAGAGTTGTTTTTCAGTCGGGAAGAAATGTCTTAAGATTTCGTCTCTTTGCTTTCAGATCAACTTCATGGATCACACAAAATTGATCTTGTGTCCACTGATGGGAGCCGTGACGTACATCGATGCCAAACAGAATTTCAGAACCTTCCGCTTCACCACAGTCGCTGAATTTGGCTGTACACCAGATCTTCATAAGAGCCTTGACTATGCCTTGAACAAAGTTAATCTCCTGTTACAGAATAAGACAGCAACAAACTGCGTGTGAGATGTGGTGAGTGATGGCCAATTTTCATTTCATTTCAACCTGATTAAGGGTGCCTATCATGAGGGAGAGTGTAAAAGATCAGGAATGAAGGGGAAAATATCTGGATTGTATCACAGAGTTCCTTACAAGGAAGAAAAATATAGAGGGCTCAATATAGCAGATTTAGCAAAGAGAGGTTGGGAAAAATCCCTTGTGACATAGGTAATTTTGGCACCATACAATTGTGGCGGACGAAACTTTAAAGTTTGTAGAACAGAGAAAGTAAAAGAGCGTATGTCATATTGGAGACTGGCACCATTAGTTTTGTCAAGTAACCAATGAATCAACTGAATGATGCATTCAGGTTGATGCAACGTTTTTCTTTCATGTTCTTTCCCCAGTTCCAGCATATAAATGGCTTTAATGCTGGCCTCTCTCCAGTCATGTGGAATAAAATTGTTAATGAAATTTCATTTAGCTGAAAAGAGTTAAATTCCATGATATTTTAACGATTTTTCAGGGGCTGCATGTATCACCTGAATAATTATTCAGAAATTTCATTAAAAAAAAAAAAAAAAAAAAAAAAAAAAAAAAAAAAAGGTTCAAAATTTGAATCTGGTATACTGTTTGTATGGGTTTTATAGCATACTAAGTCAATTGTAGAAGTTTTCAAAAATTTCATAATGAGATTTTGATTTACAATGCTTCATGAAAATGCGCATTTCTACTCTGTCTTGTATTCTTGTGTGTATTACACCAAAGTAAAATAAATGTAAAGCAAAAGAAACCAATAAAATATTTTGAACCCTCATATCAGTGAATCAAGGAGGCTGGGGGATCAGACGATCTAACAGGGAATCTTTAATTTTACAGATTTTGTTACTTGAACATTAATATACCATTACAGCAAATGATGCAATGGTTTTTTAACCTGGAAATTCGAACCATCCACCTCTTCACCATGAGATACTTACAAGGCTAGTAATATTACTCAAGAGAACAATAGCGATAATAGTTCAGAATTAAAGGATAAATTATTCAACTTTCCACAGTTATGAAGTATCTTTAATACTTGCTCAGCCTCAAACTCATAACAGATTTTTAATTTTTAAAAGTTGAAGTGCTTGTCTTGACTGTTAGAGAGGATCAGCATTCAAGTGGGTTTTAACTCTATTTCTGAATGGCTGACCAAAATTGAATTATTTTTTCTCTTTATTTTCCGTTTGGAGAAATAAACCTTTCAAAAAAAGGGGGGGGGAGGGAAGTGAAAATTCTTACGATGCTCTAAGAGTGCTTAATTTTCTCTATAAAGCTTACATGATTCAAAACTGTGGAAAGAACCAGAGTTGCAAGCATGCTGAAGTTCCTTCTCCGGACCAAAAACTAATCCCTTTCTCGAGTATCTTTTCCATCATTCTAACTTAATATTAATTCATCTATTATTTTTCAGGAAGGACCAAAAGTCAAGCTTTTAAGCCCGGTGAAACAGCCTCCAGTCATCAGCTATTATTTTCGATAGATCTTTTATCGCGTTTTAAATCTTCAGCCCTGTGATCTTTTTGGTTGATTTACTATTATAACCCTGTTTTATCCTTGTAGACACTAAGAATAAGATTAATGTATTTTACTCTTCTCGGAGACAACTGTAAATATTAATTTAAGCTACATTTCAAGATCTATCTCTGTTAATTTTAAAGCTTCTCTTGAAATGATCTCAGTTTTTCTTCTTAAGTTTTTTAATAATTTGTACATTCAATTTTCTATCAAAATTGAGCCATTTTAGTGTGTGGCATTTCTTCCAAGAAAGACGTAGACAGCTCAAGTCACCCTTTACAGTTGTCTACCATCTCATCTGCATCTTCCATCGACAATAAACTATAAAGAACTGCTCGAATGTTAGCAACCGTCATGTTAGTGGAAATAGCAAGTTGTTTGGGGGGGATCTCCAGAAGAAGAAAGAGGTTAATTTTTATTTATGTTCGGGACCTCACTGAAAAGGGATTTTGAAACATCCAGTTTTTTCTCTCACCTGCACATGATTTAATTTGGAGAAGTTGGCAGTAGATGGTTCAGAATAAGTGTCAGGAACATTTATTTTTATATCTAAGACTATTGTGTTTTGCAGCGCTTCCTAACTTGCGGAAGAGTTTCTTGTTTGTAAGTTGCTGTATTTTTAGTCCACTAAATGCATGAGTTTTGGAACATCAACAAATGACAAGGGTAGTGGATCGCAAACGTCCTTGGCACTGCGTGTATGCTGAAAACATATGCACCAGCGAAAAACAATGAGCGCATATGAGGAAGCTCTGGATCCTCTATAAGAAATTAATAGGTCTATAACTGGCGGAAAGGCTGCTACTTGTGGAAACAGCAGTCTTTTAAGATTATTTACTTCACGGTTTTCGCTGCCTCAAGTATTTGTTTTGTAGGTTGTTTGCTGGATATTTCCTTAATTTCTTACTTATTACATCGGTGTGATTTTGCAATCTGGTCCCTCAGTATTGAGAATGCTTTTTATTCATCGTGCCTAGTAATCAAATTCAAATGGAGAAAGTTTTACGGATACGAAAGTATGTAAAATTCAAAATCTGGGGATGAATGATCGATTTGTTTTGGTGACAATACTTAAGATAAAGTCTTTTCATCTACGCCAAGTTGGCCGTCTTTCAAACGGCACCAGAAGATATACTTTCTCTCTTCTCGCATCAAAACTCAAAGCAAGATTCAAGATGGCAGATCTTCTGTCTCACTCTGAAACTCGGCCAACTTATTGTATGGTTACTTCAACTAAGATTGGATATATGCAGCTTCCCTCACTTGACAATTTGGTTTGTCGCCAAAATTTTCCTTGCTAATGAAGCTTAAAAGCCACTGAAAGTAGGGTCACATCGCAATTTTGGTTGTTCGTCTTCAATTTAACTACTTTTATCTGCAAGGATTGGACCCTGTTTCTGGGTGCCTTCTCCTCATGCTTCCTTTTTATCATGCAGTAATTACGAAGCTGGAAATGATATTTCCAAAGCTATCATGATGTTCTCTGATAAGCTTTTGTTTTCTCTTCTTTCCTGCACCTCATAGACACCTCCCGTTAGTGGAAAATTCTTTCCAAAAAGGCTCTTCTCGAATTCACGTTTTTATTTACGAAGCAAGCAGTATTTATTTGATGTAATGATAATTTTAAACAAGAACAAATAAAGCGATTGTTCACAAACTTTTGTCTTGTTATTCCCTCTCTCATCCAACACCAATGCACAAATGTCAAAGTTTGAAGTCATTAACAATTGCTCCAATGCGCAAAGCGGGCAAGCATCGAAGTTTAATTCAAAATTATTAACTGGCTCGAGGGCGGAGAAGGGGGGATGGTTCGGGCAAGATAGAACGCATACAATGACTAGTCAAAACTAACTCTTTATTGAATCTAAACAATTTTAACTGAGAAAAAACATTCATAGAAGAATGGAAAACGTTTACATCGGTTTAGTAAAAAATATCATAATATGCTCCTTACAATGTTTTAAGCCGGGATGACTACATCACCAGCCAATAGAGACAAAAATATAAATTTAAACTGTTGATAAAAAAATAAATACATGAAAAAATAAATTATTCGAGATAGGATCGACTTTTTTGACACACATTTATTTAAAACTGCAAATGCACCTCTGAACTGCAATGAAATTTTAGAGACCTTCGGATAAAAGTAACGGAACGTCAGGCCCCTACGGACGTACATGATCAATCTCTTGAAAGAAGCCAATGACTTAGAACTAAACTTAATGATTTAATGCTCTCCTAGGAGATACAGATGAATTTACTTTAAAAATTAAGTTTTCTAATTTTCTTACTGATATAATAAAATGGTGGTATACACAGCCAATGAAAGCGAAGGATTATTCTGCACAAAAAAAAGAAAAAACATGAAACCACAGTATGACGCTCCCGAGTGACAACATATGCGAGCATCTAGATACGTCACAGATGGCAAAGGAAATAGGTTTTTAAAAATACTGAAATGCTACTGAAGATGAAGAAATTTGTTGGAGTGTAAAAACTGCAAAAAAGACATGGAAAAAAACACTTCAAAAATTCCGCACAGACAATACTAGTTAGAAATTTTACATGTTTGTTCCATTAGAAATCTAGGATGATCAAAGTACCTTTGGATGCCTCATAACTTTAGGTATGATTTAAAAAAAAAACGATGAGGAAAACTTTTTCAGATTATTTTAATTTAATAAATAAACGAATTTCAGAAGAAAATACAAGTTATCATTTCTTTATAATTTTGGCCAAAACTTTGCTGAACTTTCTTTGATTTAATGAGCTTGAAACTTCGGGTCAAAAACTAATTGGAATTTCCAAACAAACTTGAAAAATCAAACGGATTCTCTCAGGCGCGTTTCTACCAAAATATCGATTCGTCAATCATCAATTAAAAATGACAACCCGACGTCTTGATTATTTTTCTGGGATTCTTAGTTCAACTTCTGTACGGGTAGAAATCAGATGAAAATAAAGGGGATACATCACTGAAATTATTCTGAGATCAGAAATGTCTTCAATGGAGAATTTGCAGGTGTCTGAAATTTGATGAATTCCGTGTTTAAAAGAATGCTACCGAGTGAGCAGAACACGAGGATACCCTTGGTTCATAAATTGAACGATTATTGGAGGAGGTATGACAAAATGATCTAATCTACTAATATACATGCGTTTAAATAGAAAATGCCGCCAGATGACATCACTAAGCAATACATTTTCTCACTTTTAAATCTATTTTTATACTATTTCCCATATCAGAAAAAATTATAAAAAAATACTGTGAAATCAGCTCTTTAAGCACTTTCAGATGTAGCAATGAAACTTTAGCATGCAAATTCTCCATTCCAGTGATCTCATTTAATTCCTACTGATTCAAGGTTTAACTAGTAAATTGCTAGAATCTTGATACAATATAACTTTACTAGTTGCGATACATGATTTTGAAGACACCTTTGTTATAATTTTGCTTCACTGGGATACATTTGATCATGAGTTACTAAAGCTCCAGATTTGCTTCAGCTTGATTTCAATCTAATTTTTACAGCAAGGGAAATGTAAACCCAGAATTTCTGCGGATGTTTATGCAGGTTGTAGATTCATTACGAGAGGTCTCAGTCACTAAAAAGCCTTTGATAAAGGCTTTGCTCAGAGTATCTTAATTTTTAGAGAACCTAATAGAAAACAAGTATAAACATTAGTGAACAGGAACTTCTCAAAAACACTTTGCTTCACAAAACTTGAAAATTTAACCTATTCGCTTAAGGGACTTCTAGATGTTTTCTGACTTGCAAAACGTATGTATGAAGTTCATTTCGACGAGAGCAACCCAAAACTATACATAATTAGCAACTGAGGAATCCTCTAATTCACAATGAATGCAAACAATATCCACCAATGTATGTGGATACTTATTTCCTCTGAAAGGATATTTACTTATATAATCTTTTATTAGATTTCTTGTTCGTCTTTTCACAGCAGTTCTCAAAAATTCAGCGTTTTTTTTGCCCACAGACAAAAAATAAAAGCACAGCAATATCAAAACTGAGCATAAATTGACAATTACTATCAAACTAACTTCTTTGGAGAAGGTCAAATGTCTTGTAAGACCAATAGTACTCAGATTATGCCTGAAAATAAGAATGCTCCAACTCGGTCTGAGAAACAGAGCTTCACTACTGGAATTGCCAGGATAGCTCCAACCTGGCACCTACTGTTGGCCATTAAACAACCCTATTACGAACAGCATTTAAGGAAGAAGTGAATACAACATCCTAATTCAACACGCACTCTGCAAATGGGAGATTTCTTCCGCTATCCTCTTACTTTTTTCCTGTCTTACTTTCTCGTTTCCTCGGGATCCACTTGAGAGCTGTCGGGTCTACAATAAGTTTTGGCCTTTTATACTGCGCTGATTTAATATGCTCTTCTACCAATTTGGATGTGACGCAGATGACATGCTGACCCTTCCAGTATTTCACCATGTTCATTGACTGCAATGTTGAGATGATATCTGTTTGGGCGATGCTTGTCAATTCGCTGAAACAACATGAAAATAATCATAGTGAGCAGCACCAAACATTGAACTTCGGTTTTTAATGTTGAATCTTTCTACATTTGTCCCAAATTAAAATAAAATTGTCAATTTTTCTCTTTTCAAAGTGAGGTTTGAGCCTTGAAGTTAACTTTTGAGGAAAATCCATTGCAGTCTCTTAAATTTTAAGGTTAAATTCTAGGTTCTCACAATCCTTGGGGAGATTAATAAGCTTCAGAGAATTATATAGCTCAATATTCAGTATTTCAATGAATGGAGAATTTGCATGCAAATTTTTTATTACTTCAGCTGAAAGTGCTGAAAGAGCTGATTTCACAGTATTTTTTATAATTTTTTTTCTGATATGGGAAAAAGTATAAAAATAGATTTAAAAGTGAGACAATGCACCGCCTAGTGACGTCATCAGGCGGCATTTCCCATTTAAACACATGTATTTTAGCAGATTAGATCCTTTTGTTATATCTCCTCCAATAATTGTTCAGTTCATGAACCAAGGATATCCTCGTGTTCAGTTTCCCCAGTAGTTTCCACTTTAACACGAAATTCATCAAATTTCAGACACCTGCAAATGCTCTATTCTGACATCCGCTGTTTTTAGATATAACACGGGTTTTTATTCATATCTGATGAAAAATTATGCCAGAAGTCTGAAACTTGGCACTGACACTCTTAAAGGTTAGCAGATTCTAAAAAAACCATTATCCCCAAAAATGGCGGATGTTTGATATCCGCAGTTCATACAGATATAGCCTCATAGGGAACCTTGTTCAAAGAGTATTCTGTTATTACAGTGTGGCATACTTGGTGCATGTTACGTTCATTACAGGGCATTCAAAATACATGCATTTTTCCACAACTTTTTGAATTTTACTCGATCAAATAAAAAATTAAAGGAAGTAGTCAAAACACTTTCCGACAAAGCAGAACTTTGTCATCGATATATTTATTCTCAGACATGGCTCTTATAATGCACAATTTTCTTGGTTTTGAGAATTTTGTTGTTCTTGTTTGTTAATTGAGTAATGATTTGAAGAAATAAATAAAAAAAAAAGTTACTTCCCAAAACAACATGAATACGTACACTTTTTAACAAATTCTACAAATTGAAGTTTAAAGTTTAAAGCTATAAGTTACCTTAAGTCTTTGATGGATAAAGAACCGCGGAAATGTCGCAGAATTTCTAATAGGACGTATGACCAATACGAACGGTAGGAGAGCTTCCCAAGATCCGACAGAGGCTTCTCTGGACTTCCAACTAATTCTTCCATCTTACTAAGTTCATAACTAAAGGATATTAATAGCTTCCCGTAGCCTTGACGTTGGAATGGTGGCAAAGTCAGAATACATGCTACGTTATTGCAGTCTGGTGACTCTTTTTCCTGAAAACCAAACCAAAAAAATGAACATCTTGGATGTTTCTTGGCACTGAAAACTTCAAAATAACAAACAAATTCTGTTACAGCTTTAACTCTTTAGAGAGGCGGAACATTCTAACAAATGTATACACACTGTCAAAATACTTTCCATGAACATTTAAATACTTTCAGAGGTTCGCCTCAATAATTGGAAGTTAAGCCGGAATTTAATTGTTCAAATCATCCACAAGAATGGACTCATAATGCAAACTTTTCCATGGACCTTGATAACAAATTTTATTAACACCTTGACAAGCTCAGGGGTTTGGGAGTAGGGGATTTTGATTCTTTGGGGTCGATTTTCTTTTTAACCTTGCATCCCTGACTTCATACGACCTAAAACAACCAAGAAAAAGGTCCAGTAAAGGTGTTTTAGGACACCCTGTATATGACTTTTTGCTTGCAATTTGGTGGAAGTCCTCTTTGGGCACCACTAGAAGCACTGAAGACAAAAAATTGATGCACTCGAACAAGTCAATTTGCTGACTTACTTATTTTAGGTAGCTTACCCATGGCTTTCCAATTTGAGATGATGATATTTCAGATAACTTAAATGTGAACATAGATGATTCCTTTTAGATTCATCTACAAAAAGATAAAAATCTAATTCGCCCAATGGCGCTGAAAAAGCTAGTACAACGAGAGTTTACCTTTGAAAAATAACCAACAAGGTGTGCTCCATGTTTATCGACTACACACAAGATGTAGAACAGAAATGGCTCTACATCGAAGTAAAGAGTTTTATGATCTAGAAACAATTTGGCCAGGAGACATAGATTTTGACAGTACGTTTTCTCTACACTGCCATCAACTTCGTAGATTGACAAAGTTCCTTTGCGATAGATTTCTTTTCCGGGTGGCTGTCGATAGATGCATTCACTCTGTAGGCAAAGAGAAAACGATATTAGATTATTTGCTGAAGGAGGCAGTGATTTTAGAAACACTTAATCCGGATCTCCGGCTAAACTCCCAACTGCTCTCTCTTGTTGCACAGATTAACAAGATAGAGCATTTTGTGCAACTATACGTCAGTTTGAGATTAATGAAAAAATGACAAGAGTCTTTTCCTTTTTTCTGATGTGAACTGTAATCAACAATTTTAATCAAGTGAAAACAATAAATCAATGTTGAGAATTAAATTTTGAGCACTTTGCAATTAGGCAGGAGCAACTAGTTCTGTAAGTCCAGAATAAGATTACCTTGACTATCGTTTACTGCTCTTTTCCTCTTCATTTTTATTTGTAATATCAGCAGTATAAAAAAAAGCAAAATAAAGTTGTTTAAGAGAAAAAATTTAAACTTTAAACCCAAAATGCTTTGTTTTTTTCTTCTTTTATGACAGAACTATTCATTGAGATATTGATGAAAACCAAAAAACTTACCATATGGTACCTATATGTTTTCTCTAAGCGCATGTATCTTAAGCAGAATTCACAAATCCATAATTTGGACTGTTTGCCATAATCGTCAGGGTAGGGACTAAAATACCAGGTGTCTATTTCATAACGACCAATTTGGATCCTATCAATGTACTTCACTTTTGTAATAGCTTCATGCTCTTTTTCTAAGGCAGCAGTAGTAGGATCCATTTCAGCGTACGTCTGGAAAGCAAAAAAGTAGTTTAGTAATCCTGACAAGCATTTGAGTGTTCTTTAGGGTTGTTGACTGAAACTGAGGAGTGACAAATTATACTGCTTCAGATTAAACGATATTGGGGAATTTGACTCCATGTTCCTTCATGAATGTTCACCATTTTTCCCCCAAGATTTTATGGCAAATATGGAGCAGTGGGAACTGATAACTTTCAAAACCAAAAAGATCGCATCAGTGGCCACAAATATCCCAAGTCCTAGCCACATCAGAGATTGGCTCAAAGGCTTCAAGTTTAACTTGTTCTAACAGTTGCTTTAATCTCCTAAGGGTTAACAGTGGTCCTCTAAATGGGGTTTGAATTTAAAATGTCTGGAGTTACAATTTCTTAAATGGTTGTGCATGGTTGGCCGAACTGGTTACAGTTATCAGTCTTCTGTACGGAATATTTTTGCGGACAAATTACAATATGACTTATATTTGCATATTTACATGACGCTGTCAGACTGTAGGAATGATATTTGAAGGCCTCCTACGGAGCTAAACTTGAAGTGAGTATTTATTATGGATGCAACTGAAAGGGAGCGTGAACATAGGTGCTTGGCACTGATTTCTAGAAATAGAAGTTTACACTTCACAGCTGTCACATTTCACTATTTCTAGACATAATCTCTTTGCCTGCTAGAACATATCGACGGTGTAAGTCGGCAATCACATAACTCGTTTGCAGTGTCTAAAAATCTCCACCTCTATGTTATTTTTTTAAAGGAGAACAAATTGACATCATTCCTTGAAGTTTATGCAAAATTATTTTCTTCGCACAGGGAAGAAAAATCATGGCAGTTTTAAAGAATTGCCATTGAGTAGTGTTCTGTTTAAAAAATAAAGTATGACAGGAAGTCTGTGTCTTCACAAATCGAGTTATGTGATTGCCGACTTACACTGTCAATATGTGCAAGAGCATACTACGTAGCAGGGAGTATGTCGAGCTTTATGATGTATTAGAGTTCCCAACCTCACATTTAAGTTTTTGGATTTATTTAGACCACTTAGCTCAATTTCTAGGGGCTTTTAAAGACCCTTTAGGAGCCACACTGAATTTTTGCCTAAATATTACGGCGCAAAATCTGTAGTATAGTGACGACAAGCTGATTTTTTAGGAGCATTTAGCACGATGGTGCTTGTGGGTTTTGACCACTGGTTGCAATATTTCTCATTGCAGGTTTGCATAGAATACGATTTGCACCATAACATTGATTTAAAATCAACTTTTAAGAGAGTCAATTGCATTTTAGGTCCAAAACTTTAAGCTGAATTATGAAAAAACCGAAAAAAATCTGAGTGACTTAAACCCCTCACGAAGCAAATGCTGAAATATTAGGCAATCAATAATTAACAAGTGTTCTACCTTTATAATTTTTTGTGGGCTTTTTTTGAAATTGACTCACCTATCAAGGTAATTTAGCCATAGCATGAACTTGTTTACAATGGCCTCAGGGCCATTTGAGGCATTTTGATTTGAATTTGTCTTGTGAGCAACGCATTTGAATTATTTAAGGTATCCTAACTAAATAAATATAAAATAGTGCCTTCTCAGCTGGGGTAAAATTAAGGGGGCTACAAACTAGTAAAATAAACAGAACTATGTAAGTTTTAAAATACTGGAAATGTCCCCATACCTTTTGAACATGGTTAATTTCATCATGCCTTCGCTTTTGGTTTCTTGTTATTTTTCTGTCGCATTGATCTAGCAGATCAACTGAGTTTTTATCGCTGTTTTTCCAGTTCTGCTCCGACATGTCAAACCGTGAGCTCATTATCCTGAAAAATGAAGGAAAAAGGAGGAATCAAAACCAGGTCTCTTGGGAATGGTATAGGCTGACCTTTCGGTATACCCTTTTTGAAAAAACAAATGATCCCAGGAAAATTATATTTATAACATCATTCTAAGTAACAACATTGCCTTTCTTTTGTCTGAAAATACTTGAATCCTAAGGTGACACAATGTACCGGCATGTATTCAACATTTCTATTGGAAAGATTGAATGACACAAGGTTACGTGGTTTACAAACAACTTGAACTCCCCAGCAGCAACAGATAGGGGCCAGAAAAAGATTGATAGCCAAGCTGTAAATAATGTAAATCCGGTCATGATTACTGCGCCCAAGAATTGGCAGAAATAAAAAAATGCAGACTTTTGCACACACATATGTGCGAGTAAATAACAATATGTTAATATAATTTATCTCTTTAAAAAAGGAAACAAAAAATAAATAATGATAAAAAACTCTCCTACCTTATCTCTTTCTCTATCATCTTCCTTTGTCTTTTTTTTTCATTTTGTATATTTTTTCTTCTGAAAGAACCCCGCACAGTCCTTGTGGGAAATGACTCTCTCTACGATCTGATGAAACTTGGATATGTTGCTCAGCTAGTCTTCTGATCAAAAGTTCTCATGGGCCGAAAGAGATCCTACGAGCGGTTTTTGAGAGATTCGCTGTTTCAAGTGCGTAAATTGAGGTTTTGCTGGCCGGACAATTCAGCGGTGCTTTTTGTGCCCTTCCCTCCCAGTCCACTCTCCGCCTCCCCGCTACCCATACCCGAGGCTTGGACTCAGACGCTCACGGGGCTTTGCTCATCGCAGCTGAACCGGGTGGTCTTATCACTGTGAGCGTCGGAGTCCGAGCCTCGGGTACGGATAGCAGGGAGGCGGAGAGCGGCCGGAGTGGACTTGAAGGGAAGGGCAAAAGAAGCACCGCACAATGGTCCGGCCAGCGAAACCTTGATTTACACACATAAAACGGCGGATATCTCAAAAACCGCTCGTGGGATCTCTTTTGGCCCATGAGAACTTTTGATCAGAATGACTAGCTGAGCAACATATCCAAGTTTCATCAGATTGTAGAGAGAGCCATTTCCCATAAGGACTGTCCTGGGTTCTTTAAAATATGTAATAATGAAACCTTTGAAATTTATTATGAAGAAAAGTTTTGATACGTAGTTGCGAAGTTGTGTAAAATTTTATAATGTAAAAGTACTGATATTTTCTTTTTTTGTAAAACTGGGCCAGCCACACAAACGTATGCTTAAAGCTGGCCACCAGTGATTTTCTTCTGTCTCTTGTATCTGTGTACTTTATGAATAATAAACTACCACTACTACTAATACTACTATTAAATATTTACCTTCCTCGTGGAACCCACTCATCCAATCGCCTGTTGAAACCTTCATAATGGACATAATATTCATAGTGGCCTTCAGCATCGTTGTACCTTGTCTGGATTATTTCTGCTGGATCTGAAAGAGAAAAAAAGTAGTATCATGATGGGATTTCAACAAAATTTAAGAAAACGGAGAGAAAAAACAATTTGATAGCAGTAGCTTCTACTTAAAATTGTGACATTTTCTTAAGAATAAGCTTTTTTGTCAATTTGTCAATTTTTACCTAATTGTAACTACATGTTAAGTTTTTTGGCACTCTTTAAAATTTGCCAGTCAATGCGACATCAGTAAGTATGAACATGCTGATGGATAAAAAAAATTTTAGTACATGATTTGAACAACTTTTTTAAGATGTTTTCAACTCATAGAAAGATTGTACTGATTAAGCATCGGATCAATGAAAAGAAAAATAACAAATTCAACTTTCAGCGGGGGGCCAGGAAAAATGCACATGAGATCATTGAGGTGAGTATGTAGCTAATGCAGCATAAAGGGTATGAAAGGAGGGGCATGGGAGTAGTACTACAGTACACTCCCCCCTCCACTACAGATACAACCATGTGCTGGGCAACTAAAATTCAGAAAAATGATCAAACAGTCGGCGCCCCTAGTGTAGCTGATAAAGCAAGCCATACCGACTTAAAAACTAGGAATGATGTCAATGGTGAGATACGGGAAATGCCGTCAAGAGGGCTAGACTGACGGGAATTGATTTCCCGGCCTAGAAGCCGGTTGCCATAATGGAAACCGAGACTTCGTATTGCGTCATGAGAGAAAACACTTACGCCAAGATTCGTTGGACCTGCGGACGAGATAATGTTCTCCAACATCGAGCGGCTGTTCCTCAGATGATTCGGAATCTTCATTGTCGTTAGAACTGCGGTCACTTTTGTCCGTTTTACAAGCTAAGTCTGACTTTTTCTCGGGCATTTTGCAAACACCATCCGCCATATTACGCACAAAGAAGTAAAGAACTCACTGACGAGCAGGCTCCATGGAATCCCGCACGCAAGGAGGCCGAGGCGAGACTGGATTTTGAGCACCGTGATTGGCTGACAGCTTCCCGCCTAGCGCTCGAGTAGATTGGTTTCTATGAATGTTGCCAAGTTGTTACAACTGTTGTGTAATAAAAACTGACAAAAACATATTTTGAAAAAATTATTTGAAAGTCTTACAACAGAGCTCTGGTGATACTGATGACGTCATATTACAAGTGCTACGTCACAATCTATCATCCTCCGTCTTGCTTGATGCTCGCTTGATGCCAGAAAGAACTCGTTGTGAGTGAGGAAGTTGGTGATACGTGTGAATGATAACAAATGTCAAATCTTATAGAAACGTGTTTTTTTCCCTCTCTCTCTTACTGACTTCTAGTAGGTGATTTAATTTTTCCCTAGATTTTATATGAAGTGAGTAACCACTGCACCGCTTCTCATATTCTGTAGTTTCCAATTCAGCGAAGGTCCTTTTTATCAAACAATCATGTTATCACGAGTTACGAATGAATGTCGCGCTCCACTTTTGGTCAGTGGCTCTAAATTAGAGGTAAGAAATTCTCCCTTTAGTCTTCTTCTTTTGCCTACCTAAACGCTTAATTGCCTCATGACCATCTAATCACCCGAATTGGTCAGCTACTATCTTGAGTCAATCGCATTCTTGTTTTTTAATGAGACAGAATGTGTCAAAATTTTGCTTGTTTCATCATTCTCATGTAGTTTCCTCAAAATTTTAGGATTGACACACACCCAATTTGTGTAGCAAGCATATTTTTAACAAGGCAATCTTGGGACGGCAGGTATCAGCAGAGTAAAAACCTTTCTGCTGTCTTGACTCACTAGTTGTACTTAACAAAGCAAGGTTTCTCCGTAGTGTTCCCTTACTGTTCAGTTTCAGGGTTATGTCATTACGCCTATTTCATCAGAACTTGAGAATGTCCTCACATGATTGAACAGCCTTGAGAAACGTATACCCATCATGGCCTCATCCTTGATGGAGAGTTCTGGCATGTTAAGAAACTGGTCAAAAATTCTGTGCATCAGAGTGGCCTCTTTGCGGCATTGATATCTCAAGCACAAGCACCTCAAGGCTTACTGAGAACAAGCAGTGTTCCCGGGTGCTCCGTGTGCAAGATCCATACGCTCTGGCGCCCTCTGTGCTTTTATTGGCTGCTGCGTTGTTCTGTGACGTTACGTGTACAGACATTTTAAGATAGGGAAGCGTTTTCCCATGAGGATTTTGTCCTTACACGGTCCGTGTTGGTGTAGGGAATGTCTGTGCGGTACGGAAAAATCCGCGCGCTTGGGATCACTGAGAACAAGTGATGTGTAAAAGTGGAGGATCAAAGCTCCAGGAAGTTTTGCTCTAGAGAGCCAGGCCAAGTTGGAGTTGAAGCAGTGGAGACCTACTTGACAATCATTAATTCCTAAGGCCATTTTCTTAACATGCCAAATTCCAAAAGAAGAATGCATTACCCTGTGATCTGGCTGAGAGGGTAAGTGAACTGCACTACAGAACAAAATGAAGATGCCTAGTGTCTAACACCGAGGGATGTAAACAAAACAAAATTATGACAAGAAGTCAGCGGTGGTTTCAAGCAAGTTACATGGTTTTCAGTTGAGCTATTTGTGTATTATTTTAAGGACTTTCGCCATTTTTTGTCGTTTGTATCTAAACATCTTATTTATTTTTCAGAGTTTGCGTAGCAAATCGTCTCTTCCAGAGAAGCTACGAGAAAAAATAGCTAATGGTCCAGACTTAGGACATTTCATCAAAGGGTCAGTCGAAGACAAGGAGCCACAAGATTGGTCACAATATGATGGGAAGCTGCGCAGAGAGAAAGGAGAGACTGAACGACTGCGACTTCCACCTTGGTTCAAAACTAAAGTGCCGAGTGGTCAGAATTTTACTCGAATCAGGGATGAGCTAAGAAATTTGAATCTGCACACAGTTTGTGAGGAGGCACGCTGTCCCAACATTGGAGAATGCTGGGGTGGTGGTAGTCATGGCACAGCCACCGCCACAATCATGGTATCTACTTGCTTTCACTTAATAATTCTCCTGTTAAAATGTAGCAATCGGGACATATCGATGGTGGAACTGAAAAAATGCAAGTCTTGGTTGCAGTATTTAAATCTCTTCTCCTATTTTATTTTTTAAAAGGAGACCAAACCAACATTATGGCCCAAAATTTGCATTTAATATTCTTTTCGTAGGGGAGAAAAATCATCGAAGTTTTAAAAAAAATGATAATGGAAGATTTTCCATGTAGGTAGAAAATAAATAAGACTAGAAGTCTACAATGCTGCAAACGGAGATAAGCACTTCCACAGTTTCATTATCAATATTTCCATTGAGCTTCTTTGAAAAGAGTCCATGTAGGTATTCAAAGGATGCATTGATGTAAATTTAATCGTATGGTGTAACTCGATGCTCAGACCCTACTGCGAATAAAAAATGACTCGTGCCAACACAGCTCTTCATATGTACACCCAGACTGTGGTCTTGGCCCATAGTTTCCACTTTGGAACTAGGCTTTGATAAATTCCATTCTTTTTCCCTACTCATTTCGTTTTTCTTCCGAATTGCAAGATTCCGTTCATGCAAACAAATTCAAACAAAACCTTTTTGTTAAATAAAAAGGTAGAAAAATTTTGGGAGTCACAAAACTTGTAAAAATAATTGTGATGAAACTCAAGTAAGTGCCTTTTATATGCTCTTAATCCTATTTTCAGTTGCTAGGTGACACATGTACAAGAGGTTGCAGATTTTGTAGTGTGAAAACGGCGCGAGCTCCACCTCCACCGGACCCCAACGAGCCAGTCAATACAGCCACTGCTATCGTAAAATGGGGGCTGGACTATGTTGTCCTCACATCAGTTGATAGAGATGGTTCGTATGCTTATTTCAGAGGATTATTCTGCTTGAATCTACTTGTTGGCCAAAAAAATTTAATTACCACATTTGATAGATATTTAACACTAAAAGATGTGCTTTCCAGACGTGTAAATAGAGTAGTGATTTTTGAAAAAAAAAAAAAGAAAAAAAATAAGTAAATTACTGTGGACCAATTTGATTTTTTCTATGAAATCAATATGATTTAATAATTGGAAATAATTAAACACCACAAGAAGCTAAAAATGGCTGCAGTCAAATGGCAAAATCCCTTAAGTAAAAAATACAAACAACTCAAATACTTCTATGTATTAAACGTAATGTGAAAAGCAGCAGGAGATATCGGATTTAAGCAGTTTGCGGTTTTATTTGTTTTTAAATGGAAAAATTGCAACACGTAACAGCAACCATCTTAAATTTTACCTGGTGTTGTGAAACTGGAATGACTCTTCTGTATAAAATCATTTGCTGTACCTAGTATACTTTTTGAAGCAGGATCGAGACTCCAAAATGTGCAAATGCTGCATGCTAACTGTGGAACAGGAAATGATTAACAGGAATGATTTCCAGACTTTCCCAATGCACTCATCGTGATGTTGGAACCAAAGCCACTCTTTTCTTCGTTAAAGCAAAAGTTTGCACCAGACCAATTGAGCATTAATATTAATGACTGACCATCATTTCCAATGTAAATCCAGTAGCTAACATTGCCATACTTGCATGCAAACCTTTAGTGCCTGTCTCTTAAACTTCAAATGTATTTTAATCAAATATTGTTTTTTTTTTTTTTTTTTTTTTTTTTTTTAAGATTTGCCGGATGGAGGCTCCAAACATTTTGCAGAGACTGTGAAAGAAATCAAGAGACAGTAAGTTCAGTACACTATTCTAAAGGGCTTCTCCTTGTTCAATACGTGTTTTCTTACACATTTTTAACATGTTCTTCAACGATTTCTTCAATTAGAATTGTTTTAAGGTCTTCAAAAAAACATCCGAAATGTCATTGTTACCAATACCAGTATTTGAAAAAAGTTATTATTTTTGAAAATAATCAATAATCTCTTAGTTGGCATTAAAGTGACTTGGACACCATGGCTGACATAAAGACTATGACTTAATTTAGATAGAAGAAAATTCTGGCAGATATTTCTCTTGTAATTCCAATTAGTGGTTATTAAATTTTATTGGTTTGGTGGTGCGCAAATTTAAGTTTCACCTGCTTCAGGGACGTTCAGAAGGCTTATTTTATAATCTCATAATCATTATTTTTTTGCTCAGGTACTGTTACTTTACCTCTGTCCAAAAAGAAATTCTTATCAGTTTAGCACCAATGTGGTTGTTCTTGGTTATTAAAGTCGATCGGTTTTGTTGATGCTATGGTAGTGCTCAAAGTTAAGCTTTAAATGTTTTAGGTATATTCAGAAGTCTTTTTTTAAAATCACTTCACTTTTATTTCATTGCTTACTATTTCTTTTCTTGTATTCAAAAGTAAATTCATATCATTCTAGTCTCAACCTGACTGTTCTGATTTTCAATAACTTTTTTTCTTAATGCAGGAAAAGTAGTATTCTAGTTGAGTGTCTGGTACCTGATTTTCGTGGTGATGCAGATTGCGTGAAGACAATTGCCGAGTCAGGACTGGATGTTTTCGCTCACAATGTTGAGACGGTGGAATCTCTCACACCATTTGTTCGAGATCGCAGAGCTAACTATAGGCAAACGATGGATGTTCTAAAGCTAGCTAAAGAGCTGAACCCGGATCTAGTCACCAAATCATCAATTATGCTCGGTCTTGGAGAGACAGATGAACAAGTTAGGCAAACAATGGAAGGTAGGAATGCAATTAATTGTTTCTTAGTCTCTAGAAATTTTTTGAATATCAGGCAAAATATATTTTGGTGTCTTTTCTGGAGAAAATGTTTGGGCTGTGCGAAATGGTGAGCTAAATGTTTTAGTTAAAATACTTTATCAAAGGATTATTCTAAACTTTGACCAGGTCTCATTTTTGCATTGAATACAATTTTCATCTCCAGATTTTATTCAAAAGAACCACCACTTGCTGCACACACAATAGTACAATAAGTTTGATATTGCATAAAACTTTTCACTTTTTCATTTCCCAAAACCCTCCGCATTATGAGGAAGGAGTGGTGCTGGTTCATTGGAACTGGTGTCAGCATGATTCAAAACAGGAGCCTATTGCAAAAACAACATTTTTTATTTATTTCCCCTCTGGATTTCCTTCAGACCTTAACCATCAATTACTCATCTCTGAGCCCTTCTTTTTGACACTGGGAGGAGGGGACAAAGTCAGAGCCTTTACACCATAATATCTCCAGAATGGATTAAGATATTGAAATTCGCGTTTCATTAAAAATCAGATGCAATTGTTCTCAAGATTCTTGAAGAGAGAATCCCAAGGTATGATTTTCAGGCTGTGTTTCGTGTATGTATTTGTTCAATTTTTGATTCACAATAAAATTAAAATTTTAAAGCAGCCATTTTATTTGGCATTTAACGAGTGGTTAAAGGCTTTGGGAGAAAAAATGGTTTGTTTACACTTGAGCACACAGCGCTATGACAGCTTTACTTTTTCCTTGTTTCTTTCGATACAAATGTTCATTTTTGTGTCTTTGGGCCTGTTGGTCCAACGGTAAGAAAATCCAAGAGCCTCTTGGCAGAGAATAACGTGAGCGAGACTCTCAGAAAAGCCGGTCAAGGAATTATCTAATGATTGTTTCTTTGCATTGTTTTATCAGATCTGCGGACTGCAGGAGTGGACTGTGTAACCTTAGGCCAATACTTGCAGCCAACCCAAAGGCATTTGAAGGTTAACGAGTACGTAAGACCTGAAAGATTCAAGCACTGGGAAGAGGTTGGCAATGAAATGGGTTTCCTCTACACCGCTAGCGGACCCCTTGTTCGCAGCTCTTACAAAGCTGGTGAATTCTTCATCTCAAGTATCATTAAAATGCGGAAAGCCTCATCTGCTTGAGGCCCCAGATTTGGTTAGCACAAATTTTTGTTTTTTCTAATCGGAATATCCAGAGCATACTCTGCTTGCAGTAGCTAAATATGGCAGTGCAAAATATAATTCTCATTTTTCTGTTCTGTGAGACTGACCATGTTTAGTGAATGTATTCTTTGATTTTATCATCCTCAGGAGTGCCAAGTTTGTACACTTACAGTCACAAAAGAGATTTTTGAATTTGTCATAAATGAAAACGCTAGATGGCCGCAAGAACTTTTACAGTCAAGTAAATTTGGAAACAATTGAACTTTTTAAGATGAGTCAGGAAATGTTCAAAAGTACAGATTTTTCATGCTAATCTCAGAAGTTTTTTTCTCTAATTACTTTTGAAGACATTTGCCCCAAAAAATTTACTGCAAAAATGTTCTAGAAAATTTATTATTTTTGAAGAGCAAGCTCTCAATTTTTGTCACATGCGAGGAAAATACCCAAAAGCATGGATGAAAAGCTAAATTTTTTCAGAGGCTGATGTGGATAAAACTTGAGGGCTGCAGGTAATACAATGCACTGATTTGATACGAAAGAGGTTTTTTTTTTTTTTTTTGGCGCTACAAAGAAAAATTTGCTCTTGGTTGTACTAAAATCAAAGAAGATGTTCTGTAAAGTTTTTAATCATATCAAGTTTCTGTTTATGAATGATAAGTTACTGTTATGAAGTAGGTGTTAGCTCTAGGTGTAGCTATACATTTGCGGCTTGAATATTGAATTTGACAAAATGACAATTTGAATTTTAATGTTGGTTAACACAGTCTGTACATTTTAGCTGACAAAAAAACTAACCAAATCACATAGCTTCACCTCTCTTGGAAAGAATGTAAGAAAAGAGAGGTAAAATCTAATTTCTATCGAAGGTATCATTTTGAGGAGGTGAAAAAATGAAGTAAAATTATGATTTTATCATAATTACTTATATTTGTTATCTCACTGAAGTACAAAATATTTTAACACAGTTTACAATCGAGCAAATATTCTACAGATATTCGTCTTCTTTGGGGCAGACAGAAAAAGTCTAGGCTTACAGGGTAAGCTATTCTTAAATATTAAAATCAGACCCATTTTGTGAAAGACTCAATTAAATTTGGACTACATTTTGCAAGAAGAAGTACCAACTTCTGAATTTTCCACAAAAACACCTATCTGCATAGGGAAACCAATGGCACATAAGTTGTTTCTAAAATAAACCAGAAATAGTTCCCTATCGCAAAATTTAGTCCATTTGTTCGAAGAGCTTTTGATTGGTGTGCCAGCAGCGAAGTTCTAGAAGGAACTCCTCGAAACTCTTAAAGTTGTTTCTAAAATAAAATAATTGAAAAGTTACACTTTCGCAAATAGATTTGGTTCATTCTTTAGACCCAACAGAGAGGGTTTCGATCCTTGAAAAAAATACAGATGGACAACCCCAAGGTTCGATGATTGACGAAGACCGTTTGCATTAGTTCACTTTAGAGCTCCCTTCCATAAATGAATCCAAAATTTTGGATGTGGCCATCATTGTTGCCAGCGTGAATAATCAAAGGATATATGTAGCAGCACCAAAGCTAGCAGGAATTGTATTGTTGTAACTGAGGTTAGCAGTATGTAAAGGACTGAACCTACTCTGTTAATAAACACTCCCCTGATGAGTCTAAAGGGCCAGCCATTGATTATTTGCTGTTCAGAGAGGTGGGTGTGTGTTTCCAATCATTATGAAGCGTAACAGTGGGTGGGGTCAAAAACTAAATCTAACGTCACAAACTTTGTGGGTGGCCCCCGATCGGCCTGAAGTTAAGAAAGTTTCGGCTCAAGTCCAGGTGACAATATGTGTATTTCCTGCCTATGTTGTGTATCAAATTCTCAAGAAAGGCTCTGATATCCGACGTTTCATTGGATATAATCAATGTAAATTGGGTGCATATATCTGCAGTGGGAATTCTATGCAGATAGGCTCCTATTGCATAAATTTGCTAATTCACGTGTGATAATTATTTTCTGATATTAGGACACATTAAGATGTAATTAACAAAAATGAAGTTGCCCTTGATTATTGTTGAAGATTGTTCAATTCATTTGTTACCGTTAGATTTTAAAAATAAAAATTGTTGACAAAACCTTGAAGTTTTATTTTTTCCTTCGGAATACTGTAGACTATGACATAATACTTTCAGTGTTTTCGAATACTTTGTAAAAATCAGACAATATCCTTCAATTTATAAAAAAAAATACTGTTTTGTGACGAAATATTCAATATGGGTCTGCAGGCTGCTTATTGAAATTGATAGACTAAGAACCCAAATAGATTGATAGATCTATTTCCCCTTCGTCTTCTTTGTCTATCATTTACCTAGTCTATCAATTTCAATAATTTGTCTGCTGTCACACACAAGAGATACAACCAACTGAGAGGACTTTTCTTGGAAAATCAACTGAAAATCGTATCGAGAACATCAGAAGTATTAAATATTCACTTGGAAATTCACAAATTGAGCAGTCTGTTTTTCCCATTTCCAAATTTACTGCTCCAAATGAGAAACCAAAAGAAAATTAGAACCCAAAACAATTTACATCATTCACGAAGTATGTATGAAAAAACAGTTTGTGAGGTTTTTCTTTGACTTGGTTAGAATTTCTTACATTTCTCTCTGGGCAAACCCCATTGCCAGTGCCTAAAAAAAGTCCCTGCAGGAGCAGTGAATTTGAAAATGCGTAGAATGGAGCGGGCAGATCACAATAAAGGAAAAGGGAAAGGAATCATTAAGGAATTAATTTTTGTTAGATTTTATTGATTTAATCTTAGGCTGACTAATCTCTATCTAATCTAATGTCTAGGCTCTGTAATCTTATGACTGGCTGTATCTTTTGTGTCAAACAGACCCACTGCTTGAAAGTATCAAACTTAAAAGCAAAGGGGTTATTATTTGCTCGGTTTCCTATGAAGAAGAAAAATTGATAGTTGAGATATATATAAAATTCAAGGAGACAAAGTTTTTGATAATCGATCAGGCTAACAGTGATTCTGGAATTAGACAAAACGTACTCCTAGATTGTGTTCAAAATATGGACAGTAAATATGTAATGTTGTGTATTGACTAAATTAAAAAATTTACATTCCCACTTCCATAATATCACCTTTGACCACTTACAGATAATTGAAGAGGAGAAATCTAGAAAGTTTCGGATGGTCTCAAGTAAAGAAGCCATACTTGTAAAGATTATTTGGATTTCAGTGGATATCGATACAGGATTAATGGCCAAAACTTCACAGTTTGATTCTAGAGGTCAAAATATGACTTTCACGTGGTATAATATTTTTCGACACAGTTTGCAATCATAAGGTGATGTCATATCTCTGCATTACACAGATTCTCTCACCACTAATGGAAAAACTCATTTGAGCACAATTTTCCTTTGGAGTTGTGCTGTTTGGCGTAAAACTAATTACATTTAACCAGAAAGCAGCTATGGATACGTTTAGGATCTATTTGGAACCAGTAATAATACAATGCACTCCATTCACTCTTAGAACAGTTTTCAAAATAAAACTGAGACTGGTCAAGCGAACGGGACAGCCCGCAACTAGCACGCTGTCTAATGCGCACATCTAAGGGGAAATATTAACAATGATTGAAGACTGCTCAGTAACTCCGCTCTCATGCAAGAAAAATTAAACGGTACGCGGAATGTGTGTATCTGATCAGTGATTAAAAACAATAAACCATTGAATCTTGGGCCTTCCATCTAAAAATTTCCATATTTTCTCCTCTGTGTGACTCAAGAACATGCATTAAAATGTGTTAGAGTCAAAACAGAAAATTCGAACAATCTAGAATGCATTGGTTGGAACTGACTTTGAGTGAAAATCAAGGGCCGGGACCCAAAAAATTCCGTTCCATGGAATCATTTCAGAAGAATAATGCACAATATGCCTGGTCCATTCAAGGTAAAACAACGAAAGTAACACCATCTTGCTGACAGTGAGAAAAACCATGGCAGATACATTTTCTGACCAAAATTTGGGAGGCCAGTTAATAACTCAAAAAAAAAAAACCGGATGGAAAAATCTTGTCAATGGACTTTGCGGCAGAATTACTTATATACAGCCACTAGCAATAGCACTTTAGTTGACTCAGGAGAGAACCCTCTAGACCTAAAGTAGTTCAGCCTCTCACAAATGTAAGTAGACTATTTCCTCTAGTCCTTTGGAACTGAGGATTTTGGAGTGGTAAGTATTGGGAGGGGAAAAGATGAGCCCTAATAATCGCATTTTCTCTAATAAGTATTGCACAAATAATTCTGATGAGATGCGCGAACAATTTTTTGTGTGAAAACTAACGCTTCTAAAATACTGTTCAATATTATGCGACCTAACAATATAATGCTGAGTTTAAAAGGAATGAAAATATTGGATACATAAAAAGGGAAAAAATCTGTATCACTTTGCAAGGTACACTCTACTACAGGTATGGACAAATGGAATTTTAGAAAGTCGTCAAAACGCGTAGATTTGACAGCATCGAGAGTACGACTGCGAAAACCTGCGCGGCAAATGGACGGTACGACTTCATACGTCACTCGATCGCCCATTTTCTCAGCGCTGCCTCTTCGGCACCCCGTTTGTCCATACCTGTAGTAGAGTGTACCTTGATCACTTTGTCTAAAAAGTCGCATTGCGAAGACTTTAAATAAGGTGGACTTTTGGGGGTTCAACGCTTCAAAATTAGACTACTCATTGATCTACATTCAACCATGTCTTAAAATTTAAAACTCAGCCCCCTTTAAAAAAATTAAATACGAATTTCAGATAGAAATGAATCCTTCAAAAGAGCGATTCATTTAGATTGAACATGAACAGTTTGCTACCTTAGTTTAACGTCTAGCTACAATTATGCCTAAATTTTCATTATTAAACCTTAATCCAGAATGCACTATCCCTCAAGACAAAAAGAAAATTAAACAATGACCGAATGAAAATTGAACTACACTGCATTTAAAAACACCAATAAAAACCGTAGAAAAATGTATAGCTAGACTTAAAAAATGAATAAACTTAACACAGGACAGAGAAGGAAAAAGAGGAAAAATTCAACTTGAGATAGAGTAAAAAGAGGAAACAATTTAACATAAAACAAAAACTTGAGATACGATAATTAAGTATTCATATGATCTTAACAGATGTGTTATGATAATTTTTGTCCTTGGGACATTCTTTCATGAGATAAAAGTAAAAAGATCAAACGAGCTTATGGGGAGGGGGGGGGGCTTAAATTACAAAGACGAACTTTTGATATTGTGAGGATTCTTTTTGGAGACAGTCTTTAGACCTTAAGTCAAGATTAAAAATTCGAAAAAATGTTTAACTTAAAATAAAGAAAGCATCCTATGCTGAAGACCAAGTCTTGCTTTGACAAAAAATATGAAAAGGATCATAATATGTCCATAAGAAGAAGGGACCTCTAAGTAAATAAATTCAAATTTGATATACTGATGCGAGTGTTTGGATGAGTATTTTACAAACCTTTCAGCTTGAAAAATGCTGGTAAACATCAAACTGAACCTTGCTTAACCTTGCTGGTTAAGTAGTTTCTATCAAACAAGGTGAGGATAATCAGGACATTCTGTCACAATATACCTCTATCAGAGAGGTATTCGTTTCTAAAAATCCTTCATAGACTCTTTCCATAATAGGAAGATACTCAGGAACGCTGGCTGCCCTAGGCTTTTGTAGCTGTGACACCTCAAGAGCGGCGCATGCACGTTTTCGCCACGAGAATTCGCTACCGATACAGCGCAGCTTCGCGGGGTCAAGAGAGAACGCACAAAGCGGATTTAGATTCAGAGATGGAGTGAGCTATAACTTTGCCTGCAATTTGGAACCATTCAATTCCCCTCTCAAGGGTGAGGAAAACGCGTGTGCGCCGTTCGTACAGTGTCTCAGCTAAAAAGACAGAGAGTCGAATATCCTCCTAAAATTGACATACTTTATGGCAGAAATTCGGAAAGGAATACCTTTTTGACACTTCAAATATGTTTATTTTTCCGTCAAAGGATCATAGAATTTATGACTTAGATACACTTCATGCATATTTGTTAAAATTAAAACTTTTCTCACCACAAACATGCAAGATTCCCTTAACTGCACTTGAATTAAAGTGCTTCTTTCGTGTATCATTTTTAGATCAACGATATAAAGACTATAGGTTTATGGGGGCCTGTTAAAATGTACCCGATATGGAGCTGACTTTCAATATGCAGGCAGGGGTGCGAGCTGTTCTCGTCCTAACCACCAAACCTAAAAATAGCATGAGCTCTTAAGGAAGTTTTTGAATAATGAAGAATTCATTGTTGAAATTCTCAAAATAAACCCACTTGAAGCGTAACTAAATTTTAGACATGGACACAGATTTTCAAATGGTTTCTTTTAAATTTGATGCGAGTCCGAATTCAGGAGAGTCGCATGAAAATAATGGAATCCAAAGAAATAAAGATTATCTTTGTCTCAACCTAACTTTTGCTCCTAGGGTACAAAGCTCACTGTTCACAGAGCATAGGATTAGCCAATCTGTAGTTTTTATATCATTGTAAAAATAAAATTACTACATTTTTAAAAAAGGTGAAAAAGAGCTGTTCCATGTAAGCATTCCAAACTTTTAACAAATCTTTGATTTTAACAGCATCAAAGTGATAATATTGATTGAGATTTGAAATTTTGATCAAATTTTAATGAAATCTTACATAGAAACAAGAGGCTGTTTGCGCATGCTGATTTGATTTTTCAATCATCAAAAATCAGAGAGTCAAACAAACCAGCAACATATCCTAAAGTCACTAGACAAGTTGGTATTTTTTAAATTTTGAATACGTTTCCCTCTGATTTACTTCAAGGTTTGTTAGAGCGAAAAAAGAATGGTATTTTTCTGAATTTCACTAATACTGGTTTGAAAGCATGATACTCTTGAAAATGGAAGAGAGCTCAAAACTTCCTCTCTCTTTGAGCAAATTTTCTCATTAACCTTTTTGTCTATTTTGTCATTAAGCAAGCCATGGCCTCAGAGATACAGTTCAAAGTTTGCACTGAAGTAAAAATATCACATAGTTAAGAACTTACTGGAAATTATTTGTATGCAACATGGAATACAAACATGTAAGAGTGTGGACTCGAACTTGGATTCATCATCCTCATGACCAGAACTAGGTTTTCTTATCTTTGGGATTTGTATAAAAGCGATCAAAGAGGGCTCGCGTAATCGAGCCAGGAACTCTCTGATGTTTTTGGATTAGCTCTTCGACTGCAGCGGCAACCTAAAACAAGAATGTCAATGTGAATATCAGCACATACAACTGAGAGTGGAGAAGTTGCTTATGAGAAAATTAAGCAATATATGGGGGAAAGTGGCAATCTTAACACATTGTGTTCCTTAAGGTCAAACTTCTGCCAACATAGAACGCTTGGACTTGGAGACCATTCCTCATCCTTCATACAGTCCTGACTTGGCAGTACAAGATTTTTGGGTCTTTCTGAACCTGAAATGAGACCTCAAAGACACTTCATTCTCATCAGACGCCAAAGTTAAAACTGCAGTCGTAAAAAGGATTCAAAACCAACCACATTCATTTTTTTTCTTGACAGGATTCCACAACTCGTTGAATGTTAGTAGAATTGCGCTGAAGTTAATGAAGATGATATCGAAAAATAATATTTTTGATACTCTGTGATCCTCTCTAATACACTGTTCTTTTTTTTTTGCTTCTTTGTTTTTTTCAAATTCGTCCAATTTTAGTAAGGCAGAGTTAGTTATAAATTTCCATTCCTCAAATTTTCCTTCGACATCATGATAGAACACATTCAAAGTTTTGCAAACACTGTAACGTCAAAAATTGTTCAATTTTGCAAACAAACTTTAGGCAGACAGGATTTTAAAAGTTGTAATGTCTTGTAGTATTTACCTACAGTAATATTTTCAGTTATTTCAATATCTGCTGCACCTGTAAGGTTTGACAGAGTTATCCGTCACCCGCAATATCTTCCTTGAACATGGTGAGAGAACATGTTAGAAATTTAGCAAACGCTGTAGCATCAAAAATTGTTCCGTTTTGCAAACTGATAAACCATCAGAAAGGTAATTACGTCTACTTTCAGAATATCTTTAGTTTTTGTCGAAATCTTTAGTTGTTCTCAAGTTATGAGCTTGAAGGCGTTACTTTTCAGCCGCGCCTTGTATACAGTTAACGTTAAATGGAAACAGTATCAAAATGAAGAGAAGTGATATCCAAAGTACCTTAATTTGGACCTCTTCTGGGGTGACTCCATCTTCGAAAATGATGGGTTTACCAATGTATGTCCGTAATTTGACTGGGAAGCCTCCATAGATAGGAACTAATGGTATTTTTGTGGCTAGGTAGAGTCGCAGCAGTAAGCGTCTACCAATACCAAGACATCGGAATGCTTCTCGAATGTTTTCAGTAAAAAATGGAATGACAGGCTGAAAATAAAGTTATGCAACAGGTTAGAATAAGAAATTTTCAATTGTGCAAACCTGGAAAATTACACCAGGAGAGACCAGAATTTTATTTAATAAATTCCTCTTTATCAGAACAGATCGAGAGCCTGAATCCTCCGTAAAAATAAACAAAATTATAACAGTGCAATACTTTTCTGATACAAAATTTTGTACTGAGCAATGTCCTGTGACATATTATACAGAGAGAAAGAAAAAAAATAAGTGAAATATTTTTTACTTGCTTCTCTAGAGTTAATTATTTTTACTGAATCGACATTATAATATTTTACAATACATGACGTAATCAACTAATAAAAGTCAACACTGACTCGTTGCTTGACTGATTGACAAAAGAAATCACAAAAAATGAAATCTTTTGATCAAAATAAAACTAGACAGAGGAGAACAACAGAAGATTCTCATTTACAAGAAGCTTCATTGCAGCACCTACAAGTAACATACTTCCTTACTTGGTAAGTTGTAAAAAAATGTTTCCTTTCCTAAAACGAAAGAGATAATGTCTCTTTTTATAAACAAAGAAGACTTGTAAAATTGATAAATTTGGTTCCTGAGGATTAAGGTGAAGGTATGCTTACTTTGCTGTATGCAGTTTTTGATGATAACGCAAATGAAATGATTTTTTGGTTTGCCGCTCAAAAGTAGATGAAAATTCAATATCTATTGCTATTTGCTTGTCTACGATGTCAAGACGAGCTTTGATTTTTCCCTGAAGAAAAATTGGTTACAATTTCAAATTTTTGATTTATTTCACTCCTTGAAATTAACTCTTTGAACTTGAATTATATTTTGGGGTCAGCTTACTTGTGCTTGCATTTAAACACTTGAGTGTGATTATCAAAGCAATTCTATCACACTCAAACCCAAAACAGAGCCATTCATCCGAAAAAAAAAAAACCCCTGTAAAAATCAGCTGTAAAACTTGAACTAAGGATTTCCAATGGTTCAAAAAAAAGCCTATGGGGGTTTAACCTGTAAAAAAACAGGTGCTCATCATGACACTGAAAAGAAGCAAACTGCATACAATCAAGAATATTTACCTTAACTTCTGAAGGAACAACCAAAAAGGTTTTTTTTTCCCTCTCTCTCTTCATGATTTACTTTCAAACTTCCTCATGGAGGGTACTCCAGCCTTGACTCAAATTTTCATCTCAGTGGTTCATTCAGTATACAAGAATTTGAATAGTTAGCTTCCTCAGTTGACATTTAACTGGTATGGATGATAAATACACCATATCACAAAAATGTAATATAATTGGAGAATTAGATCCAATGGTTCATGTGTAAAAGAACCATGGGTAAGAGGAAAAACTGACCAACATGGATAGAGTAAAAGTTCAATGCTCTTCAGGACTTTTTGAAAAAAATAAATGAACAAAAGAAATCACACAATGTGAAGAAGAACTCCAAGTCGGTTGAAAACTCACAGTTTTAGCATCTATTGCCACTTTGGCGAAGCCAAGCCTTTTTTTCCACATTAAATGGTAGTAACAATCGCCAAATTGAGCTTCGTAAACTCCGCCTGGTGAAATGGCTAGCATGTTATTTTCCTTCAGAACAGCCGAGCAGGACTGCACTGTTCCAGGTATGATTTTCAGAACCTCTGTCAATATCTTCCAGCCTTAAATAAAAACATAATTCTATAAATATCCTTGGGAAAAAAAATCGATTTTTTTCGACAACAGTGATATAGGCTGTAAACTAAAGTTGCCTGGACCATTCTAAACCTCCTATTTTGAAAGTTGTGTTTGTTCGATAACATATTCTGCATGGATAATATTTTCAGTGAGTAAAAGATACTGATACGAGGGTCATCCAAAAAAATAAGGTTCCCTATCTTGTATCTTCCGAACGAAAAGAGATAAATCCAATCGATAAATAGACACATATTAGGCATACTCTAAGCTTTAAAACAAGCTCAAGTTTTTGAAAATCGGTTTAGGGGTTTGCGAGAAAACCTAATTTTACTGAGACAACCTCCTGTCGCTGCGTGCCCACCTCCAGGGTCAGGATGTGCGAAGAGTCGATTAATTCAGACTCGGGCATGCTCCTCTAAACATCATTTCAAAAAGGAATTAAAAAGTTTTCATTAGGTAGGTCTTAACTTACTTTTTGACGTAGTCTCCACATCTTTTTTGACATTTCTGGTATCATTACAGCAGCTTCTTTATGCCGTCTGTGTAAAAGCTCTTGCCTTGGCTCCGAAACCAGTCATTGACAGCGATCTGTACCCCTGAATCGGTTGGCAATCGCTTTTCATCATGGAAGTTTTTCCTCTCGGGAACAGATGAAAGTTACGTGAGGCTAATTAAGCAAGTATGGAGGATTGGGGGAAAATCTTCCGACGCAAAGCAACTGATTTGGAGGGACAGATCGTTGTCAATGACTGACTTCGAAGCCAAGGCGAGAGCTTTTAAGCGGACGGCATCAAGAAGCTGCTGTAATGATACCAGAAATGTCAAAAAAGATGTGGAGACTACGTCAAAAAGTAAGTTAAGACCTACCTAATGAAAACTTTTTACTTCCTTCTTGACATGATGTTTAGAGGCGAATGCCCGGGTCTGAAATAATCGACTCTCCGCGTATCCTGACTCCAGGGTGGGCACGCAGCGACAGGAGGTTGTCTCAGTAAAATTAAGTTTCCACGCAAACCCTTTTACCGATTTTCAAAAACTTGAGCTTGTTTTAAAGCTTAGAGTATGCCTAATATGTGTCTATTTACCGATTTGATTTTTCTCTTTTCGTTCGAAAGATACAAGATGGGGAACCTTATTTTTTGGATGACCCTCGTAGTGATGCACTTTGTGGTAAAAAACGAATCACTGAACTGTCTTTTTATGAAGAAATTTAGCAACATTTTCTGTGGAGGCAATCAAATGATTCACCCACTATTGCTTGCCAGCTCCCAGAGGCGAAAATGCTTCTTAACTGCTGTTGAAAGATTTGCTGTGAGAATTCTACAAACGCAATGAGGCGGTGTATTTTTCAGATGATGGATTATTAAAGATTTGGTTTTGATAGTTGATATTCATCAGTTAGTAAAAAAAAGGACATGGCATGGAACAAAGAAAGTTGTAAAATAACGAAATTCAAAAATCATGATATCCATACAATAACAACTTACAAATTTTACTTTAGAACCATTAAGACTCTCCTCCTTTCTTGACATACTTCTTGCTGCGAAAGAAAACAAAACTTAGAATCTCTTTTTATAAATCTTACTGCATTCTGGATAGTACCTAACCAACTCATCCTCGGTTTATAAAAATTGCAGTTTTGATAATGAAGTTGAAAGGCTCTTGGAAAACACAAATTTAGCAAAAATAATTTGAAGTTTTTGACACCTGCTATGGTATCAATCATAGTCAGAGAACAAAATATCTTGCAAAAAGTGTTTTCTCCTGGGTTTGATCTCTCTTTCATTCTCTATGTAAGTTACTAATTTGCTTAGAAGAATGATAACAGTATAAATTAACCTGGAATTTTAAATAAAAATCTATCCCCAACTGTGTGAATTAGTCGGTTTTGGTTGAGGTACGTTCTAGCAAGTAAATAATACACATCAATCGGAAGAGCACCATGGTAGTAGATGAGCAAGGCTCCGGAATCTTTCGGGATATTCTCTTCGCCGACAACTTCCCAACCTGTGAATAATAAAACAAAATTTAATTATTATTTGGATGTTGATAAGTTAATAAATAAGTTACTAAGGATTCCTATTTTTATCGCTTCTCAATTTATTTTTTCTTACCTTACTCACATAGTTTTAAGACGTTTGCATGTAGTCTGGGTGTTGTGCATGAATGGGTTATAAAAATGAAAATTAGACGTTAGTCAATTTGTAGGTTATTATATTTAGAAAAAGAAGATAATTGACACTTTCTAAAAGGTGGTTGTATCATATTCTGAAAAATAAAAAAAAAAAAAAAAAAAAAAAAAAAAAAAAAGGATTCCTGACACAAATAGCAGTGGTCAGAATCAATTATGATTCTATCAGCGGATTATTGCAATTTTTTCGACTGCACTTCACCCTTATTATCAGAATAAGTTGTAATCAATTGCTATTCAATATGATAAAATTGCATTTTTAGAAGATGCCTATTTTTGGCTTTGTGCCCACTTGGTGAAAAAGTTGCTATTGATTAAATTGAAAACATGATTAAATGGTGGTTTTATGGTGGAGGGAATACTGCCATAAAATTTGATACATTGAGACAATGATTTGTACAAAGCATTTGAAATACTACCGCAACAGTGATTATTTTGGACCTATTTCTTGCACTTTTGCCTGACCAAGATTTAGTCAAAGAACGACCTGTGCAGATTGGTTAGGCTCAACAGGATACATTCCAGCTTTTGGTGGTGCCATTTTGCTTAGCTAATAAACAGTTAGTAATCATGATAATGCAAAATATATTTCCTTCCGATTGAAATGGATTAATGCTTGGATGGGACAAATGCTATGAGAATGAAAGTTTTCACGTATTTAAATAAAAATTATTGAGTACTAATGTTTTTTCCCTCTTTGAAAGATGTAAATATTAATTTTTCTACGATCTAAAAAAAAAACAGTGGATTCTCACCGTGCCACAGCCAACCGTGGGCATCCCAGACAGCTGCAACAGTCTTGATAGCACCATGAAAAAAGTTATCATCATAAGCATCTTTTAACCGCTCTCTGAAACAGGGTAGGAGAAAATTCAAATGGGAAATGTTTACAGAAATGCATTCCAATAGAGAGAAACATGAAAGTGAGCCTTTCATTCGGATGGAGACTGCATGCTGATAAGAGAAATAACATTCATAAGAAAAAATGACTCCACATATGAAAGAGTCAGAGCAGAGGTAGGCTTAATTGGACTGCATTTTGCAATTAGGACCTATAAATTCTGGCTCATCTGAAAAAACACTTATGTGCATAGGGAAACTAATGGTACATACGCTGTTTTAAAACTGGGCGGGAATTTGTAGGTCCAAATTGCAAAATGTAGCTTCTCTGTGATGGCCGCTGTTGATCTTAAACCATGTAATAGTAGAAAGAAGGGAACTATTACGAGAGCGACTCATTGCTTGAGTTGCGAGTTCAGGAGCTAATTCTTCGATGTTTTCATCAACTCATTCTGCTCTGGCACATAGAGCTTTATGTCCTTTTTAAACTTCTTTTCCAGTGTGGCAAAACCCTCATTGAAACTGTGCCCAGTCTCAATGATGTGGTCTGCAAATTACGATGTCCCTGGTCCTCTGGATAGGACAGTGCTAACGTTATCTTTTATTCTAGTAAACATGCCTTGACCAAAATCGCTCGGTGAAAATCAATAAATATATTTTGGCATGCTTTCAGTGTGCAAGGAGAAAAAGTTCTGTCCTGGGAAAAATGAAGACCTTTAAATAGATTTGAAAAGTGTCCTTGTTTCTTGAGGGGCTTAGGAAGTTTCCTAGTTCCTAGTGACAGCTTTGACATTAATTTCTCAGTGATGAGGAACATTTTCTACAGGATATGAGTCGTAAAATTAAGATTTAGAAATTATCGGAAGTAAATCAAAAGCTCAAAACCCCTGAAAACTCCTACAAAATGTGTTGTGCCCCTGTTTTATTTTCTTTTAAGTATTATATCCATATCCCTAATAGCAATGGCTCTTAAAAAGTTCTACAAAAAGTTGTCCAAAAAATGTAAAAAACTTGTAAATTTTAAGAGTTTGTAAATTTTAAGTAAAAAAAACTCTTCAAATACTCGTTTTAGGAAACCCTGGTAGGGAATTCTTTGAAGTTAAAAAATAGTGTTACTTTAATTCAAAGAAAACGTAAAATTTACATAAAAATCAATACACTATATTTTTAGGGGCTGCAACTGTCCCTTTTATACTTTTTTGCTCACCACTTTTTTTCCTCATTTTTGCCCGCAGGAAGTTAAAAAAGAAATGCGTAAATTTTACTTAAAATTTACGTAAAAAATTTACTTAAAATTTTTCTCCAAATTTATGTAAAAAAAGCCCCAAAAAGGGTTTCCTAATACAAATATTTCAAGAGTTTTTATACGTAATTTTCAAGTGGTTTTAAAGTAAATTTTAAGAGATCTCTTAAAATTTACGAGTTTTTTACAACTTTTTTCAACAGCCACTGCTACCAGGGATGAGTGTGAAAATTCTTTCCATTTTTGTCTACCTGAAATTCTCTTACCTGTGCCATTTATAGATGAAAAATATGATGGCTGACATGTAGAGGAGCAAGATAATAACGGCTGGTAGAAGGAAAGTGATTATTATAGGCGTCAAGACCCAGGTTAACCATAGAGAATAGTCGATATCTACATATTCCACTGCAACAAAGTGAAATTATTTGAGTAGTAAAGCGAAAATTGGTTGATCGCATGGGATTAAAGATTCCAAATTCTTTAAAAGTGAGCGAAAGAGCCTCTAGTTATTTTTTCTGTTCCTCTCCACCAGCCAAAGTAACAGTTCAGGGAAACAGGTCCTTTTGGTATAGATTTTATTGTTTCCTAATTCTCATCTGAATAAATCTGAATTACGATGAGGAGATTTGGTTGACTATTGCCACGCACATTTACTAGTGAGAAGCATCGGATCTTTACATCTATGCACTGGCAATTTCCAAAAAAATCAGCTAGGAGGTGTTGAATTAGTGAATCAATTACTTAAACAACACAAACAAAAAACTTTTACTGTGGAGGGTACTGGTCCAATTTTTGTTTAGAGGATCATCGGTCAAAGCTTTCAATTGCATCTTTAGATATCAAACAAACAGCTGTCAAAATTTTAAGGTATAGCACTAACTGATCGTACGTCAGATCTTGAGACAAAATTCAACTCTTTTTATGTCAGCGTTCACCAATGATGCTATCTGATTGCACGTATGAAGCTGTTGAGTGGTGCTGATTACAAAGTTATCTGAGATTGACTTTAGTCTCAACATATGATGAGGGAGCTATGGTAAGCGATCGAAAACATGAACTTGAACTGTTACAATAAGCTGACACCTTGAGAGCTTATTGCGCAAATATACAACAATGAATGCACGATCTGTTATAATTAGGAGTTTTAACTTGCTCAGTCCTGCGCTAGATTAAAAAATAAGAATTATTTCGTCAGAACAGCTGTTGTAGTTTGCGTTACTCAATTCTAGGATCAAGCAACTAATGTATGTTCCGAGGATTAATTGATTAAAAGAAACTACTTACCAAGAAAATCTTTCAGGGAGTAAAAAAAGGCACTAAGGTAATGGAACATTTTTCCACATATGTATAATTAAGCCATTCGGGCTGGACAAACTACAGTTTTCAAGGGTTTATAACCTTAATTTGACGCATATTTTGTAAACATTTACAGTAAAGACATTTTCAGGCGGTTTTTTTTCTTATCAGTTCTCTTCTCTACCTGTAACTGTCTTATCTTTCATCCAGAAAACGGAGCGGGCCAATCAGAAGTGAGCATGAACCCTCTACTCCATGATTGGTCTGAAGAGTATCGGCGGGTGAAAACAACAATTTGAATCTACGGTCATTGTAGGTAGGGAAATGAAGTAATTACTGCCTTTATAAAATTGGCAAAAAAAAAAAGTATCAACGATATATTACAGAATTTATGCAAGGGTTTAGGAAGCATCGATAAAAACAATGCCTGCTCCTTTGAAAACATGCGCCTTAAGATTTGAGTTCAGCCTAAGGGCTAATTTCTTGCAGCATATTCTGTGGGTAACGGTAATCTAACATTCTGGGAAGGAGCGGGGGAGGGGATGAAAAATTACCTCTGGAAATTTCGACGAAAATTCCAGCAGTCAGTGGCAGCGTTAAGCAAATCATGAAAAACTTGCAATTTTAATTTTTATGGTTGAAGTTGAAAAATGCAGGTCTCAAATTGCGATGTTGAAAGTCTCTGATCATTTTTTTTTTTTTTTATGATTAACTAGCAACTAGCCCATTTTTCTATGATTTTCTTCCCTCATCCTGAAAATGTGACTTAAAATTGCAAGGAAACACTTTGATTAGTTATCCTTGAAGAAATAGATAATGGGTAGAAGACATAAAATTACCTTCACCGACTTAATTTCTTATCATTTGATTGATAGCTGTGTTGAGATTTAGAAATTGTATACTTCTTCAAAGAACTTTGAAGAGCCTTAACTCCGTTAAAAAGACAAAAAGAAAAATCCCATATGGCAAAAAAGGCCAACTGCAGCCTACGAAATTAATATTTAAATCTTCGGATATCAACTCAGGAAACCCTGCATGGCCACCATTGTCAAAATTGAGGAGTTTAGACAAGCATTCATCCCACGTGGGATGAGTGCAGTTTTTGAAAAAATTGAAATATTAATAATTTAAACTGAAACTAGTCTGAAAACATATTCTGAGAAAAATTTCTCTCTAAAATCCAATTTTCATAACGTCAAAAAAGTGAGTTTGAACTTTATCTTTACGCCATACCAAAGGCTCCACGTAATTTTGAAACGTTAAAAACGCATTTCTTGAAATAGAAAAATACTACATCTACTTATTTTTTCTGCCCTCCAAGCACCTCAATTGTGCTTAATCGGTCAATTTATTGATTAAGTCTTGGTAAATTTTCTTCTTGCATCGCACATACATGCTAAAGTACCTACTGATTCAAGAATTCAATTTTTTCCTTCTCCTCTTGACATCTTCTCCTTATTCTCAATTTTCCTTGACTACTTGAGAATTTCTTGGATAATTAGTGCTTTCTGAGAGCTAATGCCATTAATCATTATCATCCCTGTTAGCTCGCTGACTTCCAGAAGTTTCATTTTTTGTCATAGTTGGTCTAATCTAGAGACCTCTCGTCCTAATCTTCATGGTTTGTTGGCTATTAGCACATAATAATCTGTAGATGAACAAGCTGCCTTCAGCATTTTGAATTGAGATCTAGTATTGCTGCAGAGGCTCTCATCAAAGTGCGGAGAGCTTGCCAGAGGTTAGGCAGAGTAGCAACCACGGAGAGACCGCCTAGTTCCACAATACTGCAGCTGAAGATGCGATGAGTTTGATTAATTAAAGAAGACAAAAGGTCTATGTTCTTACTATTTATATTGAGATTCTGCAATTTGTTTTGCAAGTACAAGAATTAGATACAAGATTTATAAAAATTACATGATTAAAGAATTAAATACACAAGGGATGCGCACTTTTGGGATACAAATAATACAGAGGGTATTGTTGATTAAGAAACATACAAAAATGATGATTGACACATGAATTAATGTCTTCCCAAAAGTAAGGAAAGAAATATTGGATTCAGATGAAAGAATAAAGCGTAGAAACTCTCAAATTCTTTGGTCTTTTAAATTCTAACACCCAATGCAGTTGGGTTTTGTATCTAGTACCATGGATATTGGACACTCATTTGGCATAGGTTTAAAAACTTAAAAAGGCTTAGTCAAAGTGTTCTGAAATTTTCAGGAAGAAACAGTTGCACAAAGAACATATTTTAATGCGTTTAACTTCCATCATAAAATAGTTTAAATTAACTCTGCATGAATGGCTCGAGTGACAAGTGGCAATTTCAGTTAATTTAGACTATTTTATGATTTTTAATACTTCACTTAATGAAGACTTTTTCATGTTCGAGACTAATGTATCTATGGCTTTTTAAAATTGTTGAAAATTTGTAAACTGGTGTGGTGGTAAAACACTAGACGAAAGCCAGTAAAAACAGTCTACCGGGTGCCAACCTAACCTTGTATGTTTCTTACAATGTGTATAGAAGGGAGGGTTCATTACAAAATGACTTAGTCCATAATTTACTAATGCGGTACAGTAAATATTACTTTTGGAAAATACATTCATTTGTGTTCTGCGACAAGAATAGCAATAGCATTGGGTAAAACAGTGACACCTGGGTACACTTATAAAGCCGAGAAAAACAAGGAGGCATTTTATAACAGGAAAAAATGTTTTTTTCAGTGCAAAATAGTTTCAACAGCGCTAATAATAAAAGTAGAGGTTCACATTTTCACTGATGTTTTACTGTCCTTCAATGCTAACTTATCACTGGTAAATCTATAGGACTAAACATTTTCAATAATTGGTTTTTGTTGTTGAAAAAAAAAAGGAAATTACCGGAGAGGATTATTTAGCGCTTCTACTGAACCAACAAGACTGGAAACTGGAAGTTGAAATCTTGATTGAGTAAAATGTTGAGTAGGATAGTGCTTTCCTTAGGAATAACTGCCTGCATTTCTTATGGATGAAGTTAGATAATGAAAAGTAAAATAAAAAAAGAACAAAGAACAAAACATGAACAATATTTATGAATGAAATACAAAATTACCTCTCTGAGGAGTGAATGCACCTCTTCTGAATAAAAAATGAACAAAAAGTCAACTACAGATAAAGGGGGCATAAATAACAGTTCAAACCACGAGGTTAAAAAAAAAAAAAATACATGTAAGTAAGGTGGAAAACAAAAAAAAGCAAGAGAAATCCTCCTGGAATATTGCACTCAATTGTGATTTTAGAGTAAATTACTCCTGACCTGACACACACTGTTCAGACTGACAACTGCAGATGTTTTTTGAGGTCACAAGTCGGAGTGATTGATATTACTGCTAGAGATTCTACTACTCGACCAATTGGAAATCAGAGCTATTGCTGATTTGTTCAATTCACCCTAACCATGAGAAAACCTTCTACCTTTGGTTGATTCAAGGGGCAACTGCAATAAACCAAATTCTAAAATTGCAGCTGGTGGATTTCATGCAATGAGAGGAAACCCTTCTTGCAAACTGATGGCAAATTGGATGCCAATAACTCTCTCTGAACCATCAGAACAATCTAAACTGCTTGTGTCAAAAGAGCTGAAGAGTTTGGTCACAGTATCATTGAGACAAATGGGTAAACTATCGGAAAAGAAGTAGATCTGTACAAGGCATCTAACGGAGATTGGCTTCTTGTAGGTGTATATTGATGGTAGAAATGCAAAATTCCAGTCTTCATTTTTTTTTGGAAAACTGTTCGACTTTCTTTTTTTAAAAATTTCTCTGGTAGCATAATTATTCTGTATGAATTTGATGCTATAGAGTTGGTTTCTTTCTCTTTGAAAATATAAATTAGGAGCAGAAATTTCGAGACACCGCAATAGCGATACGTAATCTCCACCAGATGACCTTGAAACGGGCTAGAGGTAGATTTCTGAAAAAACAAAGTGGCCTTCGAACTAAAGTTTATGAAAAACTAATAACGCTTATGATTTCATGATGAACTAATTAAAATGAATAGGCATGATCATTTGTCTCTTATAATAAATCAGGGCTTTAGAAAAATGAACAGCGTTTGACTTTGATCCTTGAAAATTACTCGAAATGTTTCTGGAAGAGCAGATTTGGGTGAAAATGATCTTATTAGATGATTTAAGCAAACCAAACACTTTCACTCTTATCTCAAAAATTCCGAACAAAAAAATTGTGGGTTGTCAGAATTTAGAAGTCTCTTAGACTAGAAAAAATGTTTGCAACGATTGTTTTAAAAGCTGCATGACAAAGAAAAAAATTACAAAGATAGAATTACAAAAATTACCCCCAAAAAAATATTTAAAGGTAAATAATTAATATGAACTATTGATACATTCTCATGATTCCTCCTTTTTCACTGTCTTCAATTGCAGATATCACGGATAGATTAACTAACTTGATACATAAAACTATAATACAAAAGATTTAAAAATGATTTCATAAAAAATTGCTGGAAGAACATCCAGAGTCGAAACTTTATTTCACTCATCGGAACACTTAGTGAACACGTTGTTTCACAGCTTCATCATAATTACTCCAAAGATTTTAGTATTATGCCTAATAAATCATGATTACATTGGTGTTACAACATAATATTTAAGAATCTTCTAGTGATGAACCATGAGCAAATAGACCTTAACTTAGCAAAGCTACAAGTCAAGTTTTCAAAATTTTATCTTTTGGAAAAATATTAAAATCTACCGCGAAAAAAAAAATTAAAAAAAGTACTGGCAACACCCCTTAGTTGGAAAACATTCTTCCTGGCAATGCAGATGTCCCGTTAAACGTAAGTTATCCTGGAGACATCGCAAAAAGCGAGGAAATGGTCAAATTGGAGAAAATTACAGAAAACAACACTGGTCTTGTCCCAGCTCCGCACCATCAGTATAAAAATACTCTCCTCTGTTGGCGCCAGCCATATTTATACATGTCAGCACAGAAATTCTGTACATGGCCTTCTTTGCGCCACCAAAAATTTCAGATTTGAGACAAAGAGAGCCATCTGAAGTCGCTCTATACAACGATTCAAATTCATCAACATTGTAAATGTAAGCAGCACAATGCCTCTCTAAAATGCTAGAAAGTGTCTCTGTTTTCCATTGATCAGCCCTAGCCATGTCTGCGCTAATTTTTTCACCATGAAATTTTTTTTGCCTTATTTTCTTCCTTTCTTACTTTTCCTATACAAATATACAATTCGGGCCACTTCTTAGTGTTTAACCTCTCACCTATGCAAATGCCAACCATGTGTTCCAATTAACCAGTGTCCCAATCAAGCAGAGTTGACTGTACGAAAAATCGATATAGTGTGATTCATTTAAGATAACAAGTATTTTTAGGAAAGGAGATTTTCCATTTTGAATTCTTGATGGCAAGATAAGTCTTCTTCCATTAGATGCTTATCAAAGTTACGGCTAAGTGATCCGATGAGAACAGTTATTCCCAGAAATAAATATTTACATCCTCAGGATACAATTTTACATCATACATATACATAAGGACTCATTCGTGCATACATTAGCACATAAAACAGGCTACATGAGCAATGATAATGTTAATTCATCAGTCTGGTAATTTTTGTTTAATTTTAAAACTAATATTCTGGTGAAAGGTAATTGTAAAAAATTATGAAGAAAGGAAAATGAAAAAAAACCAGTGTATTTTTTCCCCTTACACAATTTACATGGTAAGGCGGAGAAACCACTACCATATTGAATATTCCTCTCACACTTAAAGTAAGGTATTTGTCAACTGTCAAAGTTTCAAACATTTAAAATCATAAAATCTACAATAAAAAATGTTGGATGGATGCTTCATTCCGCTATCAAGAATAATTTCTTTTAAGAAGTTGCAGATGAGGAATTGCAACTCTGTAAAATCACTTAAAAAATTATTCTTCACTACTTCTCATAATACTTTTCATATTGTTACAATAAAACACATTGCACAACAAACACATAAGTTTGCAAAATTGAATACATTCTGATCTGCTAAGGGTGTAAAATTATTGAAGCACCTTTCTATCAAGCTCTGCCTGGAGAAATTTCTACACGGGGGAACATCATTGGCAAAGTTATGAATTTTAAAGAAATAAATAAAAAATTAACCAGAAGGGAAAGATGGGCCACTGAAATAAAAAATATATGAGAAAAATGACCTATGTACAAAAATTTTGAGTTACTTTCCTGAGAATACTTCCCTACCTACAAATTAGAAATGGTGTAAAAAAATAGTTAAAAAGAATTTGTAACAGTTTGTACTACATGATACTGCATACAAATATTGTACCGATTTGAATCTTTATTCACAACTAAAGTCTCCTACAGAGTAGATGATACACACAAACGAGAATGTGTTTTCTATTCATCAAAATGACTATCGTCCTAAAATAAGACTTTTTTTCTGTGCTACTGATGATTCACCTGAGATTTTTGCAACTGTAAAGAAGTTTTCTAAGTTATAAGAGTAAAAATCAATGAATGGTTTAAACAATAACCTGAACCATTGTAATACATTTTGAAAAATAAAACATGAAAATTTTTAATTAGAGTAAAGTAAGAAAAGTAAATATTGCAATTTGTATTTAAGAGCTACACGCACAATATCAAGAAATTCAGTGCTTGCTATGTTTAAAAAGTGTTTTATCTGACATTCCTTACGATCTCTTAAGGTTTGTCAAACTTTCTAAGTGCCAATCTCAAGAAAATTGAATCTGAAAAGTGCACTTTTTGGCAATTTAACACCTGCTATCATGGTGAGAAATGGCACTTGTGCTGAGTTGAGGATGCAAAGCCTCTGGTTTTGAACTGAGTCTTATCTCCCAGGCCAGCACGAAATGCACTTCTAGGCCCACTCCTATTTCACTTACATTTTCCAACTTGATTACGCCTGTGGAAGTGCTGAAGAACGTTCTTTTCAGAAACAATATTCTCAAAACTGGCATCGAGAAATTTCGATTTTATAAGCTTATTTTATTCAAAAGATCATAGGGAGCGTCATATAAAAAAATCTCCAAGAACCTGAGTCGAATTTCTTGGTATTGTGTGTGTAGTCCTTTCAAAAGTAATGAAAAAAAGTAAAAAAGTTTAAGCCTCATCAATGATAAATTAAAAAATGCATGATAAGGCAAATAACTTAATTCTTTTCCTGTTTTAGTGTCCTAAAAAATTATTTGGAACGTATACAAGATGTTTATATTTCTTAAACTTTGACTGGAAGACAGCAATTAACTTACCGCAACCTATAATAGTGAGGTTGGGTTTTGAACCATTAATGTGATTTGTCTTGAGATATGATTGTGCTGATTGTGGTCAAACTGGCATAAAATATGTAGCATTGATCTGATAAAATTTGGAGATAACTTTGATTTTGAAAAAAAAAATAAAAAACATTGCCCCTGTTCATAAGTTTGGAGAAACATTGACACAAAAATAAAATAAGTCAAAAAAAGAAATAAATGCAGGATTTGATTAGGAAAAGAGTATTGCACTGTTAGATCAAATAGAATACTATCTTTGTGGATAGATCTTGTGAATATTTTTTTTAAAATTTTATTGAGAGCCAAAGGGTTGTTACTTTACCCTTCAAGCTGTCTGGCTTAAATTTTCAAGATTTTGCATCAAATTGCTACAATACATTGAACTGTTGTTACACAACAATGAAACTCCAGGGCAGAAAATCTTACTTGTAGAGAAGCTAGTTAGAAGATAATAAAAAATTTGGTGATGCGCCCTTTATATTTTCTTTGATTCACAGTCAGCGCTGTTGGGTATGTGAGGTAAAGATATGGACACACAAATACACGTCTCTTGATTACCACACAGTACAAGAATTTCTGTTGGCTTAGATTAGTAAATACAGTCTTCTTTAACATTCCTTAAGAATTTGATTAAAAATCAGTCTCAGAATCTGCAATAGGAAACAAATTTTGGAGAAACTTAACCTTCAGAAAAAAAGGTTACACCTGAGATCAATTTATCAGTAGATATTGCCTTTAATTAGATTTAAGGCTAGATTAGATGCTCGCTCATTCATACTGTTAGGAGTTGCGGATAGCTGAATAATTGTCCGTAGCTCTGAAAAATCATAGTGACTAATTAAGTTTTAATTAAAATTAAATCAATAAAATGAGTGATATGACTTCTACTTGTAGACCTTCGGACATGGAAACTCAATAGAGATAAAAAAAACCCACTATCAAAAAAAATCATGGGGTCACGTGAATCCATCGAGCAACTAGGATTCCGGACAGAAAAAAATCTATTCCAAGTAATTACGATTCCTCATCTTCTGAAGAACACATTGCGCGGAAAAAGCTTGGAAAATAAGCGGAAAAACGTTGTGTTAATAACTACTCCCTGAAGTTTGAGCAACTACGGCAAAATTTGCAATGATCAACAAGTGATATGAAATTCATATGAAATTCATATGAAAGAGTAAATTACATAAAATATATGATTACCATTCAGAAGGGTTATGTTTTGAATGACATGAGAGATGAAGAATTCTTGGCGAAAAAATGTTCATTAGGGTAGGTATGAAAAGGCTTTCATCTAAGGAGTGGGAAATTTCTGGTTAGATTTTTAAAAATCTTGAGAAAATTTTAAATATTTTGTGGAGACATCCTTCAAAAGGTGAAAAAGTATAGGTTCAACTTCGTTCAGCTCAATTGAATTGTTAATGTTTACCATTTTCAAAGTAAAAGAATTATTGAACATTAAAATCAATAATGAAGTTAGGAATATACTTGGGATTATAGGACACCCACTCAACCCTGGGTTCCTTTTTATCCTGCGTTAAAAACTCTCTTTAAAATTTGTTCTTACACTACGCGTATTAAGTTACATTACGTATATTTTAAATCGGTCAAATAGATAAAGGTTACTGTGAATGAAGCATGAAAAAATGAAAAAAAGGATGCTCTAACAAACACCATATCAAACCCTGTCACATTGCATAACGATAGCAGAGCCCTTGCCCTTCTCCTGGAAGTTCCATAATTTATGGACGCCCTTTGACACAAAAAACTTTTGCATCTCCTCAGGGTGCAAGCGTTTTTGTGTGTTAAATTTCACTATTGATATGCAACTTGGTAACAAAAATTGGTCTTGAAGGTAAAAATAATTTTGACATCATAGGAAATTGGAGAACTATCAACATCTTCAAAAATTCTCCATAAATTATGTCATTAGGCCAACACATTAATGTTTTAAAGATGAAGCTTGACTCCCAATTTCAGGATTGATGACCAATGTTTCCCTTTCCTTGATGGTTGATTTATGTTAAAATGGTCAAAAGTGTATTAGGTGGACAGACCTGTCATCTCCCGCTGTTTGAAATGTGCTCGGAGATGGAACATAAATTGCGTACGATCAGCATATGACTGATGGCAAACAATACAGTAGTGATTTTCTGGTGGTAATTTTTGAGTTTGATGTGAACAAACATGGACAGCCCACTCGTCGCGCGATGATAGTGCTTTCCCGCAAACATCGCAACACCAACTCAAAGGCTGAAACAACAATGAAGAGGTCTGTTACTCAACTGTTGGAGATTAAAGTCACATATAACTATAGATATCAGTTAAAAGATCTGGGAAAAATTGAAGAATATGTAGGTCCTGTCAAGCGCTACTTTTACGACTTTTCAAGAATGATTGAATGTATGCAGAACATAAAGCATATTTACAGGTGTTCATTAAACATATTTCTTCATTTTGAAAAGTGTACATTAATGTATTAGATAAGCTCGCAAGACGTAGAAAGCAGTGGATGACACCTCGAACAGTTCCAGCAGATACAGGTATGCTCCTCATCCCACTTGATTCCTAAAAACTCTGCAACTTGCATGCAAAGGACTATTCAAAGAGTACCAAGAAATTCAGTGCCAGCTTTTCGATATTATTTTATGTGTTTCTCACATCCTCTTGAGCATGATGAGCTTTTAGAGCCAATCTGCCAAAAGCAGGGCTGAAAAGTTAATTTTTTAGCCTTCTTAACAGCATTTTCTGATTGAAATGTGGGACTATGCAGCTGTGTGAACATTACGCCCTTCACTATTATCACACTGAGGAATTTGATTCTTATGATGTTTATCCTATCTTGCCAGTCTGCAAGAAAATAAAAGCTAGCCTTGATCAACAATAAGATGTTGCGACATATCTACCAGATACTGCATGTAAGAAGGTCATATTCACTTTTCAGCATGCTTCTAGGGATTGACACATAGAAAGCTCAATTTCAAAAGCTTATTGTGTTCAGGGGGCTCAGCAACATCATATCAAAATTTACCCAGCGCTAAATCTCTCAGTATTCCGTGCGCTGTTAATTTGTTCACGCATTCTCTGAGAATAAGGAGATATAATTTCAGAACATTCTCTGAGTTCTTTTCAACTTATTCTTTTGCTCCAGCTCATTCCCTTCTTTGCTGACACTTCAAAAGATTTCAAAAATACTCTGTGCTTGTTGATTCCTCAGAACTTAGGCATTTTCAAGGACAAAGTAATATTTTTCTACTACAAAAAGAGCAAAAAATAAAACTAAAAAATCTGAATTAATGTAGTTACTAGTTCATTCTTACTTGTGTCACTTGCGTTGAGGTGGGTTGTGGATGAGGAGTAGTTGGATTGTAGATGGCGTCTAATTTTTTCTCAGTGACGTTGACCGCTTTGTCTGCTGTCGCAGGGCTCATACTTGCTAGTCGCTTTCCCAGTGGAGCCAGGTTGCTCGGCGTTATATGTTTCAGCTTGTTCATGTGGATGACAAGTTTGTCCCTTCGTGCAAATGCTTTTTTGCAAACTTCACAGACATACGGCTTCTCACCCGTGTGAATACGCATATGAATCACCTTAACAAAAGTGAGTAGATTATGAGAACCTTCACTCTTTCTTTCAACATCAAAGCTTACTGACAACCAAATCAAGGCTATCATGGATGAGGGGAGTATTTCTTTGAACTTAAAGGTGTTATATTTAGTAACCTTTGCCAGAATTGCAAGGCATTTTTAAAATCAATCGAAGCCCTTGCAAACCATTAGCAGGGTGAAAGTCTCAGATTTAGATAGTCTAACTACCCCAAGTCCTCTGGCTTGTCTCTCTCTGTCTATCGTAATGCTCCTTTTTTCTCTACCTTCCTCTAAAATTTTATACATCTTCTGCTCTTCTCTATCATACAATTCCTTGCCATCTTTTAACATCTCCCATCTTTCTTTGAGATCTCATCTTTCCTGGGTGCTTTCCTCCTTTTTGATGATTCCACGTCTGTTCCACTGTTCTGCCATCGCTAATAGCTAAGCAATCAAGCTCCAAAAGCTGCAAAGTAGTCATAGAATCCATTTTTCACTTCACAATGTTAGTTGTCACGTCGAGCCATAAAATCGTTTCCAAGACCCCTTACGTCACCTCGAATTGTCAGATGCTCAACAGCTGGAGGGCCTTAATTATTCCCAAGATCCTTTTTTCCTGACGTACGAGTCGATCCCAGTCTTGCCCATATTCACCTAACATGACATTTTCTCATGTTGCTCAATTGTCAATTTCCAATGAAACTTAGAGATGAGCTACATACCCTTGTCAACTTTTACAACTTATATGTTCAACAATATATGTACATTTTTCTTTGATGGAAAATGTTAAGGATATCACAATGAAGATTTGGGAACATAAGAGGAAAAACTTCTAGCACAACATATTATGAGTACTTTCCACTAGTTTTTTTACTTCAATTGAGTCAGCTCAAGAATAATATACAAAAACTTAAATTGCCTCATGCAGCTTGCAAGATGTAATTCACATATTTAGAAATTTTTACAAATAATTTTTTAATTACATTTTAATGTATTTAGGCCCGGAGGTTCTGTTTTGAAATCAAAGAAGAGAACTTACGAGTTTATCTTTCCTTGCAAGGCCTTTCCCACATTCAGTGCAAGTGAAGGACTTATTGTTGTTCTCTCCCTTCGTCTTCAATTTGCTAGGCGGTGGTCCTGAATTGTTCATGATTGGCATCTGATTGTCTGGCACTTTACGCTCTGCCTCAATGTTGTTAAAACCATTCATCTGATCCATAAAAGATGGATTGGGGTGGTTTGTAAAATCAGTGCCCCTGTACGACATATCCAGAAATGATAAGAGAATGTTACCAGAATGAAAAATTTGATATTTGCACTCAGGTTGCAGCAGATTCTGCAGAATGATAGGTCTGCGAGAGGCTGTTCTTTTATAATATGTGTTGATTAACAGTACACAACTAGTACTCAATTCCTCAAATCAGGTTTTGATAGTTGAAAATTTAAAGATAGGCGGATTTTGTTTTTGAGACTTGGGATGTACTTCAAGTTAATTCAACAATGTCAACATTTTGGTTCTTAACAACTTCATTTAGATCGGACTTCATATTTATGATGAGTCTATTTCCTCAACTGTTGGGATGATAAATGAAATATCTTGGCGATTGAAAGATTTCAGTATGGTTTCAATGATTACATCATTGCGCTATGTAAGAATGATTCTTCACTGTGCATGCACAAAACAGGGTATTACAAAAATCCTATTATACTTATCGACCGTGTAAGCCGGCAATCAAATAACTCAGTTTGCGACATTGCAGACTTCTCGTCATACTTAATTTTTTAAGCGGAAACCTACACAACGGCAATTCTTTGAAACTGCTGTGATTTTTCTTCTCTGTGTGAAGAAAATTCTGCATAAACTTCAAGGAATGATGTTAATTTGTTCTCCTTAAAAAAAATAACTTGGAGGTGGAGATTTTCAGACACCGCAAACAAGATATGTGATTGCGGACTTACACTGTCGTTATTTGAATCTGCTCATGCGAAAACCGCTTATGTCCATTTTCTCTAATTTTGGAAGAACTGCAAAAAACTGTAGAGGCCTTTTAAAAGCGGGATTAAAAAATGTTCAGAAGTTAATTAGTACTAGTTAAGGATCCCTAACAGTATAGTAATCACTAAAACTTGAACATTTTAGGTTCTCATTCCTTGATTCACCCATAGGTGATTGAACACAAAAATTTACCATTGACATGATATTTTGTATGGTTCTGTCAATTTCTCGTGTTTTAGCTTCAATTTTATATTAGCACGAGATTTTTTTGAAGATACATGTCTCAGACATGCTCCTAGACTAATTCCTTAAAAACTTGCTACAAATTGGAAATAAAACTGGTATTAGAGCAAAATTTATGTTATATCTTGATGTCAATCAACTTCTAGTGAAGCAGCACCTTAGTTACAAAGCAAATAATTAGATCTGTGTGCTTGGGTATGAACCCTAACTCTAGAGCTTACCATGTTCCTATTGATCGAAGCATGCGTACACCATCATCAAAACCAAGACCATCATCTGGTAAAAGCTGGTATGAACCTTGATCGACCGGATTTTTGGCATATGAATTCTCCATGCCGTTTTGTGAAATTGGAATCTGCGGCACTTTGATTGGAGGAACATACGGGTTGTCCAATTTAATTTTGTGCTGGTGCATGGCAGCAACCTGCTGAGCAGCCATGTGTTGATGCATCATCGACTGATAAATCGCCCTATCTCCGTCGCTGACTCTGTCCATGCTGCCAAAAAGAAGAAATTTTGACTGTCAGAAAACCAGACGGTGGAAAGAAAAATAGATGTGGTAGTAAGTAACTAAAATATATTGAGTCAGTTTTTCTGCCTCAAATGACATCTTTAGCTTTCTCCATGGGAAACGATACAAAACGTTAACCTGTGAAAGGAGACATCCTCCTTTCAAATGAACACAAAAAAATCCTGGCAGATTACTAGGTACCTGGCCATTTTCATTGCCTACAATTTGTTTTATTTCAAGTTAAATACATAGTGAGAAAGTATTTCAGTTCGTCCTCATTGAGGACAACCCCCCTGAAACAAAAAGAGTAAAACTAACTCAATCTTGGGTAATACGGCCTCCTCGCGGAATTTATTTCAACTTAATAACTTTGTAGGAAAAAATGAAGGGAAACTAATATTAAGTTTCAGCAATCTCAGAATGTCCCTCAGGAAGTTCCTTTGAACTTCTTGAAAAAGTAACGGGTACTTTCTAAGTTGCAGTACTTCCAACTTTCAAACGCATTTTACTCGGAATAAAAAAACCCCTCACAGGTCTCTTGGCCAAAGAATGCATCAATTTCTAGCTGAGTATGAAGATCCAACTTTCAAATCTTCAGATCAATCTCCAAAAGAACAACCAGCAGACGGAGACGAATAATACATATCCTTAGATTAGTCACAGGCATGATCTTAAAATACAAAGACACTAAATTTAAATACGTAAAAAAAGCTTACTCACACTGATTGCATTATGAAAAACAAAGAGCTACAAGAGGGGATTTAAAATTAAAAAATTGCGGACGAGATTTTGAGTGCAGTAACGAAAGAGGCATGGAATTTTCACTGAAAAACCAACACTAATTTGTAAGAAATATGAAATACCACTTTCGATCTCTCTCCCGGTGAAAAAGTGAAATGAATGGATGCCGCGGAGGGAGGGAAGGAGGAAGGGTGAGAAGGTGAGCCTGAAAAATAAACAAAACCACTGTAATCAATAATCTTCAAGGTCACGACTCACGAGTCACGACGGGACGAACACGGACTGAGATGCTGATGCAGCTAGACAGACCACGAAAGAAAAAGAACACATCACACCCTGCAAGGTATGCAATCCTGCAATACACTAGAGTAAACTCTGCAGCAAACTAACAGAGCACGTTTTGAGTTTCCTTTCAAATAAGTTTCAAAAAATAGTCGAAAATCGCGCACTTCTATCGCACCGTTAAAAATCTGCGATTATGTTTTATAATTTTTAAAGGTCATTGACCAAAATATCTTCCTGATTTATCTATTCCAACCTATCTATTCTTCATCTTAAAGTAAATACCGTATCAGTTTCAATTTATATTAAGAAGTATGTACTGCATCAAAATTATGTCCTTTCTGACAAAAAGTTGAATGGCTCTCATTCACATGGAAATGAATTTAACATCACAAATTTTTCTTTTGCAACAACTTGACAAGCATAGTTTAAGATTCATTAATATTCATAGTTGGAAAGTAGGTTCAAATTTAAGTGGATAGGTACATCAGGCGTGTAGCCAGGATTTTGTTTCGGGGGGGGGGGGGGGGGCTCTGCGGGGTTGGAATACCCCTCAGTGTGGAGGGGGGTCCGGGGGGGCAAAAATTTTTGAAATTTGTAATCTATTTAGACGCATTTTAAGGCTTCCGTGACGCAGATTTTCCATCAATGCCTGCAGAAAAATTACGTTTCCTTTTTGAACTTTCAGCAAAAAATGCAAAAATGCATTCAAAAAGATCCTGAAAACTTTTGAAATTTTAACTCGATTTGGACGTATTTCGAGACTTCCGTGACACAGATTTTCCATCAGTTTCTGCACTAACGAAAAATGTTACACGGGCTATATAAATATGTACGATTTTAATAAGTACAGCTGATTTTAAAAAATACCACCAGTGGGTATCATCTGGTATCATATCAATGGTGAAACTGCAAGAACAAGAGTCTCAATTTGCGATGCTGCAGAAATCCTGTCATGATTTATTTTCTGAATAAAAAATTACTGACTCAACGTCATATCTTGAAAACTTCCTGGACTATTTTCATTCATGGGAAGTATATTCTGTGAAAATTTCAAGCAACTGTGTTGGTTTTTTTTCTTTCCATAAAATGAAAAGAGAGCAGATTTTGAAACACCGCAGTCCAGATAGGTAGTATTGCAGTTTCACCCCAATTTACATTGGTGCAAATTTTTCGAAATTAACATCTTCTATTTTATGACTGAATTAAAAAAACCGGCGCTCCGCGCCGGTTTTTTTGGGGGGGGGGGG